GAGTGTGCGACAAACACAATTAATTTTCTATTTTTTCGGATGTGATTTTTGGTACCATAGTGAGCTCATATTTTTCCGACAGACCGACATTTCGTTCCTTATCCAAGAATATGATTACTAACACAAGAAATGAGACGGCAACTCCTCGTGTTAATACATAATTATAGCCTTCGCTTTGAGTAAAGACAACTTCCCTGTGACGATTATTCCTTCACATTGTTTTTCGCAGACTGACAGTGGGATTAAAAATCATCCAAATTCGAAAAAAATTTTAAAAGGGTAGTGAAAATATACATAAATTCTCAAAACTCGCTTTACAAATCCTGCACTAAATTAAATTGTAAAATTGACCGAAAAACAGACCAAGCCGAGGCTTGCGTTCTTTTCTTAAGTATGGTCAAAAACACCCTAGATTTTCTGCACTTCTCCTAATGTCATCTCGCTATAAGAGCAACAGACTACTTGGCCCAGAATAGAAGGGCTGCTGTACTTCCAACGGAAGTACTCCAAGAGTGACGCCTTGATTTTTCTAAAATTTATCACACAATTTATTTATAGGCCAAATATCCATTCATGAAATTTTTAGCTCGCGATTTACAAGCGGTGCCGAGATATTGAGCGATCTTTACCGCCGGGAGAGCACAGGAGATGCGGAGAGCGGTCAGAGAGAAAAACGCTTTTTGGCCATAACTTTGCCAGTTTCGTGCGGAAAAAATTGATTTTTTTGTGGAAACAAAAAATTTTTTTGGAAAAATCACCCTCTATGGTAGAAATAGGCACAAAACTTTTTGTGCCGAAAGTCGGCAAAAAGTGTCAATTTTTTGTCAACTTTTGACTTAAAAATCTCGGTTTTTTCTGTAAATCGCGGTCTAGGATTCTCCCATATATTTTATAAAAAAATTATTCTAAATTTGTACCAAGTTTTGTCAAAATCTGAGCGTCCCACTTGGGGTATTTCCCCGGTTAGCTAAAAAATTTGGGATTTTTACAAATTTTAGGTTCAAAAATTAATCCATTATCCTTTCAAATCATATTCTTAACCCATCAGATATTTTGTTATAACATTGGCAATGATCCTTGAATATCTCGGCTCCTTTTGCAAAGCATAAGCTAAAATTTTCAGGAACTGATGTGGCTTGTGCCTAATGAGTTATCAAAAATTCTGACGCAATCTACGAATATTGAATTAGTGCACTTTATCTGTAAAAGTAAAGCATAGTAAGCAACGAAAGGCCTATAATTAATGAAATTTATATAATTTCATTTTTTGCAACTTTTTCTTCTTTTTATATCCAATCAAGTGCAGGAAAGTTGAAAATTAAAAAACAACCGACTTGATTGCCGGTTACAACCCCGCACAACTTACTATTTAAAGTTGCATTCTGCGAAATATAAAGCCCACGAGGCATGACCTTTACCGTTGACATCGATTATATGTAATTAGCGGGGGGAAATGATGAAAAGTAGATATTTTGAGTGTTGTCGATAACAAATTACTGTAACTCATGCAGAGTTCGAACAATTATTTCACATCCTGCCAAAAGAGTAAATATAATTCGTGTCAAAGGTAAAGGGCAGAGCATATTTTTTAACGCATATACGTATATGATAATATATTATGTACAGGGTGGGGCATCTTTGTGGCCCGATTTGAATTGACTATAACTTCTTTAGTTTTTGGCCAAATTTTAAAATTCTTTTTTTCCCTGAATCGTCAGCCAACCCCATTTTGTTTGATACCAAATATGTTATACATAGGTGAGCGTCATCTACAGTTATTGGATTTATTCTTGAAGTTCATTTTTTTGGTTGTTTTTCGGTTGTTTTTTCGGCCTTTCCCGGTGTGTCCGAAAATGGAGTCCGGTGTGGAAGAAAAGGCTTGGTCTGTGGTTTGGTATAGAAAGTACGGTTCGGCGTTAAATTTTCAAATGGGGATACCGCATGAAATACGGACGTAATGCCTAACCTCCAGATCGCAAGACAATTCGACGTTCGTGGAATAAGTTTCTTGAGACTGCCAGCGTTAACAGGAAACAAAAAAAGCAGGAAAGATGGGTATGAACGGATTTGAAAATTGAAGAAGTTTTGTCAAAATTCCGAGAAAATCCGCATATGAGTACACGAAGTTTGGCCAGAACCGAGGGAATGCCTTCACCATGGACCATTCGACGAACTCTGGAGGTTGATCTTCACTTTTTGTTCTTATTCTCATCGTCGATTTTCGGGAGGGTAAATTCCACCGTATTTTTCTTCCGGACCGTACTCCATTTCTGGACACACCGGGAAAGACCGAAAAAACAACCGAAAAACGACCGAAAAAATGAACTCCAAGAATAAATCCAATAACTGTAGATATACACTTACTATGTATAACATATTTGGTATCAAACAAAATGGGGTTGGCTGACGATTCAGGGAAAAAAGAATTTTAAAATTTGGCCAAAAACTAAAGAAGTTATAGCCAATTCAAATCGGGCCACAAAGATGCCCCACCCTGTATATTATAAATTTGAATACAATATCGCTTGGTCTGTAAATAAACTTGGCTCTCGCTATGAAAATCTACTGTAGACCGGTCTAGAACGCGTGTTTTTAATTGACCGAAATGCGACTAATGACCAAGTAAGCATCACGCAATAGGGCTAAAATAAGCCAGATTCATCTGAGGATCACAGATTGTTTATTTGGAATTTCTCATTTACCGAGAAAATTCTCAAAGTAAGACGCACAGATTTTTATGAAACTTGGTCTGAAAGTTTCATAAATTGTAAGAGAAGGCTTATAAGTTTAACACTCAGATTTTCTCTACATTTTCCATACACGTCAGAAATATCCCGCCTATCAATTCCCCAAATTTTCGCGTCCCGAGTTTTCGAGTCGACGACAGTTTGGGGCAACACAAAATACGATCGATACGAGCTTAGAGGAGGTTCATGCCTAAGAAGGGTGTAGGAAGTGCCTTCGAATCCTGGCAAAGCCGCGGCATGGTCGGCGGACGCTCGGCTAAGGCTCGGCGGAGACTTGCCGAAGACTTGTGCAGTATGTGAAATATGTGATTTTTTCTATAATTATAGCTATTGCTAACGTCAAGTTTCTTTACCCTGAGTTCGCTCAACGATCAAAATTTGCTTCAAAAAACGAAGATCCGTTTATTGATCTGGGAACACGTAATACCTCAAAAATAGATATGAATAAGCTTTATTAGGACGAAACTTTAAATATTAGGCATCCGCGCGACCTTTAGCCCGCACTTTTTTAGAACAAACTAACAGGGGAAGTACTCCAAGTGCGACGCTCAGATTTTCTTTCAATTTTGCACACACGTCGGGTATGGACTAAATATCGATTCCTGAAAGTTTTAGCTCGCGCTTTGCGGGCACCGCCGAGATATCGAACGATTTTTGCCGCCGAGAGAGCACGCTAAACGTGGAGAGCGGTGAGAGAGAAAAACGCTTTTTGGCCATAACTTTAGGAGTTTCGTGCGACAAAATTTGATTTTTTGTAGAAACATTATCCTTTACGGTAGAAATACGCATGAAACTTTTTGTGCCGAAATTCGGCAAAAAGTCCTAAATTTTGGCCGACTTTCAATCTAAAAATCTCGGTTGTTTCTGCGTTCTCGTATCAGTCTGTCGGAAAAATAACGGCGGATCGTCGCGCCTCGGAATCGCCCATCATCGATTGCAAGCAGCGGCTTGGGATTTGATGCGCGATAGCGGCGAGGCGAGACATTTTGCTGCGACGATCCGCCGTTATTTTCCCGACAGACTGATATATATCTTAGAAAAAGTTTCTTTAAATTTGTGCCAAGTTCCATCAAAATGTGAGCGTCGCACTTGGAGTACTTCCCCTGTAAATTTAAAATCGAAAGATGGCAAATCTTCGACGTTATTTTTGTCCAAGAAGAATTGAAGAATGTTCTTTGTTTCTACTATGCAACATAGAGTTGACAAACGCTATCTTGCAAGATCCTTACAATTAGAAAAAACGTGCGCAAACACAACACAGAATGATGCAACAAAAGGCTTGTTTACAAAGAATTCTTTATTACGCAGTATTTCGAATTCGTGCCAAATTAATTTGGCATTTGAAATTGGACTGAAATTTCGATCTGGAAATGACACAACATATGAATCAAACAACCTTTATCCGATTACTTTTTACCGTATGGTTTGTAACTCGCAGCATTTGTTTCCGCTTCCTGATTAGTCACAATGATCACCGAGTTGTCGCGTGCCTTCCGAGAAAACGACAATTTTTTGCAGGCATTTGGAATTTTGGAAAAAAATTATTGAAAAGAATCAAATTATATGTTTTTTTGTGCATGTTTTAAGAGTAAAAGCAATTAAGACATTGTTCTACATAATAGGGGAAGTACTCCTCAGATTTTCTTTAAATTCTGCACACACGTCGGGCATGGACTAAACATCAATTCCTGAAAGTTTTAGCTCGCGCTTTGCGGGCGCCGCCGAGATATCGGACAATTTTTGCCGCCGAGAGAGCACGCGAAGCGTGGAGAACGTTCAGAGAGAAAACGGTTTTTGGCCATAACTTTGGCAGTTTCGCGCGGAAAAATTTGATTTTTTGTAGAAACATTGTCCTTTACGGTAGAAATGGGCATGAAACTTTTCGTGCCGAAATTCAGCAAAAATTGGCAAATTTTCGCCGACTTTCAATCTAAAAATCTCGGTTGCTTCTGCAAAGCGCGGGCTAGGATTCTCGCATATATTTTAGAAAAAATTGTTCTAAATTTGTGCCGAGTTTCATCAAAATCTGAGTGTCGCACTTGGAGTGCTTCCCCTGTAAGAAGGCAACATTTTTTCAAATATAAAAAACCTTTTTTTTCTTTTGTAAAAAAGACATGCCTTATTTGCGTGCCATTAAAGTCAAACTTGGACTTTAGGTCACAAACTCGAGAAACAATGTATGTAATTGAAAATTTATTTGTTTATTACAAACAAAAAATCGTTGTAAACGCTGCTTACGCTGATGTCTAGTCATTAAAATGGAGACTTTCCTTTGTTGGGTTCAACGTTCTGAAAAATTAACAATTCATTTCTAAAAATGCTGACAAAGACTTGCCTCTCGCGAAATGAATTCCCTGCATTCTGAATGGGTGTTTATAACTTCAGTAAAAGCGCGCCGAAGTTGTCTGTTCTTTTGCAGCGCATCAAATGGTGAGTAAAGCACCTTCTCCAGTCCATCACCGGCTCCGTCACAATGACCATTCAACGTTTCTTTTACGCATTGCGCCATACAGCCGAGTCCGCTAAAGTCCAAAAAAATGAAGAGTAAAAATGCGTATCAGTTTGTCGGGAAAATAATGAGAACAATGCCGCTGCGCCGATCGGGTTGCTGAAATAGAAAAAAAGTTGCTTTTGCTGCGACACAATTCATTTTTCCAGCGGCGAAGCGATTTTCAATTGTGCTCATTATTTTCCCGACAGATTGATAAAATAAAATAAAACACTCTCACCGGCAACCCTTCTCATTTTCCCTCCTGCCGTGGGCATTGTACGGATTCCAAGCGCATTTTTGATGACACTCTTTCATAACCCTGTCGGCCAATTCTTCATAGCATTGTTGGTGTTTGGCCCATGCCTCTTCGCTGGACGAGGAGCAGAGTTTGTTGATTTCTTGGGTGTCAGTGCGAGCGCTGAAGCAGCCGTTAACACAGCGTTGAACTTGCTGATAGCGTCTGAAAGGTTAAAAAAATTGTAGTTGCAGAGTTTAAGAAAGGAGACGGAGATTCTGAAACTAACAGGGGAAGTACTTCAAGTGCGGCGCCCAGATTTTCTGATTTTCTTTAAATTCTGCACACACATGGGGTATGGACTAAATATCAATTCCTAAAAGTTTTAGCCCGCGCTTTGCCGGCGCCGCCGAGATATCGAACGATTTTTGCCGCCGAGAGAGCACGCTAAACGTGGAGAGCGGTCCGAGAGAAACACGCTTTTTGGCCATAACTTTTTCGTGCGGAAAAATTTGATTTTTTGTAGAAACATTATCCTTTACGGTAGAAATCGGCATGATACTTTTGGTGCCGAAATTCGGCAAAAAGTCCTAAATTTTTGCCGACTTTCGATCTAAAAATCTCGGTTGTTTCTGCAAAGCGCAAGCTAGGATTCTCGCATATATCTTAGAAAAAATTATTCTAAATTTGTGCCAAGTTTCATCAAAATCTGAGCGTCGCACTTGGAGTACTTCCCCTGTAAACCTAAATTAAATGTTTCCGCATTGGCATTGTGTTAAACAAGAGTTGGATTAAATTTTAGTTGGAGCACTTCCCTTGTAAAGACATTTTAAAAAATGTGGGGCTTGTAATAAACGTTAAATTTTTAGCATTGTCTGTAACGGCGATGACTTTTTTAAGAACCGACCATTGACCCACAAAAGCGGTTGATTTAACATAATCTGTCGGGAAAATAATGAGCACAATGTCGCTGTGCCGGCTGCATCGCTGAAGTGAAAAGAATCCGATTTTGCCGCAACACATTTCACTTTCTGGCCGGCGATGCGATTTTCGTTGCGACAGGGAGCTCATTATTCTACCGACAACGTGATATCTTACCCCAAATGTTAAGAAAATTTTACTCACTTACCTGCAAGTCCCAATGAACTTCCTGTCAACGGACTCTTTGGCCAGGTAGATCGTCAGATCCACGCATTCTCTCAAACATTTTGTTGTTCTTCTATGTTCTCTATGATCGCCAAAATCGACATCAAATCTGTCGTCATGCCCTTCGACCGGCGGCTTGCCCGTGTCTCCCCTAATTTCCCATCGTCCATTTCGACTGCTTGGCGATCCCATTGGAGGGCTGGATGGATCCGGACCATCTACGGAGACGTGCGGATTTCGCGGCTGCTCTGCCCCACGATATCCGACGCTTTCGTCGCCGAAATCCCCGTTTCTCAGACCGATTGCGACATTCCGACGGACTCTGTATGCTACAGTGGAGCCGTAGATTACTGTAGCAGAGAGGAGAATGAAGAAAATGAAAGTTTTCATGATTTAGAGCAAAAATTAAAAGGGAAAATTGCTTAAATATTGCTAAAAACTCATCGAAAAGTCAGAAATGACTCAGAAATTAGCTGACAAAATCGTGTAATGACTAAATAATACATCTTTTTATAATCCATTTTTATCAATTTCTTGGATTATTCTACATATAAAAGTTTGTCGGGAAAATAATGAGCACTCTGTCGCATCGAAAATCGCATCGCCGCCGAAAAAATAAAATGAATTGTGTCGCAGCAAAATCAAATTTCTTTGACAGACTGATACTTGAGTAAAAATATCAAATAAATAACGATAAGGGTATATCTTCAACTTTATTTACAAATATTATGCGTATTTAGTCAGTGAAGTAATGAATATTACTCCTGTGGTCCTTGACTTTCATTCTTGAACTCTTCAAGAATATTCTCCAATATGTCCTCGTCTCTAACGTCCATAAATGAAGCCGGCCTCAGTGCTCCGGCCCATCGATTCATAAGAGCTTGACTGGCTGAAAGAATAATCTCTGACAAGAAGAAACAAAACTCAAATTTTAATGAACCATGAGGCAAATTTTGTTTCCTAAATTATTGGGTAAAGACACGGTCGAAACGCATACTTTTCTCTGACCGCTCTTCTGATTTTGCGTACTCTCTCGTCGGCAAAAATTGTTGAATATCTCAGCTGTTTGTGCAAATCAAGAGTCACAGTTTTTGGCAAATAATACGCTACCTAAACCCGGCATGTGTGGAAAAATTTTAAAAAATCCGAGCTTCACAGTTCAAGTCATGTCAATTTTGCTGAAATCCTGGAAAAATGTCGAAGTTTTCGAACATATCCTTTTGAAATCAAAATTAAAAAAAATCTCAAAAGCAACTTACAAATAGATCTTTTTACGACCAATCTGCCAAGGCCTTTCCCATACATCGGATACGAATCAATGAAAAACGCCATTAGTATTACCAAAAGTACCGTCAAAAGCCATTTCGTCCCCATTCTCTTCAAGAGCAGCAAATTAGGTGAACCTTGTATAAAAGACCGATGTAAATAGTAAATTCACGGCGATAAAGCATATTTTTTATTATGCTGACTGGTGTGTGAAGACCGGTGAATCAGAGAATTTTTAATTAAAAATATGCGTGGGAAGTGTAGGGCACATTTGCGTGGTGTTTGATAGCGCCCGCAGGAAGGAAAATTTATGTCCTTTTATTAGGGAGGTCTATTTTTGAAACGAAGAGGGAAACAAGACAGTATGTAATATCATAACAACAAATAAAGATTTTACGACCGAAATGTCTGACGTCAAAAGGCGGGCGTTCATTTGCGGGCAAAATTTTTGTGGGCGACCATTTCGCGGAGCAGTGGCAGTTGCGGTCGAAGCAGAATGGCTAGAAAATCGTCAAGCCTAAACAAGCCCAGGCTAAGCAGGCTTAAGCAAGGTTATTGTCAGAAAATGTGGGTTCCCGCAAAATTTTTGCTCTCAAATTTATATTTCTTTCTGTGACACGTTCGAGACTCATAACTCGCTCTTTGCAGAAACAAACGAGATTTTTAGGGTGAAAGTCGGCGAAAATGGGCGCTTTTTTACGAGTTTCGCTTTGCAGAAACTGTCAAGATTCATATGAAAATGTGGGCGTAAATTCAGCAATCTCTGCCAAACAAAGATACCGCGCCGGGCCTTACAAATTTTGCAGAAACTTTAACCGTCGTATCTCTAGCCTTGTCCTAATATTCTTTAAAGGGCATCCAAACAACCCTCGGTGCAATAATAAACCGTTTGGAAATTCTTGTTTATCTCCACCAAACTTCGGTTCCTTATATCCATTCGCAGTACGAATAGAAGGAAGAGAAAACTCGATCCAGGGAAATTGTGGGAATGTCCCATAAAGGCGGTTTATTGCAGCTCTGCCTGTCCGAACCTGGACCTTTTTAGGCGTCAGTTACATCACTTTTTCAAAGCTTTATTGGAAACGGATGGCGGTGACATCTCGAAATGGTATTAGTTAGTCTGTGCTCAACACAATTATGACGATTTGTCTCATAAAAAAAATTTATTTTGGTAAACAAAGGGTACTTGTTATAATAGAACACTACAGAGACTCTAGTGTCATTCTTTGTCGTTAATAATCTGAGTACGTGCAGGACGTCCCTGAAAAATCAGCATCAATGATCCAGTAACCGCTCACCAAGCCAGCGTACAATCCTTGACATGACTTTGGCAACTCTGGTAAAGCCTTTTCCAAAGCTTCTTGTACATGGTCATTCAATCTTACCGCATCGTATGGGGAGTAAAATGTCTTCTCCAACGCGTCACCAGCTCCATCGCAATGCTGATTTAGCGATGTGCGGGTGCACTCTGTTACGCATGAAAGTTTGCTGAAATCAGCGTTAAATTCGAGCTCCCTATAACTGTTGTACGACAACTTTACCTGCAGAAATCGCCCACAAAAACGTTTTCCAAGTTGGCCTCCACTCCGCAGTCTCCTCGGCAACGCTGCACAACGTCTTCGGTATGCCGGTCATAGCACTTGCGGAAATTTCGCAACGCAAAATGACTGTTGAAACGGCAACGATCGCTGACTTCTCTTGCCACGTTTTCCCATAAGGGACGGCCACAGTGATGAAGACAGGATGGATGGTAAGTTCTGAAAGTTAAGGTACAAGTTTCTTTAATTATTATGCCAAAATAAATTGGGGCATTCAATCCGTTTGTCGGGAAAATAATGAGTATAACGTCGCAGAGTGAACGCGTCGCCAAAGTGAAAAGCAAATTGGTTCTGCCGCGATATAATTCATTTTTCGGCGGCGATGCGAATTTTGCGACAGAGTGCTCATTATTTTCCCGACAGACTGAAGATAAAGGATCTCGGAACTAAAGAGGAGTGTGACCAGAAATGCAAAGCTTAGGGCTTTGCGGAACGCTACACGTCAAACTGAGGAGTCCGGTGACCGGAATAGACTCTTCGCTATCGGTTTTTTACACTTCGTCTTGATTTCGCAGAGAAAGAGAGAAAAAAGACACGCAAAAACGTGCTCTCTCGCCCCAAAAATTCCCCATTTCTTCCCCGAGAACACGTTTTTTCGCGTCTTTTTTAGCGAATTGCCAATCCCTTCACCGGACTGTTTCAGCTTATCACAGTTTGACGTGCGCTGCCCTCTCTAACGTCAGTCTGTCGGAAAAACAGCGGCGGTTTGTTCGCCCTTTGAAATCGCCCATCATCGCTTTGCGATGGATAGCCGCAGCTGGAAGTTTCATGTTCTCCCTTCTTCCGACAAGGCGAAACATTTTACAGCGATGAAACGTCACTATTCTCCGGGGATTAAATCTATATCTATCATGCCTACCTGCAAGTTCTCTCAAAGTCGTGCTCAACAATTTTCTCGGACTGCACGACAAAGTTCAATAAGCAAGCACTCAGACATTCAGTTTCCTTGTCCAGTTTTTCAAAAGTAGTAATGTTTACAGCTGCAGTGGTTGTTGCCGCAACATTTGTCGCAGTGACAGTCGAATTTCCATCGGCTTCTGTTGAATTAACCGTTGTTGAAGCGACCGTGGAGGGGCTGACGGCCTCTGTCGTTGTAGAATTCTCACCAAGAACAGAATAGGCAATAAGAGACAAGAGAAGTGTGGGGTACAATTTAGATGGGCCCATTTTTACTCTCTACTGGACTGCTTTGTTCCAGAGACCTTGCAATTTATATAAGGCTTATTTTTTGATGACTGGCAATAAGTTATTAGTCTTATAACAATCTTGTTCAACTAAAAATCATCGTTTTAAGAATACTGAGTCACCACGAGACGCAGTGTATTCACTTGGGAAAATTTGGACGATCTTGGTTATAAATATGTAATTAAGAAAGTGTTCTTATCGCTTGCAAACATCTCAACACCGAATCTGAAAACGGCGCGTTAAATGCCCGAGATTGAGGAAAAGACCCTTTTTGATCAGCCTGAATACGAAGAAGTCGAGAAAGGAGATTCTGGAGACTTGGACTTCAGGAATGCAACAAGGATGAGGAAGAAAAAGTCAAGGAATGAGATTCTGGAGATTAGGACATGAGAAAAAAGATGAGGATGACGGGTAGGAAGAGAAATATAAATTTTGTTGACTTTTGCCTAAATTTTTGTTGATATGATGTTTTGATTGGACTTCTGGGCCGTGACCAAGTTCTCAGCTATTCCCCTGCTCTCGCGCAAGGCCAAGTTACAAGCCGGTCAAACTGTGCGAAGATACGTTATGATTTTTTGCCCGCCTAGTATTTAATAGTGTAAATTTGCCGGAATTTGGAAGAAAGTTATTCGTTTTTAGGGAACAGCTGATAAGAAGATTGTACTTATTTTACATCATTATGAAAAGTAAACTTGTGAGTAATTTTTTCCTTCAAATCTTTTACAGTAGCGGAGGGAAGGATTTGTTGCATAAGAGTTCATGGGCAGAAGTTTCTGCGTTTCCACAAGATAATTGAAAAACTGTAAGAAGCGGAAAAATGTTTTGAAATTTGTTTAACTTCACCGAACACAACAGGCCAGATTGAAGCGGAAGTCACGCAAATTCGTTGCGTTTTTTATCTCTAAGCCATGCCGTTGTCTGGGAACACGCCATCCTCCCGGAACCTTCGAAGTTTTGGTTGATGAAATTCGAATTAAAATTCATTTTGATCTTTACAAGGTGGGTAACAGCATTAAGTTTTTTATTTTGGGGGTTTTTTAAAGGTAGCGGTCTGTCGGAAAAATAATGATAACAATGTCGCTGCGCCGATCGCGTTGCTGAAGTGAAAACAATTAGAGCTTGCAGCGACACAATTAATTTTCTCAGCGTTCGCGCGATTCTCTATGCCACAGTGACCTCATCATTTTTCCGACAAACTAACTGTACATATGAAATTATTTAGTCCTACGCATTAGTTTCCGAGAAACCCCGTGCAAAATAGTATTTCGAAGCCATTCTAACACCTGTCCAACTTTTAGTCAGAGCTTTTTTAGGTGAAGAAATGTTTGCTACCAACAAAATGGAAGGAATTGATCAGAATTTGTTGGAGGAATCCGAGGAGTTGATACCAAAGGAGGCAAGTGAATTTTTTTGGTGATATTTTTTCGGCAGCCAAAATTTTTTCATACGAAATTTTTTATGAAGACTTTGCAAAGTTGTGGCCATAAAAGCTTTTCTTTTTTTCTAAAATAACGCGTCTGTCGGGAAAATAATGATCTCTCTGTCGCACCGAAAATCGCATAGAAAAATGAAATGCGTCTCGGCAAAGCAAATTACTTTTACTTTCAGCGACGCGACCGGCGCAGCGACGTTGTGCTCATTATTTTTCCGGCAGACTGGCAATATGAAAATTTTTATTTCTTAAAAAATCTTTTCAGAATGGCTCACAACTCCGCGACGAATCCGGAAAATCACGTGTGAAAACAGTGGCTCAAACGATGGATCGGCTTGTGGCTGCGGGCTTGTTTTAAACCTGAATTTCAAAGAATTTTTCCGATAATTTCAAATCTGTAAATAAATTTATTTATCCGGCACACAATCCAAGATAAATAACCGTAGCATTTTTGCTGACAATTTACAACCTTGTCGATTTTACTGTATCATCATCTAGACTTGCTAAACTTTCCGTGCTAGTACTTGTTGAATTGCCATTCAAAAAATTCTTTGACGTTTTTAGCGGGACTAGACGATCGTAATATAAGATCCATAGGGCTATTGTCGCTAACAAAGCAATAAACTCAATTTGCCAAGAAACAGTCGGCCCATAAAAATGGTAGATGTTGCTGAAAGAATAAAGATACGCAACTTTTAGTCAAGCAAAATCAGATATTCTTAAAATGTGGCATGTATCTCCTGCCTTGATAAGATTACTCTGTCGGGAAAATATTGAGGATCTGTCGCGCCTTTAAATCGCCCGCCATCCCTTTGCGATGGCTAGGCATGGCTGGAAGTTTGGTGCGCAACTGCGACGAAGGGAAAAGCTTTGCTGTGACAAATCCACTTATTTTCCCGACAGACTGATATCAATTCCGCAAAATTTTGCGTTTTAAGCGCTTTGCTTCCAATTTTAGGCTAATATCGATCTGTCGGGAAAATATCGCTGCGGCAATCAAGTCGTTGAAGTGAAACGTAATTTGATCTTGACACAAGTAATCTTCTTGCGACGTTTGATGCGACAATGCGCTAAGTATTTTCTCGACAAGCTGATAGAAATTCCTACCATGTGCGTCAAAAAAATCGTCCTTACCTGATCATTAACGGCCCCGTAAACCGAGCAGCACTTCCAAACATTTGCTGGATCCCTTGAAGCGTCTCTTGTCTTCTCGGCCCAATAATCCTCGAGTACAACGTGTTCATGGACAGGTTTATACTTGGGAATGCAATCCCAATACAGAGTGCGTAAGCCACGTAGAAAATCCATTTATTGACCGGCTTCACCGTTGCGCACCAATCAAATCTGTCAATGTTGCAACCGACTGGCTCGGAAGTTCCATGGTGAAGGTCCGTGTTGTTGTATAGAGCAAGACGACCATTCAGGAAGGGCCACGGGTAAGTCAGGACGTGGAATAGGACCAGCAAAAGTAGGGCTGACATACAAAGGAGACGGCTGTTTAGGCTGAAAAAAGGTAGAGAGTTCCAAAGTTACAGTAGAAGTGGTCAGTGCTCAGATGTTGACGAGCATGGGTGCAAGTAAACAGACTTGCCTAACCTAGACATGGCTCGTCGGCCGGCCAGGCCCGTTTCAAATTTTGCGTCGGCCCGGCCCGTTTCAAATTCGCTTCGGGCCGGGAGCCAAGTCTAGCCTAAACATAAGGTGGACTTCCACTGCAGTGCGTGTCGAATCATAACACACCTTTTTTATTAAGATTTCCTAAGGTTCCTTTCGACATTTTATCTCGCAGTTAGGAGAAGTCATTTCAAGCTACGATTATTTCGAAATTAGAAGGTGAAAATTTATTTCCTAAAAATTGCTTTCACAATCATGAAGAAAAACCCAATACAAAACAACTTTGGGACAAAAACTTCACGATTTTCGTTACGAATCTCAGCGCCAGCATTGTGCGTGGTGCCAATAGTCGCAGTCTCCATCTCCAAAGCCATGAGCTCTGCAACAAGTCGCAACATCGCCACCGTTCGTGCAGGTTTCGTCGCATGGAATCACACGTCGGCCAAATGGTGGGTTGCTGTTGTCCTTGGCGTTTGGGCTTGGCGCAGTGCGGCGATCTTCATCTACATCGACATTTTTCTTTGCGGCGTTCAGCTTCGGATGGTTTGGATTCAGGGCCAAGGTAAGGCCAACGATCAGAAGAAGGACGAAGAGGACTCTCATTTTCAAACACCACACGATGTGATCAATCCAAAGATTGTTGCTGTACGTTGCATGCAGTTGCGCTTATATACTGCCAAATGTCTTGATAAATAATCATGGCAACCGGATTTAAAGCCGGATCCAGTCTCAAATTGATTTCCAGTCTAAATGAACCATGTGGAAAAACGACATAAGAAAGAAGGGTCTTGTCTTTGATAAGCGTTATCATCGTGATAAACGCTTATCGGAACAATTAAATATTCGTAGAAGTAAAATTTTCCGGTTTGTTACAGTAGTGAATGGTGCTCTTTGGACGACACCCTTTTTGTGATTATTTGTGGGTTTTTTCAGAGCACGAGGCTGTCTATTGGAAAACCCCGTTCCGGGCATCATGATATCCCTAAGGTAGGACAGACCCTACTCTTGGTAACTCCGTACGACAAAACAGATATTGTTGGAAAACTGCAGTCGTTATCGGACTGAATTTTGGACCCGATAAGCACTGCCGTTCCGTTGATCTAGATTATCAAGGAAAACTTCTCAGAGTCGACCCCTTTCCCTACTTGCAACTCTTGAGATAAATTCCCGAGTAATTTCTAAGTTCGTTGCAGATGGATTCGTCGCAATTGAAGAAGGATCTCGAGCTGAGTCCCTCCGGCCCCGAAATTTCCGACTCCTCCAAACAAGACCACATTATTGCGGTTGATCTTCTCCACGCCCGAAGGCTCCCCAAGCAAATCAGATCATTCACCCAGTCCCAAGACCGAATTTATCCTCTCCGAAGCCATCTGAGAACCATTGTCCAATTCATCCGATCTCAACCCTCCTTTGTCGCCGGATTTCTCCAATCCGCCTTGGCCGCTGTTCCCCTTGGAGATCTGGCCAGTTAACTGGCTCTTGACGAGCGAATCGAAGAAGCCGTCAGACCGCCCAGAAGCCAGCTCATGGAGCCGTTGAAGCCACAAAACGACCCAAAATCACCAAAAGTATCCCCAAAGCCCAGACATCCAACAACCATCCGATCAATCCATGGGCCGATCGGTCCTCCCGGGACCTGAACATCTCGGCGCCTCCACATTACCGCCCTCGGTCCTCCAAACCGTCAACCCGGCCCGTCGACGTCCTGGCGCGACCCTGAGCCCCCAAGGAAGCCGGCATGTTGGCGATAGTGCCAAATTTGCATAATATATTTGCCTATAAAAGCCGTAACAATACACTTTTATCTCATTCTTTTCTCGTACTCGACAAATAATTAGTATGTTCCCTGTTTGACCGGTCTATTTTGTCTGCCGACTCCCTTAGGCATGGCTCCGAGCCGGGCTTTCCAAAATTTTCCGGCCCGGGCCGGGCCGACTAATTTCTCGGCCCGACCCCGGGCTTCGATTTTCAGGCCCGGGCCGGCCCGGTTTTTTTGAAATCTGGATTTTGCCCGGAAAAAAAGGAAAAATAGGGTTTTCATTAGATTTTTTCATTTTTTCGAACACAATGCTGATAGCGAACGTAAAGTGATCTTATTTACCACTCGCCCAAATAAAAAAATAATTTTCCAGTCAATTCGAAAAAATTTTCAGAATTTCTTAAGTGCGACCTCATAGTTAATACGCTGGCAAAACCAGAAAAAGGAAAAATTTTCAAAAATACGCAATACGCTTGTAGGTTTTTTCAGATCCGACAAAAGATCTGTGATAAAATATTTTTGCTAAAATTTGGGTGACTCTACACAAAAGCTTATGATTTTTTGTAACCATATGGTAAGAAAATATATGGCGACTTAGTAATTTATAAAAATAGTCAAGCGGCAATTGCACTATGTATAGGTTTTGCTAAATTATTGTTTACATTTTGCGAAAATGTGCCATAATTTTCCCTTCATCTCCTGCTTTCTTTCTTTCCAACCTAGTACAAAAATTTTCCGGGCCGAACCGGGCCGGGCTTTCCAAATTTTCCAAGCCCGGGCTTGGAGATTTAGGCCCGGCCCGCAGGCCCGGGCCGGGCCGGGCCGGGCCGGGCTGGCCCGGTTTGCAGCCATGCTTAGACTCCCTAACCTCCTCCTTTCCGTGCTTATCTTGTATAGACATGGCTCTCGGGCGGGCCCGTACCTATTTCTAGGGCAATGTTTCCACAAAAAAGCACTTTTTTTCCGCACGCAACAGCCAAAGTTATGACCAAAAGGCTTTTTTTCTCTGACCCCTCTCCGCGATTGTCAATATCTCGGCGGTGCTTGCAAAGCTAAAACTTTCAGGAATTTGTATTTAGTTCATGCCCGACGTGTGTGCAAAATTTAAAGAAAACCTGAGCGTCGCACTTGGGATACGAAATCAGAAGGTGGAAATTTATTTCTCAAAAAATCGCTTTCACAATCATGAAGAAAAACCCAATACAAAACAAGTTTGGGACAAAAGCTTCACGATTTTCGTTACAATCTCAGCGCCAACATTGTGCATGGCGCCAACGGTCACAGTCGCCATCTCCAAAGCCATGAGCTCTGCAACAAGTCGCAACATCGCCACCGTTCGTGCAGGTCACGTCGCATGGAATCACATGTCGGCCAAATGGCGGGTTTTTGTCACTGTTGACCTTGGCGTTAGTGCGGCGATCTTCATCTACATCAACATCTTTCTTTGCGGCGTTGAGCTTCGGATGACTTGGATTCAGGGCCAAGGTAAGGCCAACGATCAGAAGAAGGACGAAGAGGACTCTCATTTTCAAACACTTCACACGATGTTATCAATCAAAGGATTGTTGCTGTACGTTGCATGCAGTTGCGCTTATATACTGCCAAATGTCTTGATAGATAATCATGGCAACCGGATTTAAAGCCGGATCCAGTCTCAAATTGATTTCCAGTCTCAGTGAACTATGTGTTGGAAAAACAAAGGAAACAAGAGTTTTGTCTTTGATAAGCGTTATCATCGTGATAAACGCTTATCGGAACAGATTTTAATATATTCGTAGTAGTAAATTTTCCGGTTTGTTACAGTAGTGACTGGCGGTCTTTGGACGACACCCTTTTTGTGATTATCTTTGGTTTTTTTCAGAGCACGAAGACGTCTATTGGAAAACCCCGTTCCGGGCATTGCGATGTACGAAAAAAATAGAAATTGTTGGAAAATTGCAGTCGTTACCGGACTGAATTTTGGACCCGATAAGCACTGCCGTTCCGTTGATTTAGATTTTCAAGGAAAACCTCTCAGAGTCGACCCCTTTCCCTTCTTGCTCCTGTTGAGATAGGTTCCGAAATTTCCGACTCTTCCAAACAAGTCGACGTATTGCGGTCCTCGCCCGAAGGCTCCCCAAAAAAACCCGATCATTCACCCAGTCCCAAGACCGAATTTATCCTCTCCGAAGCCATCTGAGAACCATTGTCCAATTCATCCGATCTCAACCCTCCTTTGTCGCCGGATTTCTCGAATCCGCCTTGGCCGCTGTTCCCCTTGGAGATCTGGCCAAGTTAACTGGCTCTTGACGAGCGAATCGAAGAAGCCGTCAGACCGCCCAGAAGCCAGATCATGGAGCCGTTGAAGCCACAAAACGACCCAAAATCACCGAAAGTATCCCCAAAGCCCAGACATCCCACAACCATCCGATCAATCAATGGGCCGATCGGTCCTCCCCGGACCTGAACATCTCGGCGCCTTCACATTACCGCCCTCGGTCCTCCGAACCGTCAACCCGGTTCGGAGGACCGAGGTCCTGGCGCGACCCTGAGCCCCCAAGGAAGCCGGAATGTTGGCAATGGTGTGAAATTTGCATAATGGATTTGCCTATTAAAGTCGGAAGGTGGAAATTTATTTCTCAAAAAATCGCTTTCACAATCATGAAGAAAAACCCAATACGAAAAAACTTTGGGACAAAAACTTTACGATTTTTGTTCCGAATATCAGCTCCAGCATTGTGCATGGTCTGCACCGTCGCAGTCTCCATCTCCAAAGCCATGAGCTCTGCAACAAGTCGCAACGTCGCCGCCGTTCGTGCAGGTTTCGTCGCATGGAATCACATGTCGGCCAAATGGCGGATTGCAGTCATTGTAGGCCTGGGCGTTTGGGCATGGCGCTACAGTGCGGCGATGGTCATCTACAGCAACATTTTTCTTAGCGGCGTTGGGCTTCGGATGGCTTGGATTCAGAGCCAAAGCAAGGCCAATGACCAGAGAAAGAATCATAAGCGCTTTCATCTCGCGTATTTTGCTACAATGGACCGTTGAAGGCGTATTTTCCCTTGCTGGTTGACTTTCAAAACGCTGACAGAGCTTATATAGTGAGTTATTTGCCCGCTGAAAACTTCGAAACCGGATCTGAACTCATCGCAAATCTATAAGTTTAGGTATGATAAGATACCCATCACTGATTCTACCTAAAACTGCACTGATACTTCAAAAGTCATCTGAAAAACATCCGTATTGTTGTTTTGACCGCCGTCTGCAGCAATAGAAATCAGCGGCCTCCGCAGCTCCAAAGAAAAGCAAATATAAAGATAAAAACTACGCACCATTTTATCGACCAGGAGCATTTGTTGAGCTATTGTTGGACATGCTACACCACGGCAAACCGGAATAGAACAAAAATGTCTCTCGCCCAATTTTGAGTTTTGTCCAAACGAACTGTCACAACTGACAAAAGCAATAAGATAATTGCGACTTGGCTCAGAAACGTTGGGTGTGTCATCTCCGGCACTAATAGCTTTTACCTTTGGAAAAATATTTAAAAAAAAATTGCAAGGGAGCCGGTGCCGGACCCAGAGCCCTTTTAAAATTTTCCACGGGAGCTAGGAGGATTTTGAATATGACTTAGCATAGAGCCAACACTATTTTTAAAATGTTTTCTAGTTTTATTACTACTCCGTGTTACTGGCTTAGCTTGACTTACAATTTCCCAACTCTCGTACAAGCTACAGTTGCGTTGACCGAAAATGCAGTGGCACTGAGGAATGTGTGCGCAATCGCGACCACCGTAACGGCTTGGTGCTTATTGAAGCCGAACATTGTCATTGCTAATGGGCTTCCGATTCTGTAAAAAATAAACGTAAGCGCTTACACTTACAACATCAGAGTTTATGTCAAGTTTTGTGTTTCTACTTACGTCTCCACATTGGTGAAAGTAAACATTTGCGTGAACTTGGTAACACAGCAAATCAGGACTGCAGTTTTGTCATACGGCGGCAGATCTTCGTCTTGCTTTTCTAACTGCATTTTTTTTAGGTTATGATATTTATCATTATGTCGGGAAAATAATGTGGACTTGTCCCAGCAAAATGTTTCACCAAATCTCCAACCGCTTCTACCCGTTGCAGGACGATGGGCGACGACAAATCCACTTACTTTCCCGACAGATTAAAGTATATTGAAAATTTTACCTTCCCACTCTTCTCTAAAATCCCGGCATATCTTTCTTGGAAAACGCAGTTTAGCACCAATATTCCCAGCAAACTAGCCAATAGTCCGAAGAGCGCCGGAGTTGTGTACATGTTGAATAACAAGCCGGAAGTAATGGGGATTCCAGGGTAACTCAGAGGAGTGAAGAGAAGTTGCAGAGCTGAAATACAAGACAAAATAAAACCAGGGGTATCTGAGTTTCCACATGGCTTTTAAAATACGAGATGCATAAAGGTGTCAAATTCTACGCGTCCCGACTTTTTGGGTCGATGACAGTTCGTTAACACAAAGTCGGTTGATACGGAGGGTAGGGCAGGTGCATACCTCAAAAATAGGATGTAGGAAGTGCCTACGACACCTGGTAAGGCTGTTGGATGGTCGATTGAAGGCTTGGCGGAGACTTGCAACATGTCCACTTTTTCTAATTTTAGCTATTATTAACGTTAGTTTCCTTTATCCTCAGATATTGGAAAATACACAAGACCAAAAAATTTTTAAAAGAAGATCCGTAACTTTTATCTAGACATTATTGATGTGAGTATATACATGTAAAATACCTCAAAAAAGGTGATAAGCTATCCTAGAACCCGATAAATCTTATTATTTATACTAACTACGCCTTTCCTAGCCTCTCCCATGCATACAACGACGAACCGAGGCGATCCATAGTATAGTTCACTCGAATTGTCGCTGCCCCGAAAAGTCGAGCGTCAAATTTTAATGTGGTAGATACAATCGCAAAACACTAAAAGAATACGATTTCCTTATGAGTTTATTATACCTGGTCCAGTGGTGAGTCCAAGAGCTCCACCACCCGTAATCAGCGCTATTGCCCGAGGGCGATCTTCTATCGTACTGGCCATGACTGCATAGCTTTGGAAGAGCCCGATAGCTCCTAGAATTGAGATCAGTGCTATGTGAAAGATATTGATTTGGCGTACCTGATCCAAATCCCAATGTTAGTCTTGATATCAGCACAATCAACCGTCTTTTAGCGCCAGTTTCAGCGGCTTGAGCGCAAAAGTACATGCAATTTCCGATTGCCGACAAAGTATGACAAAATACCAGTGGAATCCTTAGCCCTTCGTGCCTGTTGCTCCAGTAGCCAACGAGGGGACAGGCGATGATTTGAGCCAAAGAAAATGCCGATAAAACAACCCCAAAATATTGCTCTGTAGAGGCCTTATCTAGCTGAAAAAAACCGTCTATAGTAGAGCAAATGTATGAAAAATTAAATTTCGTCTCTTTTGCCACCACTTACCACCTGCAAATATGGCCACAATGAGCTAAAATACAGGCTAAATTGGATGAAATTACAGTAGTTTAGAAGAGCAATTACAACTACCGACTTCCACGGGGTACCCGGCTTTCGGTCAAAATGTTGCAGCTCACTTGGAAAGGCTCGTATTTTAGTCATTATTTCAGAATCAGAGTCACTTAGAGTGAAGATGTTAAAATTGAAAACGGAGAGATTGAAAGAGTTGATCTCTAATGTTCAGACTGTATTTTATGACTCAATCGTGGGCCAAATTCATGGTTTTTTGATCGTCATACGGAACAGACACCTTAATTATCACATTAAAATTTTGATTGTATGGTTATTGCACGACTCCGTGCAGTCGTTCAAATATTTGGTCAAGTGAAACATCAGATATTAAAATTTTTCGCTAAAGTCGGGTTAAGCGTTCTTATTAATCATCAAAGGTCTCATAATTGTCAGCTACCGCATCGAATACTTTTTTGTAGAAAACACTGACGTCTGCACCCTACCACGAAAAATTTCGCAGCGCCAAATGGCCGCTTGAATTTTGGCATTCTGTTTCACCTGAAAAATGCAAACTTTTTTCGAAGAAAAATGGACAACTCGACAAAAATACATTGTAAACATTGTCCAAGGGACATAAAATATGATTGTTTCCATCTTTTTTGCTTTAGACACCAACTTTTTCCGTTTTTTAGTCAGGGATATTATACTTGACCTTGAAATGAAGACTCAGTAGGACAAATCTGTAGTCTTTTCTGTCGTTGAACTAAAACAAGGTTCTTTAGAGAATTTACAAGGTCTTAAACATTGTTTGCAGCCTTTCGTATCTTAGGTTTTTATCGTATGATCAAAGATATTATCCTTGACAAAATTTTCTCATTTTTGTTTTTACCTTCTGAACTAAACTTTTTGACCTTCTGAACTAAACCTTTTTTGCTGCACGTATTCATAGCTGTTCCTCCATTTCCAGTAATGTCTAGTACTTTTTCGCTTCGATTTGTTTGCTTTTCTCGCGATTGCGTTGCTTTTGGACAAGTTTTGTCCGATTTGGTATTTGTCCTCGAGTGGTTATTCCATCTCTGTTTTCAGTTCAAACCATGGGTCGACTAATCCTCTGTGCAACTCTTTTTGCCCTTGTGGTTGTAAGTTTTGCACATACGCACAGTCACGAAGCTCCACACCTGAAGTACAGCCGGGAGGTGAATGAAGCTGTAAGAGTCGATTTTTTACTTGTTTTTGGATGTTTAGGTAATCGAATTAGTATTTAAAATGGTCCCTATCGAACGGAAAAAAACGTTCAATGCCAAATTGATTCAGTTTTTGTTATGGCACGAAGTCTATAATCGAAAATAGCAAACAGGCGGAAAATTTCCCATAGTTTTGACGAAAATCTCGACATTTTTGTCCAAGGCCGCTGCAAATCACTTCCTTTTAGGCTGCCCGTGGAGAAGACACTGTGCTAGATCATGGACATTCACATGGGGGTCATGACGACCATCACGATTATCATGATCACCATGACCATGCTCACGAACATCATGGACATTTGCATCATGATGACCACGATCATGACCATGAGCACGACCACCATCATGAGCACGGCCACCATCATGAACACGATCATCATCATGAGCACGACCACCATCATGAGCACGACCACCACCATAAACACGATCATCACGACCATCATGGGCATGATCATGACCACCATCATCATCCCGTGGTTTCGGACTTCAAATTCTCGGAGACCGGGTAGGATAAATTAATTATATATGATTTGTTCTACGTTTAGTCCTTTGGCTTTCCTAAACGACCCGAAACAGCGATTCTGGACGTTCTCCATTGGCTCTACGATCCTCATTAGCTTGTTCCCATGCTTCATTTTGACTTTTATTCCAATCAATGTAAGCTAATATAATTTTTGATCGACGCAGTTTCAAAAAATAGGTCGTTATGGGTATTGTTTTAGGTATAAAGGCATATTTTTGCATTCAAATTTATTTTTCAGTCGAATGAAGACGAAAACAGCAGCAATAAGCTCAAGGTTCTCCTTGCGTTGGGAGCTGGAGGTCTTCTTGGAGATGCCTTTCTGCATCTAATTCCACACGCTCAAATGGCTCATGGTGATGGACACGGTCACACACATTCCCATTCGCACTCCCATGCCTCTGGCGAAGCCCATGAGCCCCATGATCTGAGTGTTGGAGGATGGGTTTTGGGAGGTAAGCAAGTGCAATATAAATTGAATCTTTTTGTGTTTGTTGTGTAAAGTATGATGCGGAAAGATGCATTGCTTAATCTTGGATTTATTTCAGGTTTCTTCATCTTCTTTGTGGTCGAAAAGTTTGTCCGAATTGTTCGTGGCGACGAGGGACACGGTCATTCGCATGGTCCAGCCAAGCCAAAAGACAAGAAAAAGCCCGTGAAAAAGGCTAAAAGCTCAGATACTGATCACACCGATGATGAGGAAGATCATCACGAACAACATAGAGCTGCAATTGAAGCGGCAAGACTTCAAGTGGCTGCGTATTTGAACTTGATCGCCGATTTTATGCACAATTTCACTGATGGTCTGGCGATTGGAGCGTCATTTGTGGCTGGGGAAAAAGTCGGAATTGGTGAGCTTGGACTTTGAATTGTTGATTATGTCTTTAGTTACTATGATCACCGTCTTGATCCATGAAGTTCCCCATGAGATTGGAGATTTCGCAATTTTGGTTCAATCCGGGTACTCCAAGAGAAAGGTGAGGAGAATTTTTTGATTTTTGTTTGATTTTTAGGTGAAAAAAGACGGATTATGAATGTATAAAGCTGAAGGGGAGCTTTGAAATCATTTTTGTCCGGATTTCAGACGTTGAGATCGTGTTTTAGAGATTGATTTACCTAAAATTATATTGTACTACCTTCAGGCCATGTTGATCCAACTTCTCACCGCTCTTGGTGCCCTAGCTGGTTGCATTATCGCCTGCTTGTCCTCTGACCCATTCTCCTTGGCTGAACAAGCTCAATCTTCATGGGTCTTACCATTCACAGCAGGAGGATTCATCTACATTGCCGCCGTCTCAGTGATCCCAGAGCTCTTGGAGAAGAGCTCGCTTCTTTTGAGTATTGCTGAAGTCTTTGCAATGACCCTAGGGGTGTTTGCGATGTACCTCATCGCTTTATATGAATAGAACGGGAGAAAATTGATATTATACATCAGAAAATTTTCCCATTTTTCGCCAAATCATGTCTTCTCTTGGAGGAATCTTTTTGTAATATGTCTTGAATATCAGCTACGGTCAATTCTTTGTGATTTTAGATAGTCAATTAAATTATTTACATTGTTTTAACACAAATTTTGGTGGTATAGGGATCTAATATTATTATTTATTTTTATATTTATATTGTTGAATAAAACGGAAGAATGAGCCCTTAGAATGTCCTTTTTTTGTTTTTTTTTTAGTTTGATTGGTTCAAATCTAACCAGTTTTTGTACCTTCTCTAACTTTTGTTTCGCTTTTTTTACAATCTTTTTGTTATTTTTTTAGATGCCAAATGTCATCGCATTGCAAGTCGGACAGTGCGGAAATCAGCTTGGTCAAGCCTTCTTGGCTGAGCTTTGTCAACGCCACGGCATTGGGCCAGATGGAGTGGCCGAGGAAAAAGAATTGGATCGTCGTGATATGAAAGACGTCTTTTTCTATGAAGTAAGCGGATTTTCTATTATTTTTCTGAGTTTAGAACAAGATCTGGAGGATTTTCAAGATGCTACGCAACTCTTTATAAAGGTTTTAGTTGCTGCCAATTCTTTTTTTGCTTCCTTCTGCATGTTTTTCCTTTTTTTATTCGAAAAATTTCAGAGCGACGCGAAAAAATACATTTATCGTTGCGTGTTGGCCGACTTGGAGCCTCGAGTGCTAACGAAGGTCCAAAACAGCGAATATGGATCGGTCTATAACTCGGAGAATGTGTACACGGCGAGCCAAGGCGGAGGCGCCGGAAATGCGTGGGCCAGCGGCTATGGCCAAGGAAGAGAAGCGATGGAAGCGGTCATGGAAATCATCCAGAAGGAAGCCGAGGCCTCGGATTGGCTGGAATGCTTCATGCTGACCCACTCGGTCAGCGGTGGAACTGGCTCAGGAATGGGATCCAAGTTGTTAGAATCAGTGAGGGATTGGTAAGAAGCTTTGTGGAAAATGGATTTTTCTGAAAATTTTTTTGATGTTATTTGTGTTTGTTATGCTCTAAATTAATGGTGAATTAAGCGAGCTTCATCAAAAGAAGTTAAAATAAGGAATTATCGGCTAAAAAAAGGTAATTTTTGGCCAAAATCCCGATAATTCTGGTTTCAAACCCTTCTAATTTCACAAGAAAAATACTTCTATAAGATATGGAGTTACAGGTCGAGACATAGATAAAAAAATCGCAAAATTTTTCTGATTCAGAATATTTAAAATTTAGCTGCCTAATTTTGGTTTGTAAGGGTGAAAAAACCCCTGTACACCTTAATTAGTAGTTCCAATATAAAACAGGGGCATTTGCATGGTGTTCCGAGAAAAGTTCTGAGGGCTTTTTTTCACCCTTACCAACCAAAGTTAGGCAGCTAACTTTTAAATATTCTGAATCAGAAAAATTTTGCGATTTTTTTGTTGCATGTCTTGACCTGTAACTTCATACCCCATTGAAGTACTTTCTTTGTTAAATTAGAAAGGTTTGAAACAAGAATTATCGGGATTTTTGGCCAAAAATTACCTTTTTTAGCCGATCATCCCTTATTTTAGCTTCTTTTGATGGAACATTGAAAATATTTATTTTTTTAGTTTTTAAAGATACTTTTGACATAATCTAACACTAGAAGTGATTGAGACTATTTTGCGTTCGATTCCCCACCAAAAATTCCGTTTTCAGCTATCCGAAAAAACTTCTCCAAGCCTACTCCGTCTTCCCGGTGAAGGGTGAATCGAACGTGGTCGTAGAGCCCTACAACGCCGTCCTCACCACCTGCCGGCTGGCCGAATACGCGGATTTGGTCATGGTTGTGGACAACAAGGCACTGAACCAGGTGGCGGTGGGCAGCGGCATGGAACAGGCCTCCTTCGAAACGATGAACAACATGGTCGCGCAGATGATGGGACTCGCGACGGCACCGCAACGCTTCGGCTCAACGTCCTGCCCAACCTTCCTACAACAGGTGTCGGAGCTCAGCCCCTTCGGCGCAATGCATTTTATTGGAACTGGTAGGGTTTTGGACATTTTTTTTAATTGATTTATGTTGTAGTAGGTGAGAATTTCAAAAAATTTGGAAAGTATGTTTTTTTTTGGTTTAAATTTGTAATTTCAGCTCTTTTCCCCTTCAATATCCCTGGACGACCCGTGATTGCCCCGAAAACGACCAGTTCGGACACGCTGAGACGTCTTCTCCAACCGAAATCACTTATGATTTCGGCGTTGAGCCAAGGTCCCGAATATATGATCTCGGGACAAGCCATCTTTGAAGGCCCAAAAGAAGATATCGATGTTTTTAGACTCAAGATGGATATTAGAAGCAAATACAGAGATTTGTGAGTATTTTCGGCAAGCCGGGTTATTGTTTTATATGGTTTTAAGGGAAATTTTAAATATTTTTTGTTTAGTTTTTTATATAAAAATTTAGAAAATGACGGACCCGATTCAGTGGAAAAAACGTATCATTTTGCATCCAGGAAGCATCAAAAATGTGGCAAAATGCTTCCCTCTGCAAGTGAAAAAGCTTCGTTTTGAAGGGCTCTTTTTGTGAAGGAAATTTCAAAATGAAGTTTTTTCACTTGCAGAGGGAAGCATTTTGCGACATTTTGGACACCTCCCGGATTCAAAATGGTACTTTTTTGCCACCGGATCGTGTCCGTCACTGTAGTTTTTTTATATAATGTATGCATTCTTTGCTTTCAGATTCCCGTCATGGCATGGTATTGGCATCCGCTGTCTGTACGCCCCTCCTTCTCCATACCTCAAGCGAAATCATCGGGTCTCAGGCCTCCTTCTGGCCAACCACACCCGTTTCCTTAATATCCTCGACGAAATGGCCGATGGCTACGACAGACTGTACGCGAAGAATGCGTACATCACGCAGTACGAGAAGGAGTACGGCATCGACTTTATAAACGAAATGGGAGAGTCCCGCAGCAAGATCGAAACTCTTCGCGAGCTGTACAGAGAAGTGGCCGACGGCACCTTCATGACCCCAAAACCGGTGAAAAGAGAGGGCTCCAGCATGCAGAGCAGCGCTGAGAATGTCAACGTTTCGTGAAAATCCAACAATATGGCTGATTCAGATACACTTCAAGTTTTTGACAGATATCAAATGTTTTTTATTGATCTCGTGTATTTTTGTAAATAAAACAGGTAATTGATTCTAAATGTGGTGAGAATTCAGTTGGCTTGGATTGAAATGTCTTGATCTTGCTTTTAATATCTTCTGTTTGGCGATTTTTTAATGATTTTGGTGTTTTTTGACATCTCGGATATTAATCATGATGACAATGGAAAGGGATAAATGAAGGCGGTTTGATGCCGGATAATGCCTAGAATTATGTTGTTTTGTGAATGTTCAATGCTTTAGCAGTGGTCTTGAGTGGTTTTTAAAAATCAGGAAAGGTTTTGGATGGGGCGTTTGCCAGATATTATACTTGATGACTAAGGCAAAAGATTTTTAATTTTTTGATCGATACATTTCTAAAACAAGGTAAAAAGTCATATTATTCCTCGAAATTCCTTACTGAAGTTTTTGTGTCTTTGAAAATAGCGGGGTTTTGCCAACCGCTTGCTCTAAAATTTCAAAAATATTAAAAATCGCCTTCTTCCGGACCTCGTTGCGGAAAAAGAGTCATAACGTAAAAAATAATGTAGTAATTGGGCCAAAAATTTTTGCTCTACTGATATGTAGTATAAACTCTGAATCTACCGAATTTCAGATTTTTACAGTGATGCCAAAAATTTCTACAACCGTGAGAAGATTGATGCCAAGTGTAATATAAAATCTACTCAGAAGTCAATTAAAATTAATTTTTCCCCTATTGTTTACCCAAAAAAGATCTCAAAAGCCCCTACGTGTATTTCAGTTTACCATCAAGCCCTCAGGTTTCTGATTTTTGACGTCAAGATTTGAGGTTTTGGCCGAGTGATCGTTCGTTTCTCCTCTCTGGATGTTCATTGATGAGATTTTTGCGTGAAAAAACGCTGAGTGTTCATTGCACGGGCGGCGTGAGATCGGGAAATATATTCGGGCGTGTTTGGAAATGAAACGAACAGACAAAAAGACCGAATTAAATGTTTCTCGAAAGGTTTTTACATTGCTTTAGGTGAATTAATATTTCAACCTTAAATTTCTACTCATTTTATTTAATTTTTTGTATCTTATGACTTTAAAAAGGGCGATCACAGATTTTCTGATTAAATTTGTGCTCGAGAATTGCGATTTCATTTATTTTCGGTTGATTTTTTGGCGAATTTATATTGTTTTAGTCATTATTTTCGTATTTTTAGTCGAAATCTGGCCGTAAATCATGTCGAACAAAGCGGTCCAAGCCCGTTCGCTGCTGAATCTCTTCTCCAAGGCCAAACTCACATGTCCGCATCACGATCACAGTCCAGCCGCCGGGCATGGAGGCCTGATTCGGCATCATCATGATGATGGAGGTAAACATTTTTTGGGTTCTCAATATTTTTTTACTTGTTTTCTGAAAATATAGATAATTTACTATGTGAAAATGCCAAAAATTTTTTGATGGACCGTATTTTAGGCTGTGAGTATGCTTTCGAAATGATCAGTTCGACAATCCGTTTCGGGCGCGGCGTCACCGCCGAACTCGCACACGATGTGAAGAATCTCAAAGCCAAACGCCCACTGGTCATCACGGACAAGAATGTCGCGAAGACAAGGGCTTTCGTGTAAGGTTTTTTGATGATTTTTATATTACTTTAGGTGTTTAGATGACCGATTTGCAAAAAAGTTGATTTTTTAGATGTTTTTGATGAATTAATAAGTGATAAGCTAAAACTACATGCATTTTATCGTATCTGACTTCATTCTAAAGTCGAATTGACTTGAGTTTCTATGGCAAAATCATCAATTTGGACCTTGTTTTACAAGGAAAGCACTTTTATGGGATATGGAGTTACAGGTGGGGACATACATCAAAGAAATCGCAAAATTTTTCTTTTTCAGAATATGTAAAAGTTAGCTGCCTAATTTTGGTTTGTGAGGGTGAAAAAATCCTCAGAACTTGCTTGTCTCGCAGCACCACGCAAATGCCTTTTCGACCCAGTTTTTGCTAAATCAAAAGCTTTGTTTTGAGCTAAAGTAAACCCTGGTATCTTGAAAAAGCCTTACAATATCAAATTTGATTAATAATACGCCTTAGTTAGTAGTTCCAATGTAAAATAGGGGCATTAGTGTGGTGTTCCGACTAATTAAGGTGTAGTGTTAATAAAATTTGATATTGTAAGGCTTGCCAAGATGCCAGGGTTTACTTTAGCTCAAAACAAAGCGTTTGATTTGGTAAAAACTTTGTCATAAAGGCATTTGCGTGGTGTTCCGAGAAAAGTTCTGAGGATTTTTTCACCGTTATAAACCAAAATTAGACAGCTAACTTTTACATATTCTGAACCAGAAAAATTTTGCATCTTTTTTATGTATGTCTCGACCTGTAACTCCATACCCCATAGAAGCACTTTCCTTGTTAGTTTCTTTCACATCAAAGAGGTGCTTTTGCTTTTTAAAAACGTTTTCGTACGTTCTTGCTCGTATTTCACTTAATTTTCCGCAATTTCAGTGAAGTTGCCAGCTCCCTGCAACGAAACAATGTGAGCTACGACGTGTTCGACGACGTTCTCTGCGAGCCTTCGGACGCCTCCATGCTGAAGGCCATAAACTTCGCGCGCTCCTCCCAATTCGACTGCTTCATTGCGGTGGGTGGGGGCTCGGTTATCGACACCTGCAAGGCGGCCGCTCTCTTCGCCAGCAACCCCGAAGCCGATTTCCTCGACTTTGTTCAGCCGCCATTCGGAAAGGGCAAACTCCCCGAGAATGTAATGAAACCGTTGATTGCGGTCCCCACAACCGCCGGCACTGGCAGTGAAACCACGGGTAAGAGGGTTTGGAATGTACGGAATGAGATTTGATCTTTAGCGGTCTCAATTTTCGACCTCCCCGACAGGGAATGCAAGGCCGGAATCCGGCTTCGCGCCATCAAACCCCTGCTCGCCGTCATCGACCCGCTGAATGTGCTGAGCATGCCGCGCAACGTGGCCATCTACTCGGGATTCGACGTCCTCTGCCATGCGCTGGAGTCCTACACGGCGAAGCCGTATTACGAACGACAGCCGCGTCCCGCAACCCCGATGGATCGCCCGGTTTATCAAGGCAGCAACCCCATCAGTGATGTCTGGGTTCGCGAGGCCCTCAGGGTAAGCGGAAAGGAGGTGGTGAAAAAAATTGTTGAGAAATTAATAGTAGGGTAATTGAGCTTTATTGAGGATGAAAATGGAGTTGTTTGGAGGTTGGCTTCGTTTTGAAAATATTGATTTATGTTTTAGAGAGGAAAAATGACAAAATTTTAAGGCAAAAAATTTTCATCCATGAAATGTAGGACTTACACGGTCCTGACGGGCGACTTGACGGATTTTACAACTCGCAATAAATTTTTTTTCAGATTATCCGCAAATATTTCCGCCGTTCCATCTTCGACCCGGAAGATGTGGAGGCCCGCACGGAAATGCTGAAAGCCTCTTCGTTTGCCGGTATGGGCTTTGGAAATGCTGGAGTCCATCTTTGTCACGGTCTTTCTTATCCAATCAGCTCTCAGGTAAGTGTTGTTTGGCACAATTCCACTTTTGACATTTCGTCACGTTTTTATTGATTTTTTGTTTTTAAGGAAATTTGTATTTTATATGATGGAACACAAGTTTTTTTAGAGTCTTCTAGACATTTTTGTTTCATTCTTGACAAGAAAAATGATTTTTTGACGAACGCTTTATATTGTTTTACCCAAAAATTTCAGGGAAAACGCTACACCGACCCTTGCTATGCCCAAAATCACCCACTGATCCCGCATGGACTCTCCGTGGTCACCACTGCGCCTGCTGATTTTCTATTTACCACTGATGCATATCCTCAACGGCATCTGGAAGCCGCGCAATTGCTCGGAGCCGACCTCAATGACAATGCGTCGCCGGATTTGATCGCCAAAAAGCTGGCCGACGAGATCCGAGGCTACATGAAGGACTTTGGATGCCCCAATGGATTGAAGGTGAGATTTTTAGTTATGATTTTGGTCAAAAGTTTAAAAAAAAAAATTTTTTTTTTTTTTTGAAATTCTGATTTGAAAAAAAAATTTTGAAAATTCGACCAAAAAGTTTACAGGCCCTGGGATTCGACCGCGGAGACGTCGACAAGCTCGCCGACCGCGCCACTGGCTCGCTGAAAAAGGGTGGAATCGCGCCGAAGGACCCGGACACGGACTCGTTGGCCAAGATTTACGAGTCCTCCTTGGAATGCTATTAAGCCTGTATCATACGCTTAGTAGAACGTAAATTTATTCCGTGCAGTAAATATTTGAGGATTTACTGGGAATTTTTGTGATGAAAAATGTCTAAAATGTGGATTTTTTAACAAATTTTTGGGTTCATTTTGAAAAAAGTCTAGTTTTTTGAGGAAATTACGAAGCTGAATGCTTTGTATTTTTGTTAGCTGAGTTTGATACACACGTTCTTCTGCTCGGTGTAGAAGTGAATTGAATCTTCGAGCCCTTCGCGGCCCAATCCGGACTGTTTTGTCCCACCGAAAGGCATGGTCAGATCGCGGACCTGGAAATTGTTATGTAAAGTAATGTTATGATACTCGAAAGTAGAAGAAGTAAGATGTTATCAGCCAAAATTTTAAGGTGATTCCGAAATTATGACGGATTTTATGACGATTTGAAAATCGTCATCAATTTTGGAGGTCTTTTAGAAAAAGTGGAAGAAATTGCCCTTAGGGGATTGTTACGTAAACCGATAATTTTACAATTGGGAATAGAGATAATGGCCAGTATTATCCCAAAAAAGTTTTAATTTCCCATGTGAAAGACGAGTTTTATGGCCACTTTAAAATTTTGCCGAGTTTTTCAGAAATTCGAGGTAAAATTGAGAAAAACTCGATTTGAGAGCATGCCCAAAGGCCGAAATTACACGTAGGTGGTCTAGAATTTACACTGCCATCACTTACCAACCAGCAATTACACCAGACAGTCCCAACTCGAACTCGGTTTGCCACAAAAGTCACATTATCAATGGAATCGCTCCAAACCGTGGCCGAAAGCCCGTATTCGCTCGCGTTTACGCGTTTCACAACTTCTTCGGCCGTCTCGAACGGCGCCACAACCACTACGGGGCCGAAGATTTCCTCACGCATCAAGCGGCAGTCGTCGGAAAGCCCGGAAATGACTGTCGGAGCAATGAAATAGCCCTGCAAAAGTTTTGTAATGAGCGTCAAACACCGTTGTCCTTTGAAGACCACGTATTTTACCACATTTTATTTATAATTTGAAAAATTTCTGGCTTACCCCAGTGAGCGGCCCATTCAACCTGGCAATTCCTCCACAATTGATCTGGAGGCCTTCTTTTTCGGCCAGAGCAATGTAAGAAGCGACCTTTTCGTAATGCGCCTTGCTGACGAGAGCTCCAATGTTTGTTGAGGGGTCCGTTGGACATCCGACTTTTAGCTGAAAAAAGGGTTGGGTCCGAACAGACCATTTTCAGTTCACCATGAAAATATGGGCTTGGTAAGGGGGGACCAAGGCTCGATCGGGAAAAAATGGGAGTGGAAACAGTTTGTCGGGAAAATAATGAACAATGATGCTTCGAACGATTGCATCGGTGAAGGGAAAAGCAACTTCATTTTGCCGCGACACAAGAATATTCCGTTGAATTGCTTGGTAGCTTTTGGCATGACAGATTTTGCTATCTTATTATTCAACAATTAATCAACCTCACATTGTCCTTTTTCTTGCCGAAACAGGTCGGGAATCGAGGCCCCTCTGTTTGACATTCAAAGAAAGCATGTCAACCAAGCAATATGGGATGAAAATAAAAAGCCTAGGGCAGAAAAGTACGGAGAATTTAATGGTAAAAAAATTATTTGGCTACACCGCAAGGTTTTCGCGGCAGGACCCATGGAAAAAAGTTTCTGTTTTTTGGGCTACCCTGTAATACACTGTTCGGTTCAAATCAAAAAAAAGCGCAATTTTGTCGAAAAACATCGATTTCACTCACCTCCTTCGCCAACGCCGCAAACTTCTCCAGGAAATTTTTGTAGATGGCCCGTTGAACGAAGATCCGACTGGTACACAAACACACCTCTCCTTGGTTGGTAAAACACGACCTGACCAGCCCAGGCAACACGGTTTCCATATTCACATCAGCGAAGATCACGGCCGCATTCTTGCCGCCCATTTCGAGCGAGATTTTCTTGTTTAGTGGGGCGGCTTTGGTGTTGATCATCTTGCCGACTCCGGTGGAGCCGGTGAAGGAAATTAGAGGAACCTAAAAGACAACTTTTTAAACCTGTTGGAAGTTGGAATACTAGGCGGGCGAAAACTTGAAAAACAGCTTGCGCTTTGCAGCTGGGAAGTATCAAAAATGTGGCAAAATGCTTCCCTCTCCAAGTGAAAAAAAACTCCGATTTCAAAAGCGTGTCCGCTCTTTTTGTGAGGGAAAAGGCGCGCCCTTCAAAACAAAGTTTTTTCACTTGAAGAAGCATTTTGCCACATTTTTGATCCTTCCCGGATACAAAATATTACGTTTTTTGCCACTGGATCAGGTCCCTCACTTTGTTGGCCCGTCGAATCGGCTTACCTTTTCACTAGTAATCAACGGGTCGCCAACTCCCGGCCCAGTCCCAATGACCATGTTCACAACTCCCGATGGGAATCCGGCATCCACCAGGCTGTGCATTAGGACCCAAGCAGAAGCCGAAGTCACTTCACTCGGCTTGCAGACCACAGTATTTCCGCAGGCCAGAGCTGGGGCCAATTTGAAGATAAGCTGAAAGAGGCTGTCTTTTGATTACAGTGTGCTCATTATTTTCCGGCAGAATATTAATTTATAATAGAAATACTGATGTTTTACCCACCAAATAAACCGGAAGATTCCATGGGCAAATCAGCGCCGCAACGCCGACCGGATCATTCTTGACAAAGCTGACGGTGTGGTAGCGCTCCTGCATGATATGGCTTCTAAACAAATTTTAGTTTGCGAAGGTTTCAAAAGACTTGTCAGAACTCGAACCCTGTGAAGCAACGCTTCTTCCTTGACTTACGGATTGGTTTGGGTTCGAATCGCCGCGGCGAAGAAACGGAAGTTATGAACAACTCGGGGGATATCCATAGTCCTTGAAATAAGAGAGGTTGTCAGTCCGTCGGGAAAATAATGAGCGTAATGTCGCTGTGTCGGTCAGCGACATAATATCGCTGCAGTGAAAATAAACTTGAGTTTGCCGCGACACAATTCATTTTCTCATCGGAAATGTTTTTCGATGCGCCAGAGTGCTCATTATTTTTCCGACAGGATAATTTTTGACTTCATTTTTTAAATTATTCTTTTTATTTCATGGCTGAACTTACCGTGCCAACGTGATGGGCTTCCCTTGATCCCTAGACTCCACTTTGGCGTATTCGTCGATATTTTGCTCCACAATATCAGCCAACTTGTTCATAAGCGAAGAGCGATGCTCTGCCGAGGTGTTGGACCAGCTGAACAGGCATATTTTAAAAAATTTGTTAGTAAATATTTATTTTCATAGCTCATGGGCATCCATCGCAGGGCGCATCGTGCACAATAAACGTGTTATTTTGCACCGTGCATTTCGCATTTTTTGATAATTTACACCGTGCGTTCACCCTTTTATTGAGTTTGCACCGTGCACCCGGAATATCGCCGCGACGTAAGCTTTTCGCTCTGCACAGTGAAAACGGCCTTTTTGTGGGTTGCACTGTGCGAAGAGAGAAAAATGCACTGCGCCTTGGCGACAAGCGCGGGAAGAACTTGAAAGTGCACTGTGCGAAAGTGAAAATGTCCATGCACTTTATGAAAGTTCTATTGTATACTACAATAGTATAATAATACTATAATTTATAGTATTATAGTATGTTGGCGATTTCAACTCACTCCTCGAAAGCCTTGCTCGCCGCCTCAATAGCATCTTCAACATCAACTCTGCTTGAGTCCGGCACCCTCAACCAACGCTTCCCAGTCGACGGATCAACACTATCCAAGTACGCGCCATCCGCCGGCGGCACGAATTTATTTCCGACAAAATTGCTGAGCTTCATATCCGTGTCGTTGAGAAGATACGACAACGCTTGTTTGGTCAGCGCCATTGTCAAACAGTTGGTTTTTTGAGCGACAAAAAACAGCAATGTTTACTATTACAGCGAATGATTTGGCGGACTTTTATAGAGCGCAGATCTGCCCCGTTCCCGTTTGTGCTATGAAGCTTGATCTTTGCTTGCGCATTAAGCAAGTTAAGGGTCGGCGGAGACAACAATATTTTCGAATTTGACGAGGCTACGGTCATGTAATTACATCAAGACGGTTGGCGAAAATTTTTACGGTTTTTTCTACAAATCGCATGCTAGAAATCGCGCTGATTTCTTGGAAAAAAATTTTCATATTCTGTCGGGAAAATAATCAGAACAATGTCGCTGCGCCGATCGCGTCGCTGAAGTGAAAAAACGATTTGATTTTACCGCGAAACTATTCATTTTTTCTGACTCATAATTTTCCCGACAGCTGTGCAGAGAGCTTTGTTTTATCCCTACATGTATACGATATGCGATCTTTGATCAACTTCCTTTGCGTGACATGTGTTTTCAACAGCGCTGTTAAATACTTTACAGCAAATTTTGACAAAACGTGAGCATTACTTTTTACCCTTTTGCACAAAACATCTTTAAAAATTTTGATAAATTTTTTGTGCAAGCCCGTTTTAATTGAATTACAAACTACAGTCAAACTGATCAACAATGTTCGTTGATCAAAATCTCTCAATTTTCATCGAAATCTGAGCGTCGCACTTGGGGTATTTCCCTATTATATTAAAAAAGTTTTAAACGATTTATTCATTGATTTCGAAAGACTACATAAGCAAAATTCTATGTGAAATACGTTGCCTCATCGTCCAAATGCTTCACGGAAGTTTGATGCAGACAGTTTTCTGTTCAGTGTAGAAATGAAGCGAGTCTTCGAGACCTTCTCGACCGGAGCCGGATTGCTTCGTGCCGCCGAAAGGCATGGTCAAATCGCGCACCTGAAAATTGTAATGTAAACTCGTGTTGTGGTAGTCGAAAGTAGAAGTAGTAGGACGTACTCAGACAAAATTGTATGGTGATTCCGAAAGAATTAAAGATTTTATGGCGATTTAAAAAATCGTCATCAATTTTGGGAAGTCCTTAGAAAAAGTGGAAGAAATTGCCCTTAAGGTAAAGTTATGCAAATCAGTATTAATCTATCTAAAAAATGAAGTAATAGCCAGCATTATTTCCAAAAAAGTTTGAGATTGCCCTTCGAAAAACGAATTTTTGGGTCATTCTAAAACTTTGGCCATTTTTAAAAAAAATAAAGCCAAAATTGAAAAAAAAACTCGATTTTATAGCATGTCCTGACGTCAAAATTGGAAATAGACCGTCTACTTTCTACATAGCTACCGCTTACCAGCCAGCAATTACACCAGACAGTGCCAACTCGAAGACGGTTCGCAACAGAAGTCAGATTATCAATGGATTCGCTCCAAACAGTTGCCGAAAGCCCATATTCGCTGGCATTCACCCGTCGAACGGCTTCATCGGCCGTATCAAACGGAGTCACAACAACGACGGGTCCGAAGATCTCCTCGCGCATCAATCGGGAGTCGTCCGAAGCGCCCGAGATTACCGTCGGAGCAATGAAATAGCCCTGTAAAGAAATTCATGTGGAAACTTTGGATTAGAATTCATGGAGTTCAACATGCCGTAAAATGCCAAATTAGGTGATGACTTACCCCGCTGAGTGGTCCGTTCAGCTTGACTGGGCCTCCGCAATGAACTGCGAGGCCTTCTTTTTCGGCTAGGGTAATATAAGAAGCGACTTTTTCGTAATGAGCCTTGCTGACGAGGGCTCCAAGATTTGTTGAAGCATCCGTTGGACATCCAACTTTTAGCTGAAAATATAAGAGCACTGTAAGGGCTATCTGAGTCTGGGCAAACCCCAAAAGGCCAAAAATTAAGATTCTTCTTGTGTCTTAAAAATTCGCGTTTTTTCAAAGCTACTGGAAGCACTTTTCAGCTCAACAAAGCCCTGAGATATATCCTAATCTCGAGCTTTACTCACTTTAGAGGCTTGTGCCACAAACTGCTCCATGAAAGAGTCGTATATGGCGCGTTGGACAAAGATCCGACTAGTACACAAACAGATCTCTCCTTGATTGGCGAAACAGGACCGAACCAGAACGGGCAACACTTTCTCCGGACTCACATCCGCGAATACTACAGCCGCATTTTTGCCGCCCATTTCGAGTGAGACTTTCTTGTTCAAAGGAGCGGCTTTCGTGCCGATCATCTTGCCGATGGCCGTGGAGCCGGTGAAGGAGATTAGAGGAACCTGAAATGCGTGTTTTTGGATATTATACGTATCAGCTGTCGGGAAAATAGTGAGCACAATGCTAATGGGCAGATCGCGTCGCTGAATTGAAAGGCGGCTTTTTTTACCGCGACACAAGCCATGTTCTCGGCGGCGATGCGATTTTCGATACGAATGAATCCTCACTATTTTCCCGACTGACTGATATATAAATATATGTATATACGGTGGGGATCTGATCCAGTGGCAAAAAACGTTTCATTTTGCACCCGAGAAGTAACAAAAATGTGGCAAAACCTCCCTCTCCAAGTGAAAAAACTCCGATTTCAAAAAAAAAAAACTCCGCGCCCTTCAAAACGAAGTTTTTTCACTTAGAGAGGGAAGCATTTCGCCACATTTTAGGTACTTCCCGGATACAAAATGGTACGTTTTTTGCCACTGGATCAGGCCCGCCACTATAGTATTAAGATGTCTTGCTTTTGAACTCTACCTTTTCATTAGTCACTAAATGATCGCCAACCCTCGGCCCTGTCCCGATGACCATGTTGACGACTCCCGATGGGAATCCCGCATCGATGAAGCTGTGCATCAGAACCCACGCGGTGGCTGAAGTCATCTCACTCGGCTTGCAGACCACCGTATTTCCGCACGCAAGAGCTGGAGCCAACTTGAAGCTGAGCTGAAAAAGGCTTTAGATGATGCAAGAGGTTTTTTGAACGACCCCGTGGAAAAAGCGAGATTTTACCTACCAAATAAGCCGGCAGATTCCATGGGCAAATCAGCGCGGCGACTCCAACCGCATCGTTTTTTACGTAACTCAACGCGCTATAAGGCTCGACAAGAAGTCGGCTTCTAAAAAATTATTTTTTTTAAATCTGGTTTACATCATTCATGCTGAAAAAACGATTTTTTTTTACCACTTACGGACTGGTATGGCATTGGATGACGGCCGCGAAAGAACGGAAATTTTTCACTACTCGTGGAATATCAATGGTTCTGAAAAAAAATACTGTCTGAATTTTTCAAGTGAAGTTTTAATAATATTATCTCTAATATTAGGGGTCCCATAAGTCCTGTGTAGTTTTGGGTCGTCGATTTATGCGAATTCCAGTGAGCTTTGAGATGCATTACGAGAAATGTTGAACATACGGTTTTGAAGCTCAGAAAGTGCGCTTTTAAACCATGTATAGCAAGGCTGCAAAAAATCCACCTATTACCCACCCTACCCCAATATTGTACTAGATATTTTTAAAAAATTTGCTGAAACCAGCACCTTCGAAAACCCTAAATCCAGTATTTTTGGAAAAATTTCAAAAAATTACTTTTTAACACTATTGCTTAAGGAAAGCTAGTAAAGTTCAGAAAAAATAAACATGATTTTTGAAATCAGCACCCTCGAAAACCCCTATATCCAGTAGTTTTAGAAAAATCTCAAAAAGTTACTTTTTATTTAACACTACTGCTTAAGGAAAACTAGTAAAGTTCAGAAAAAATAAACATGATTTTCGAAATCAGCACCTTCGAAAACCCCTAACCCAAGTTTTTCCCGAAAAAAATCAGAAAATTTTCACCCCGGGGCCGCCCAGTACGTCGCAGCGACTTTCGAATAGCACAGTTCAAAAGTGGGATGCACAATGCAAAAAACTTTGCGAAAAATTTTGCGACAAAAATTCGACGCTCTTTGGAGAAAGCGAAGAAAGAAGTAATGCACTTACCTAGCCAATGAAACCGGCTTTCCTTGATCCCTCGACTCGATCTGCGCGTACTCCTCCAAATGTTGCTCCACAATATCGGCAACTTTGTTCAAAAGCGCGGCTCGATGGTCTGGCGAAGTCAAGGACCAACTGAAATTTTATTGGCATCATTGTAAACTATATTTCGAAGACCACACTCACCTGTCGAACGCCTTATACGCCGTGTTCACCGCGTTTTCAACATCATCTTTGGTCGAATCGGGGACTTTCAGCCAAGCCTTTCCAGTTGCCGGATTCTCACTCTCCAGATACTCGTTCTCGGCCGGAGGCAGGAACTTGTTCCCAATGAAATTGCTGATTTTTGGGTCTTTCTCGTCCAGCAGGTAGGCTAGCGCTCGTTTTGTCAACGCCATCGAAATTGCTTACAAAATTTTTGAGGCAAAATCTGGAACAAATCAAGGAATTATGGCTGATTGTTGTGCAACACCATGTGTGTCACCTTCAAAATACGAAAAGGCTCAGTAAAAAAAAAAGGGGGGGGGTTAATGGGCCATGTTCACATGCATTTCTGAAGATTAGAGTGCAAATTTGGCCATTTCCGGGGTTTTGCTGCAAAATATCTTTGTTTACGGACAATTTAGTTTGCAAGGAATATCACTCAAATTGATGAGGGCATTCAATTTTTGGTTGTTTATTGAATCCATTTTTAATAGTTGGCTTCTTTTTAAAAATAGAGGTTTTTGTACCAAAATAGGCACGTTCTCGAAATGACAGGGCTTGGGGTACTATTTTCCGGCCTTGTGAGCCGGAAAAATAAAAAAGAAATCGGTACACAATTCCCAAGGGCGACACTTATAATAGGGGGTTTCCCAGCTTCTTCCGTTGTTGGGTCGAAGTTGTACATTGGGGGACCCGATCCAGTGGCAAAAAACGTACCGTTTTGCATCCGGGAAGCATAAAAAATGTGGCAAAATGCTTCCCTCTTCAAGCAAAAAAAAACTTTGTTTTGAAGGGCGCGCCCACAAAAAAGCTTCCCGGATGCAATATGGCACGTTTTCTGCCACCGGATCAGGTCCCCCACTTTAGATTTTCTTTGAATCAAATTTTTACATATATATACTCGGACATAGGCCTTACAGCAATGCCTGAAAGTCTTAGCTCGCGCTTTACAGGGACAGCTGAGATATTCAACGATAATCGCGACCGAGAGAGTTTGCGAAACGCGGAGAGCCGACAGAGTTAAACCCACTTTTTGGCAATATCTTTGTCAGCGTTTCGCGGAAAAAATTGATTTTTTGTGGAAACATTACTTGCTACTGTAGAAATAGGTATGAAACTTTTCATGCCAAAATTCGAGAAAAAACGTCATATTTTTTCATTTTTTGACCTAAAAATCTCGGTCGTTTCTGCAAAGCGCGAGCTCGGAATCTCGCGTATGCATCAAATTTAGAGAGAAAAAATTAATCTGAATTTATGCCAGCTTTCATCAAAGTCTGAATGCCACTCCGCGAGCATCTTTTCCTGTGAGTTCCAGCCGCAACAGCTATTGATTACAACAACAAACCATCGATAAATTTGAAGAAAACAGCTTATTCCACGCTACTTTTCCGTCTCGAACAGAAACAAGACCCCTCAAGATAAATAAATATCAAATTTCCTGCTCATACCCGAGATTTTTTGACATGTGACAGTCGATTTTCTAATGTCACGAAAAAATATTTTCCCTAAAAAAGAATAAACAAAAATATGGTTTGAGACCCCAAATCGTAAAATTAGTCTCTGAAAAGCATGAGAACCCGTTCTCAAGACTTTTCTCGACCCGCGTGTCCAGCTTTTTATACAAACCCTCCCCTTTATATCAGTGATGCGCGCTGGGAAAGTTTTAATTCGACCTTTGCCCCTGATCAAGGTCTTGGCTAGAGTCTACAAAGTATAATCCAAGGCTACATACGTCAATTTGGAGGAAGAGACTTGAGTTTGCTCCGAAATTTGTCCCTTCAGCCACAGATTTTGTAGTTTTAGGTTATAATTAGGTTTTTCTGAAACAATGTCTTTTCTCAACATCAAGGGTCTTTTCTCAACCGATCATCTCCGTATCTTGCGGATCCAACCCACACTGCTGCTTCAGTTTTTCTTCTAAACTGTCGTGATCCGGGGCTTCTAATAGTTGCTGAGCCTCTTCTTCAGTCATAGTGCCTGCCAAATCCAAGAGGTCTTGTTCTTGAACATCGAAGTCTTCCTCTGCGTCCTTTCTTCTTTCCACTGAATCAGCTATGTGCTCGCCCTTCTGCTTTCTCTGCGATCTTCTCTCAGCACTAGTTCCTTCGATTCTTCTTTCTTCCGTCGACATTCTCCCAGCTAGATTTCCTCGGGAACTTCTCTTCTGAGATGTATTGATATCTAAAAACAAAAAAGAATTAAAATTATTACCGTCTATTATGTTATCTCGAAGAAAACACGAAATATCTCCAACAATCTCGTTCAATTCCGTTGGCCTTTCCAAATCCGATTCGAGTTGCGGAAACTTCTGGAATGTTGCCGAAATTCGTCGGCGGCGGTTCGCGCCCATACCGTACCCGGTTCGCGGTTTCGTGCCGAAACTCAAACAATTGTTTGAATTTTCTCCAAATTCGATTTTTTCTTCGAAATTATCAATCAATTGCACTGGTAAAACTACATCTTGAACATCTTCATCAAAATTCTGATTCGCATCTTCTTCAACATCAAAATTTTTCAAGATAACGTCCTGTTTCTCAATTTCGAGCGGGTATAACGACTGTATCGGAATCCGCTTGTCCACAAAGTTTTCATATTTCCAGTTTGACTTTCTTTTGGTGTTTCCGTCTTTTGCTGGCTTTCGAAATCTGACTATGGCTGTAATCGGCGGTCCGTGTCCTCTTGGTTGGAGGATCTCCTTGACGATTCCTGTTTGCCACTGATCTCTGGCTAAAATCGAGTCTTCTACAATAACTGCTTCTCCAACTTCTGGAGTTTTTCTTCCTGACTTCTTGTTCCGTCGTCCCTTCTCAAATTGCCTTAGGGCTAAAAGGTATTCCGACGTCCATCCGGTCCAAAGTTCATCTAATATTGATATCATTCTCAAATGCATCTGATGTAATCTGGTTTCTGCTGGATCTCTATGTGATTTTTGTTTTCTTCTTGCCTCCTCTGGCACAAAATCTGGGTCATCCATATGATTCTCACCTAAAAATGGGCAGTAGTAATAAGTTCCAGCGGGTCGCAAGAAATCTACTGGCCGTAAACACGTATACTGATCTCTGACATCTGATGACCTTAGGAGCGGCCTGTTGTTGACTGCATCTTCCAACATTTTGAATAAAGTTGCGAGTTCCACGTCATCTATTCTTCTCAATTTCTTAGCACATCGCGTGAACGCTGACTTGACTATTCCGATGAGCCTTTCGTAAAACCCGCCCTTCCAAGGGCATCTTGGGTCATTGAACTTCCAGTATATCGTTCTCTCAGGAGCATAATACGCTCTGATTTGATCTTCCGCGCCCACAAAATTCGTCCCGTTATCCGTGATGATTCTCAAAGGTACTCCTCTCGTTGCAACAAATCTTTTAAATGCTCTCATAAAGGCTTCACTCGTCATATCTTCCAGAACTTCAAGATGCACTGCTCTCGTCACCATGCAGGCGAATATACACCCCCATCTTTTTCTCAGTCCTGCCTCTGTTTGAATTCTGTATGGTCCAAAGGCATCAATTCCTACATTCTCAAAAGGTACTGCTTGTGTAATTCGTTCTTGTGGTAGTGCATCTGGATTCGGTTTCTCAAATGGTTTCCGGTATTTTCCCAAGCATTCTGGGCATCGGCGAATCTGACTCATCGTGCTTCTCATTCCTTTTGGAATCCAAAAATTATTTCTCAACCAACACAATGTCGCTCTCGGTCCTTGATGACACACTCTTTCATGCGCATGCTGGATCACCAGTCTCGCTAAATCAGACTTCTGATGAACAAACACTGGAAACTTCCGATTCTTCGACACGTTGGCTGAACCGATTCTTCCCACTGATCTCCAAATTCCTCTTGGGTCTTTTCTCAACATCAAGTTCTCGATTTGATCTTTCGTTGGCGGGTATTCTTCTTGCGCAATTCTGTAGATGGTGTGTTGAGCTTCTGATAACAACTCTCCTTCTCCTCGTTCTAAGTACTCGGGGTTCTTCTTTTTCTTCATTTTATCGATAAACTTTAGGATCTTCATCGTGACTCTGACAGCGAATCTAAAAGAATTCTGATTAAATAATCTTCTCAACACATTCTCGTTCCCATCTGGCTTGACGTTCTGTACTGGTAGGATGATCTCTTGTTTCTCATCATCCTCTTTATTCTCAGGTTCTCCTTCTTGAATAAATGTCAATTTCGACGGCCATTCTTCCGGTTCTTTTCTCAAAAAATCCGGACCCTTGAACCACAACGTCAAAGTTCTCAACTCTTCTGGTGTTGTTCCTCTACTGGCGATGTCTGCTGGGTTCTGATCTGTCGGTACATGTCCAAAGTTTGCGACTTCTGACTTCCAAATTTTTCTCAGCATGTTTCTGACTGCAAGCGGCTGATCTGATGCTCCATTTCTTATCCAATTCAAACATATCGTACTATCTCCCCATAAATAGATCTTCACATTCTTCTGTAACTCTCTCTTGACATTCTCTGCCAATCGACAAGCGGTCACTGCTCCTGCTGTTTCTCCTTGGGGTATAGTGAATTGCGGTTCATCTAACCTTATCTTCTTCAGTTTTCCGTCATCGCCTTTCTCAGTTGCTGCCTTCCTTGGTGTGATCAGACTCTTTGATGCCAATAACGTTCCTCCTGATACTCTGTTCTTCACATTCACTGCGTAAATCGCCGCTCCAAAAGCGTATTCTGAAGCGTCTGCAAATACATGTAATTCATCGCCGTCTTCAATCTGAGTGTATCTCTGAAATTCAAACTCTTGTTCATTCCATGTCGACACTATTTCTAACCAATCCTCTACAAATTCTGCTGGAAACTTCTTCGTCCATCCGTATTCTGGGTATTTCCACATCTTCTGAATATATCGTTTCACTTCCACGAACAATGGCGATAGCAATTGTAGTGGATCGTAGCCCGAATGAGCTAGACTCACGAAATCAGCTCTCGTCTGTTCTGGATTCTTGTTGACCTTCGGCAACTTTATTCTCAATGTGTCCTTCTTGACGTTCCATGGTACTCCAAGTACTTTAGCCTTCTCCTGGTTTCCCATCAGCTTCTCTGGCATCTGAATTTTCCCATTCGAAATAAATTCTCTCAAGTTCATTTGGGCTCCTTCCAGTATTCTTCTCGCTTCTTCTGATTTCCTCTGGGCTTCCACATCATTATCCGCCCCAATGTTTACATTGTCCACATACAAATTGGACAATATTTCCTTTCCAAGAGTACCTTCTGCCTTCTCAAACAAGTCCTTGATTGCTTCCTGTAACATAAATGGTGCTGGTCTTAAACCAAAGGGTAACCTCTTAAATTCGAACACTCGCAGATTCTCAAAAGTCAACGGTCTATTGACATTCTTAGGCATCAACCATCTGCAAATCGCTCTGTGTGTTGGTGCAATTCCAATCTGATGAAATGCTTTCTCGACATCACTCAGTACCAGGGTCTTGAAGGTTCTGCATCTCAACAAAATTCCAAAGATTGTAGGCAGATCTGGCTTTCCTTTGTGCAGGCACTCATTCAAACTCTTGTTGAGTGTGTTCTTCTTTGACTTTGCTGTCGGATCTAATACCATCCTATGCTTGGTCGTCTCTGAATCCTTCGTCACAATATGATGTGGTAAATAGTGTGGTGGTAATGAACCTTCTGGTAATTCGTCGTTCAGCCTCACCTCTTGAATTATTCCTGCTTTCAGTTGATTCTCAATCGTTTCGTTCACTGTTCTCAAAAGTTCTGGTGATCTCTTCAACTTCTCAATAGTTGGCTTTAGTCTCGAAATTGCTAACATTAACTGGCTATCCAGTTTCCAAATGTCTTCCTTAATCGGATATTCTACTTGGTATCGACCTTCTTCATCACGATACATCGACTTTCTGTAAGTTTCTACCACTTCATCTTCTTCCGTCTTTTCAAAATCTTCTTCTGAGATTCCTAAATGCTTTAATTCTCTTACTCTGTCGCATAGATCCTTGATATCCCAATCATCGGTTTTCTTAAAATCAAAATTCTCATCCTTCGTTACCATAACGATTCCTTCCTCGATCTTCTTGGACTTCTCTACAACGATTATTCCACTGAGGGCGTATCCTAGCTTTGTTTTCACCACGCTCAAGTTTGTTGGATGCTTCTCGTCGGTGTAAGCCATCTCCAATTTCGCTACTTCTCCTACTCCGAGCAACACATCGGGTTCTCTTTTGGGGAGCGGTAATTGTATCTTATACTTCTTGATCTCCTCCATCGTTTGTGGAATTCCTGTGATCATCTGGTATGGTTTGACAAACTGATCCACTACCAAAACGTCTACTTTTATCTTCGATCCATCTGTTAACTGGAGAAATATCTGCGCTTTCTTTGTCTCCACCATCGTTGACTTCGCTCTAAAACCTGACATTTCTGATAGCTTTGCTTCTTCAGTCTTCAGTTGCATTCTCTCAGCAGCTTCTCTAGTGATGAAGTTCAACGTTGCATGGGTATCCATCGCCACCGTCAACTTCTCAAATTTCTCAGCCGTTTCCTCACTGCTAGCGTTGACATCAACCGTTGCCATTATAGGAATGTTCCTCTCTTCTGGTTGAGTCTTCATCCCTTCTATTGCTAACATTCCGTTAACATTTCTTTTACTGTCTTGCTCTGCTTTCCTGGGTACTACACATAATAATGTATGGTGATCTTGGCCACATTTAGCGCAACTTGGCGCGTCACATCTTCCTGTGTGTTTCCTCAGGCATTTCTCACAAGCTTTTAATTCCTGAATTCTCTTCCGTCTCAAATACGCTGAATAATGCATGGTGCACAACTTGGCTCTAGTTTTTTCAGATTCCACGGAACCTGGAGTTATCCACGATGTGTCAACTCGATGGAATTTATGGAGAGAGAGAAATGTCCCCTGTGTCAACTGTTTCCCTAGTTGTTTTTCCCCGATGTTCGAGAATGTTCGACGGAGAGATCCCGAAGCGAAGCGCCTGATTCACGACACCGTAACCTTCTCCAAGGTTTTATCCCATCTTGATCAGATATAATTTATGTATGGGTTGTTGTTGTGTCGTGAAGTGTAGTTGTGTAGTTGTTGTGTCGAGTTGTTGTAGTTGTTATTGTAGTGTTGTTATTGTAGAGTTGTGTTTTATTGCATATTTTATTGTATTGTTTACGTTTATTGATAAATTCATTTATTCGAGTTAATTTGATCTTATTCTCGTGTTCATCTTTTAAGGGGAACGAATACAATCGATTACCCGACATCCACATCCGCAACCTTCCACTTGGAGGGCCAAGTAATTTCAGGTAGCAAGAGTGCGGAAGGTAATCGACAGGAGGAACACCGCAAGACCACTAGCCATATTGTCGTTTTCTTTTCTGACCGAAGGTGGAATCGGACAGACGAAAAGTGGGGGCTGAGCTTGGTTTGGAACGAAGACCAGGATTATATCAACGACAAAAACAGGATTGGCACTGAGAATAGCTGAGACGTCAGCTTTTGAGAATCAACTTGAAAAGATGAGTGAATCAACGAACGTGTATACGGATGCAATGAAGAAATGGATGGGAGCGCTCGAGAAAAAAGAAGAGAAGATCAACCGCGTCAGAAAAACAGTTAGCCCAGTCTTGGACGATTTTGACTATTCGAAACCGGACACAGAAGAGGAACTGGAACGTTGGATTGAGAATGTGAAAAAGATGCAGATGTACATTGACGAGATCCCAGAAGTGTTGAATCAGCTGAAGAAACTCACAGGACATCTTGAGAAAGAAGATGAAGACCTTGTTGAGAATATTTTAGGTAGATATGATGAACATTATACCGCGAAGAACCTCGAGAACTTTGAGAACATCCAGGACAAGATGAGGCAGTTAAAAATCAGTCCAGAGATGATGGCCCGCCAAGGATTACGGCTTGAAGACGGCATCATAAAGTGGGACTTGCAGTTGTCACATGGCAGGAGAACCAAACGGGAAAGCGAAGGGAAGAGAGGTAAGGGAACCGGACGTGGAAGAACCCCCCAGGAAGAGGTGCCCGACGGACAGGGACGGGTCGGTGTCCCACCTGCTCATTCGCAGGTGTCTTCTGAAGAAAGTGATGGAGAAGTTGAGTTGGAGATAGAATTGGAAGGCGAACGCAAAAGATTCACCCAGGAAGAGGTGCCCGACAGACAGGGACGCGTCGATGGCCAACCTACTCACTCAAAAGTGGAAGACCTCAGGTATGGAGCAGAGAAGTTCTGGGAAGGTAGAAGCGGAAGAAAGGAAAAGCATCAGAAGGCAATTGAGAACGCAACTTACACAACACGACAACCCGAAGATATCGACGTTGAAGATCAATTCCTGAAGTCGACATCATGGAACAAACACCATGATGAACCGGATTTGAGAACACGAAGATTGAGTAAGTCTCTGCGGAGCAACGAAATCAAGTCTCTGAGGAGCAAATACGAGAAGTCTCTGCGGAGCAAATGTGAGAAGTCTCTGAGGAGCGAACAAACGAAGTCTCTGCGGAGCAACGAAATCAAGTCTCTGAGGAGCAAATGCGACAAGTCTCTGCGGAGCAACCAAATGAAGTCTCTGAGGAGCAAAAGAAGAACGGATAGCTTGGAGAGCACCGAGTCAGAGGAAGATGTGGCTAGGATGAAGGGAAGGACCCCGAGCAGAAAGGCGAGGTTCAGATCATATAGTAGTACATCAAGTGAAAGCGGAAGAGACCGCAAGTCGATTGTGTTGAGGAGAAGGGCCGAGAGTCGATGGGCAAGGTCTGGATCAAGCAGTCGAGATGGCGAAGAGGATCGTCATGTGGAATACCGAAGATTGAAAAGGGAAACCAGTGATTGGAGAGGAAATCAGCGTGGTAACTCAAGTAAATCGAGGTATGGATCAAGCAGTCGAGATGGCGAAGAGGATCGTCATGTGGAATATCCAAGATTGAAAAGGGAAACCAGTGATTCGAGAGGACATCAGCGTGGTAACTCAAGTAAATCAAGGACGAACGAAAGGAGACGTTTGGAAGGACAGAGCCTGCGGACACGTTGCTATCGCAGGTGTAGTTCAAGCGAATCAAGTTCAGAATCAGAGTCCGATGGAGGATCTGATAGCAGTACGTCGCAAGGTAGTCGACGATGGAAAAGATCGCAGAATCGTGCTTCACAAGGTAAGAGAAGACGTAATAGATCATTTAGAGAGAGTTCACCCGACGAACGAAGTCGACATGGACGGAATCGACGTGAGAAAGAGAAGAGAAACACTCTTAAGAAGTCAAGAAGACACTCATCGTCGAGTTCATCAACTGATAAAGATTATGGAAGACGCCATGAAGGAAGAGAATTGGATACACTGTGCTTGTATTCAGTATTTGAGAAAGGGAAATTACGATGTCGATGTCTGCAGTTTGAGAAACATTCACATAGGAAGTCGCCGAATGTGACAGAATCGATGATCCCAAAGTTATATGAAAAGAATTACACTGGATGGAAGAGATTTATTATCCAGTATAACTCATTGATTGGATTGAATCCCAACTACTTGCCTATGCAAAAGAATGCATTTTTGAGAGGAAGATTGGGAAGAGACGAAACCAGAATTGTAGAATCGCTGGATCCTGGAATGGAATCGTTGAGAAGAACATTGAAGTCGCTGGAAAGACACTTTAGCACGACCAAGACGAGTACGATGAAGATGTTAATGGATTTGTTCGATCTCCCGACAATGTACCCAGCATATGAAACGCCGAAGAATATTCTGAGATATTATGAAGCTGTGCTCAGGCTGAAAGATGCCAGATATGATATGCACGATGAGTCTTTATTTGATGCATTTTTTAGGATTCTTCCTGAAGATCAAGCCAACGTATTGGAGTTTTGTCATGGTTACGACAGAGCATATGACCGTGGAGCGGACCATTTTGCACAGTGGGCACACGATGTTATTGTTCAGAGAATGAAGAGGCGAAGATTTGAAAATTACCGAAGAGAATCATTTGGCACTGTTTCAGAACATTCAGAAGATGAAAGCGTTGAGAATAGACGAGTTGACGAGATGATAGAGAATGGCAGAGAACTTGTTCCTTTCAGAAGACCCTTTGAGAACGATGATGCCCGAAGGAGAATGGAGAAGAAAGAGTCAGAGCCGATCAGGAACGACAGAGAACATAAGCAGGCTATAAGATGCTACTTTTGTCAAGGAAAGCACAACGGAAGGATGTGCCGGATCCATTACTCAGCATACTTGAAAAGAAAAAGAATTCAACAGCTGAAAGCATGTGAGAAATGTTTGATGAACCATTCAGGGAGTTGTGATGCTGAGAAATGTGAGAGATGTGGAGAAGATCACCACAAATTGATATGTCTATCGCCTAGAAGGAGAGAAATTGAAACTCAGAGGAACCAAGGAGCAATTGTTATGATGGTAAGTGATGAGAAGGTTGATTGCGAGAAACCAGATAAGCTGAATGAAAAGAATTTTGATGAAGTACCAGGAAAGTTTGAGAAACCTTTTGAGAACTTTGTGCAAAGAAGAATACATCGTCAAGAGTTATATCCGATAGAAATTGAGAAAAGTGATGATGATTTGAAGAATTTCGATGTGGATATTGAGAATGAGAATCTCGAGAATAAGTTTGATGTATTCAGAGCACAGAAGATTTTTGGCCGCCGGCAGGGTCCACGACGAGTCGCAGAGACACTTTGTGTCATGACTGATAGCTACGCATTGAGAAAGAAGTACGTGAAAGATGATGTAATTATCTTTTTTGATAATGAAATTGAAGAGAGAAGCGCCAACGAAATGTTTTTGAGAAGGAAGAAGAAGAGGAAGAGGTACACCTTGAAGAAGAACAAGAGAGCTCATTATGATGTGATCCACCCATTGGAGAATTTTATGACATTGATTCAACCAGATGTGACGAAGGTTATTGTAGTCTTGATTTTGACCGAATTGGAAGATGACGCAGTAGAGGGATTAAACAATGTCATTGAACCTTACATGTTTCTGATGAGAGAGAATTTGAAAGTAGACATGCTTCAAACTGATAATGATGAAAGATCGGGATGTGAATTGAGAAGGAAAGCTAAGGACCTGAAGTATGATGATTCTGCCATCGATGTGATCAAATGTATAAATGAAGAAGGATGCAAACTTGATAACTTTGGACAAAGAATGATTGATCGATGGGCAGGATTGATGAAGGGAACGATAACGAAGCACTTTGTACTTGGGCGGGCAATGTCAGATTCCACGGAACCTGGAGTTATCCACGATGTGTCAACTCGATGGAATTTATGGAGAGAGAGAAATGTCCCCTGTGTCAACTGTTTCCCTAGTTGTTTTTCCCCGATGTTCGAGAATGTTCGACGGAGAGATCCCGAAGCGAAGCGCCTGATTCACGACACCGTAACCTTCTCCAAGGTTTTATCCCATCTTGATCAGATATAATTTATGTATGGGTTGTTGTTGTGTCGTGAAGTGTAGTTGTGTAGTTGTTGTGTCGAGTTGTTGTAGTTGTTATTGTAGTGTTGTTATTGTAGAGTTGTGTTTTATTGCATATTTTATTGTATTGTTTACGTTTATTGATAAATTCATTTATTCGAGTTAATTTGATCTTATTCTCGTGTTCATCTTTTAAGGGGAACGAATACAATCGATTACCCGACATCCACATCCGCAACCTTCCACTTGGAGGGCCAAGTAATTTCAGGTAGCAAGAGTGCGGAAGGTAATCGACAGGAAGAACACCGCAAGACCACTAGCCATATTGTCGTTTTCTTTTCTGACCGAAGGTGGAATCGGACAAAAAATTAATCTGAATTTATGCCAGCTTTCATCAAAGTCTGAATGCCACTCCGCGAGCATCTTTTCCTGTGAGTTCCAGCCGCAACAGCTATTGATTACAACAACAAACCATCGATAAATTTGAAGAAAACAGCTTATTCCACGCTACTTTTCCGTCTCGAACAGAAACAAGACCCCTCAAGATAAATAAATATCAAATTTCCTGCTCATACCCGAGATTTTTTGACATGTGACAGTCGATTTTCTAATGTCACGAAAAAATATTTTCCCTAAAAAAGAATAAACAAAAATATGGTTTGAGACCCCAAATCGTAAAATTAGTCTCTGAAAAGCATGAGAACCCGTTCTCAAGACTTTTCTCGACCCGCGTGTCCAGCTTTTTATACAAACCCTCCCCTTTATATCAGTGATGCGCGCTGGGAAAGTTTTAATTCGACCTTTGCCCCTGATCAAGGTCTTGGCTAGAGTCTACAAAGTATAATCCAAGGCTACATACGTCAATTTGGAGGAAGAGACTTGAGTTTGCTCCGAAATTTGTCCCTTCAGCCACAGATTTTGTAGTTTTAGGTTATAATTAGGTTTTTCTGAAACAATGTAAAAGTACTGCTAGACTGGACTTTTATACTTTGCAGAAAATGTTGTTTAAACTACAACCTTTGAGTATAAGAAATTGCAATTTGTTTGTTACAGTAATCGCAGATTCCCCGCGTAAAATACGATAAAAGGAATAAAAAATTTCTCACAAAATTGTGTTTCTGATATTAAGAAAGTGTAAAATTACTCATTACAACATAAGATATCATCTGATATATAATTCGCAACATTTCCGTCACTTAATGCAAAAACCAATAATTTTGTGACACTTCGCAACAAAATAAAGTCAATTGTGGAGTTCCGTCGAATCATCAAATTTATTATTTTTCTTGCAGACGAATAACTTTTTACTTACATCGATTTTACTGTCAAATGTCGTGGAAATTTTGTGTAAATTGTATATCAAAACACATATCGTCTTTTTCTTAATTTTCAGCCGGCGAAAATGGACGTTCTCAACAAGAATGAGGTAAAAATGGACTGGAACTCGTTCAAAGCAGCCATGCACGATGCTACTGCAAATCCACCATGGCGCGCCAAGAATACTGTCCACCAACAGAGATGGAATCCGTATTCCATGGAGGGAGGGTAGGTGTTGGTTTATATTTTCTTTTTTTAGGCAGAAACGGATGAGAGTTTTAGCAAAGTTAATTTTATTAGTTGTCTCACATACTCATCGATGTTGCGGGAGTATTTTGAACCCAAGTCTTGGACTGTTTAAACCAAGCAAACAGTTTTTATTAGCTTAGGGCTAAGCTTACCATGGGCAATATAGTTTTTTTGATTTTTAGTACCGCATGTGCCTTGGCTGGTTACAACTTTGTCGTTGCGGCCAGTGACACTCGTATGTCTGCCTTCGAAGTCAGTGTTATGAACCGCGAAGCGGAGAAAGTTAATGTTTTGAACGATAATATTATCCTTGCCACCACTGGGTTCTATGGTGATGTTATTCAGCTCAAACGTGTTCTTGAGGTGAGTAAGGCTTTTATGAGTCTCGAATTGATTGAATTGCCTTTGCAGAGAGATATGGTGGTATTTTTGATCACTTTCTTTGTGATGTATATTGTTTTAGTTTGCATGTCTAATATCATAAAATAATGCTTGTATTTCAGTCTCGCCTTCACAAATACCGCTTTGATTATCGATGTGACATGACTGTCGACCTTTGCTCGGAACTATTAGCCAGGAACTTGTACTATAAACGATTCTTCCCGTACTACACTGGAGCTATTCTTTGCGGAATCGATGAAAAGGGTAAATTATTTTTTTGTTTTCTGTCTGCTTTTAGAATCAAAAAGAATCTTTATCCGAAGTAATAGCCTTAAATTGGCCTCTGTCATAAAGAAATGGCATTTGCAAACTGGAAGTTAGGTCTCATGAATAATATTTCAGGCTGTGGCGCCGTCTACAGTTATGATCCCGTCGGTTGCATCGAACGTCTTCCTTATTCTTGCAGTGGCGGCGGTGAGCCCATGATGCAGCCTTTCCTCGACAACCAAGTCGGCCACATGACTTTCTCAGACCAAGCCGAAAAGCCCCAACTCACCATCGACAGAGCCATATCCTTGGTGAAGGACGCCTTCAAGTCGGTAGCGGAACGTGAGACCTCTACTGGTGACAAGATTAACATCGTCATCGCCGAACACAACAGGCCCATCCGGCGCTTGACTATCCAGCTCCGCGAGGATTAAGCATGTCTAATATAACGGTTGATTTCTCTAAATTATGGTCTGATAAATAAATTTTTGAATGTGTGAAAAGACGGGGTAGACTGTTCTACTGGTTATTTTCCATAAATACTACTGATTTAAAGTTTTACTTATGGTTTGTGGTCAAATTTGAAAATGGTGTTGAGAAGCAAGGATAATGTAAATAATGGCTTTGAACTAAAAGATCTTGAACGCTGAAAAATAAGTCAAAAGGTGCCATAAAATTTTGGAGGTCTTGGCCAAATTTAACCCAAAAATCTCACCGATTACTTCAAAATTCGCCGAATTGTGGGTGAAAACTTCCGCATCCTTTTTTTCTGGTCTCTTTCTCTAAAAAATTATTGGATTTTCCGCAAAAAATGGCTTTTACAAAGGTGAAAGGAGAATCTTTTTTTTGTTTTCATACACTCACACGCGATTTTAGAACAGCAAACAGAGGGTTCGCTTGCGATAAAATTTATTTCTTTACTCTCCGATGTTTGATGCGAATGGCTGACGTAGAACAGTTTGATTTGCGTATGATAAGGTCACCAGGCATTCAGGAAAAATTCTCTTTGTTTCGGACCATTTGAACTTCGCTTTTTGGCTCTTATTACTTTTTAGGTATGCATTTCGTTAGACTCAAGTTTTTTAGGTATAAATGTGGTAGTTTTTTTATTTCTTGATGTTTCCAATGTTATTATCGTTTTTCTGAAATTTATTGTTGTTTTTTCGCTTTTCGTGTCAAGTTGAATATTTTGAAAGGTCTTTCGAATAAATCGGCGTCAATATTTGACTCTTTTAGCTTCTCAGCACTTCGACCTCATGTTGACGTAGAACCGGAAAAGCCGCCGGAGCAATGCGAATATCTGACTCTATAATTTATTCACTCACAATTATAACAACCTGGTAAGTAATTTTACTATTCTTTTCTTGGATTTTAGGTGTGAACACAGCGGAGAGGAAGGGAAATTCACAAATTTTACTTCGACTTTTGATTTCCGTAGTGAATTTTGATGGAGTCGAAAGAATTTTGCTGCGAGTTTATTAGAATATTGCCGAAATTTTATTTACGGGTAGTTTTTGCTTATACTCACTGCTAGTCAGCGCGTTTTTAAATAGAATATATAAAATTTATCAAGTGCAATATCTGGTCCCAACATTTTTTTCGAAAGCCTCACCAAGGTCAATATTTGTCGGAAAAGGGATTATATGTTGCTTGTTTTGCAGTGTGATCTCACTATCGACGACGACGACATGGAACCATCGCCATATCCTCGGCCTCCACACTCTGCGACCCACCATTATTCAGACGAAAAGGTCAGTGATTTGCATATTTTGAGGCATTTCGGGTTGTTTTGAGTGGTTTTCAAGGGTTAATAGATTTAATAGATTATAAAAAGGTATAATCCGCATTAACTGGGTCTAACAAAATAATAAAAAATGGATTGAAAGCATCTATAAAGTAAATTTTTATATTATACGAAGGGGCTTGATGATTTTTTTGAGTTGAATTTGAGAGCGGTTGGAAAAAAAGAAGGCTTTTTGGTCATTATTTGTAAAGACATTTCAACGGAGAAGTTTATGGCCGTTCGGGAAAGACAGCAGCCAGGTGATTGGGGATAAAAACAAGGATTTTTTAAGAGATTTATCGGGTTTTATGGCTAGGATAAGGTTATTTTTAGCGGATCTTGTGCAAAAATTTATTTTTATCGCAGCACGGACACCGTTTTTATAGTCTCAACAAAAATTTTTAATGATATTTGTAAATGATTTGACCTTAAAATGACGTCTTTCGGCTAAAAACGCCTTGCCTTTAGTACAAAAGGTGTTGAAAGTAATACAATTTCTTGTCGGAAGGAGAAATTATGCTTCGAAATTGTATTTACAAGGTCTAATTTGTTGGTTCAGCTGTTCCGTACATTGTCGTAGTGGGCTTTTGGACGAAAAGCGGTGAATAATATAGAATTTTACTAGATTTGATGCGCTAATCATTTGGTTTTTCGGGAATCAGAACGGGCGATGTGGCCCATGATAAATTAATGAGATTTTGATCTGGTTTATAAGGAAAGGGAGTGATTTTTTTGGGTGATAAAAAGTATAGACCTTTGCTAAATTGCTAATTTTGAAACTCGAAGAAAGTTTTATAGCGATGTGAGGGTAGAATAAAGATTTTGTGAAGTTTTGATATCATTTATGGTGTATTATACCTACCCATTTTTTGTTTGATAAGAAGATTTTTTCCTAAAATGCGCGTGACCTTCGATTTGGAGACAAAAATACAGTAATATTTGCATGGATTTTTCTATCCTTGTCAATTTTTTATAAGAGATTGAATAAAAATTCGGCTACTGTGTGGGACCAGATACAGTGGAAAAAAACGTACCATTTTGCCTCCGGGAAGTATCAAAAATGTGGCAAAATGCTTCCTTCTCCGAGTGAAAAAACTTCTTTCCTCGCAAAAATGCGGGCGCGCTCTTGGAATCGGAGTTTTTTCACTTGGAGAGGGAAGCATTTTGCCACATTTTTGACACTTTCCGGATGCAAAATGGTACGTTTTTTGCCACTGGATCTGGTCTACACTGTAGCCGAATTTTTAAGCAAGCTTAAAAATTCGCAATTGAAGTACAGTATAATTGATTGAAAAACGGAATTGCGATTGAAATTGGGGTTGAATGAACAAAAATGAGCGATGATTGAAGTCTCGGAAGACACGAAAAGATTTAAAACCCCTCTCTTCGCCTCTCCAAAGAAAACGTTTCTTATGGACAGGAATGGAGGAGGATCCACGTTGCAGCGCGAAAAAATGTTTTCTCTCCTCGTCGGCTAATAACCGATTTGACTCGATTTTTTGTTTTCATTAGATGGAACAGTGGAAACTGCTGATTTTTCGGTTAATCTCGGTGTTTGTTTTTGAATGTTGACCTCGAACGGGGGGATTATTAGACTTATAAAAGGTTGATGGAAACGAACGTGAAAGTTTTTTTTTTTGTTTTTTACAGTTTTCGGTAGAGGTTTGAGCGGTTCTTTGATGGATAGAGGCTGTAAATGGAATTGTTGGCCGTTTTGTTCGATAATTACGGTGGTTGTCCCGGTGCAGATTGTACAGTGACGGACCTGATCCAGAGGCAAGAAACTTACCATTTTACATCCGGGAAGTATCAAAAATGTGGCAAAATGCTTCTCCAAGTGAAAAGACTTCGTTTTGAAGGGCGCGCCCTTCCCCCCAAGGGCCCGTTTTTGAAATCGGAGTTTTTTTTCACTTGGAGAGGGAGGTATTTTGCCATTTTTTTGATACTTCCCGGATGCAAAGTGGTATGTTTTTTGCCATTGGATCAGGTCCGCCACGGTAATTGAAATCATTTTGAGATGTTCTGTGTTTTTCTTTCGAATTTGTCACGTGAAGCTCGAACTAGGCGTGTGACGTCCTCTGTCTGACTTGTGGTCCTCTTTTTGATTGGAATGAAGTGTTTCCAACACAAACGGTTATTCCTTTGACTCTTGAATTTTTGCTGACTTCAATACGATGGGCTTTTATCCATTTGTTGTAGGCTTTTGGCCTTTTCGTCGTTTTTCTCCAGCTGCACTGCTTGGCTGTGTTGTATAGTTGTCGTTTCGGTTGTTCCTCCAAATGTGTTGCTCATTTTCGTTCCATACAAAGTTGCTTTATTCAAAAGAACGCCGACTTCTCTCGCTCATTGAAGTCACTTCCCTCTTTTATCTCAAGTCTGTAAAGCTGAAAAAAATACTCGTTTATTTGTAAACTGTTTACAGTCCTTCGAAACTACTGTAAATTTAGTTCTGAACACGTTATTCATAGCGAGAGATTTTTTTGTATTTGCTCAACACTTGAAATTCAAATGGGATTGTCGTTTTGTGCAGCCACAAGACCTCGCGTTTGCGTACGTGTGATATTGGCTGAGAAAATGTAAATTAAAATGATAATTGTGCATAAGACGTTCGAAAAGAAGGGCGAGAACGGAGGTATTTTTTTCAAAAAAAGGATACTTCTTTGACCTACTTTGGCGGAATAGGTTGAAGTTTGCGAGAAAAGATTAAATTGAGGGAGTTCTTGGAGGGATTCTCGGTGTGTTTGCGGGGATAAGCTGCCGTTTTTGGAGTATAGAAGGCGGTCTTCTTGAGATATAAGTGTAATAATTGTGTAAGATGTCTTATAAGAGAGTTTATAAGCGTGTTTTGGCTTTCTTACAAGGATTATTTCGAATTACAAACTTTTTTCGTCTTCTACGGGGTTGTCGTTGTCCATTTTGTACAACGAACGCCTTGCCGAAGGAGCGGGGTGTTTGTTATACGAATTTCTTCTTCTGTAAGACCCGGGTAAGCTTGTAAGATCCTGTGAAGGTCTTTATTGCCTAGGATTACACACTGAGAAGGAATTTTGATGGTTCATCTTGGCTCTGTTTTCAAAACATTTTATGAATAATCAAGGAAATGGCTTTATCGTCACTTTTTTTTGTCATCCTAACATTGTTATTGTGGGGTAAATCTGCTGTCGGATTTGCGATGAACATCTTCCATTTCGCCCCACCGTGATTCCTCTTTCTTCGCCCTTGAAAAGTCGCTGTGCTTTTGTAAAGAACCCCATCCTTTTTGCAGTAATTCTCCTTCCTTGTTATTTTTGGATGCTGTTCGTCTTCCCCGGGATGGGCGTAGGAGGCCTGTAAACGGTTCATTTTTACACGTGTAGAAAAAGAGATAAACTTTCTGGGAAACCCGTAAAACCGGTAACACCATTTTACTTTCCTTTCTTGATTGGAATTGTAAAGTTTGTGATTTTTTCAGTTGCGCCTTGCTTGTTATTCATCAAATTTGTGGGTCAGATTCGTTTTTTCGGACAAAGACTTTTCGCACTTTTTCTGCAGCCCCCTAACTCGTTTATTCACGCTGAAGATTCATATCGAAAAAGCAAATCGTTTTTGCTGATCAGGAGCGGGCTTGTGACTGACTCCAGTCTGTTTAACAAAGTCATTTTGTTTTTTTGAGATTTGAATTTTTCGATAAGAGATTTTTTTGCAGAGTTAGCGGAGTTTGAGAAGAACTTGGACCCTTTGTACCGCTTTTACGCCAACAACGAATTTTTTACGCCAATAAAGAAGTTTTGAAAAAAACGAGCTGCAAAGACGGCCGATTTTTAATAAGCATCAAATTTTGCATTTTTTCTTCGACCCTTTTGAACTTTACCTTCGAGTCTGGTCAATAATCGATGAGTTACCCAAAATTGATTTCGTAAGCTAATATTTTTTTGATAAGAAATTACCTTGTGATAAAGTTAACAATATTGTCGGATGCTCGTCTGCGATAAGAAGTCATCAGCAGCTCCTACATGCTACGAATCTCGTGTTTTTTTCCATTCATTTCATAGATAATTTGTTTTTTGCAAATTAAATATGTTTTGTTTTGCAAGCAAATTATTTGCACTAAAAGTGATGAATCGTGTCTGTTTTTTCAGAAAGTCTGACGGACTTTTTGTGTCGAGACTTAATGGTCGCTACTTTTTATTACTCCGCTAAATTTTTTTGTTTGAGAAATGAAGCTTTATTGGAGAAAGATTTTTAGGTTGTTGCGAAATATTATACTTATCAGCAAGATTTTTTTGTTCACTGTATTTAAAGGGCATACAAAAAATATTGAAATGATCGGAAATTTAATGTCGAACCCGTGGTTTAACTTATGGCGTCACTATTTTTTACATTTTTTTAACACGCTTATGTGTTTTCACCACTTTCTCGGCTCTTTTCTCGGCTGATTGACAAGTTTGCATCGCCAGTTGGACCCTCTAGAACTGTCATTCCTGCCAATCACGTTAAAAAGTGTCTCAGGACTCTCTGACCCCACTAAACTATGCGATAAACTCCTCCCCCACTAGTGCCTGAAACTCCCTGCTCAAAGAATTCCCCCCCACATGGTTTCGCTCGTGATTTGCGCTTGATTACAACGATCCCGAAACTTTTTACTCATTCTTACAGTACAGTTATTGCTGCCTATTATTTCGGCGGGTTTAATGCTCCCCCACCGACGATTCACGCTTCATGGCAGCGCAGAAGGCTAAAGTCCCAAATGCGAGAACGGAGCGGTGCTTCCCATTCAACGTGAAGTCCACGAAAATTCGAATGAAACTCCCACAGTTACGAGTGTTTTATGTTAGTGTGGTGCTTGGTCTCGCGCTCTTTTGCGCAGTAAATGCGTCCAGATACTCTCTAGTCTACGTTCTCTATGGGTAAGAGGAAAAATGGGTAAAATAGGGTTCGAGGAAGAATTCGTATTACTTTAGGTGAACAATTGAGATTCTCGCTCATAAAATTGAAAAAACGGATGCTTGTTGACTCAAAATTGATGCAAAATCAAAGATTATAAGCTAGTTTTAAGTTACAATAAGATTTTTTTAAGAGAAGTGTCCTTGTGGGTTCAGAACGACACCTGTTTGGTATAAACTATAAAAAAATGAAAAAATCTTGAGTTTAGTCTGGCAAAATAGGTTCGAACTCACAAAGAAGATTACAAAGAAGAACTACAGTGGGAGACTTGATCCGGTGGCAAAAAACGTACCATTTTGCATCCGGGAATTATCAAAAATGTGCCAAAATGCTTAACTCTCCAAGTAAAAAAAACTCCGTTTTGAAGGGCTCCCTCACAAAAAGAGCGGGCGCGCTTTTGAAGTTGGAGTTTTTTCACTTGGAGAGGGAAGCATTTTGCCACATTTTTGATGCTTCCCGGATACAAAATGGTACGTTTTTTGCCACTGGATCAGGTCCCCACTGTATTACGGTGATACGATGAGTAAACTTGCGAAAAAATGTAATTATTTTTGAGTGTAATCTTACTTTAGACATAAAAATGCAAGTAAAAAATATTTTTTTTATAAAATTTTTGATAACTTCAGACATGATCTCAACAAATGCTCGTCTAGTCAAGACCCTATCAACACCCTGGAACCTTCCACGGAACAGGATCTAGCCACGAATTTCACCGAAATCATCAATTCCTCCTTTGAAATTGAGCAAATTCCCCCGAAAACTGTAGAAGACGAGTCGAAGAAGGCTCAGGAAAAACTAGAATCGGCCGATAAAGGTGAGTAAATTGACAGGGGAAGTACCCCAAGTGCGACGCTCAGATTTTGATGAAACTTGGCACAAATTTAGAATGATTTTTTCTAAAATATATGCGAGAATCCTAGCTCGCGCTTTGCAGAAACAACCGAGATTTTTAGATCGAAAGTTGGCGAAAATTTGACACTTTTTGCCAAATTTCGGCACGAATATTTTCATGCCTACTTCTACTGTCAAGGATAATGTTTCTACAAAAAATCAATTTTTTCCGCACGAAACTGCCAAAGTTATGGCCAAAAAGCGCTTTTCTATCTGACCGCTCTCCACGTTTAGCCTGCTCTCTCGGCGGCAAAAATCGTTCTATATCACGGCGTCGCCCGCAAAGCGCGAGCTAAAACTTTCAGGAATTGATATTTAGCCTATGCCCGAAGCGTATGCAAAATTTAAAGAAAATCTGAGCGTCGCACTTGGGGTACTTCCCTTGTGAGTTGTGTTGTTTGTTCGGAAGTTTAGGTAATTTAGAGGAGATTTTTCAGCGTTTTGAGTTTGTTGATTGAACCGCTTTATTTTAGCCCAACAAACCGATCAAAAACCTTCGACGCCCCCTCCGATTGCCACTTTCGAGGAATGGACGAAAGAAAAATTGATGCACAAGGACAAGAAAAAGCGTCAGCAGAATGGCACGGACAAACGGAACGACCAAATCAATGTGAAAATCAACGAATCGGCGAAAAATGTGGAGGAAAAGTCGGAACATCCCGAAAAACCAAAGTCAGAAGAATCCCCAAAGCCCGAGGACAAGCTGACAACAACGGAAAAGAAGGTTGAAACCACCACAAATCCACCGGTTTTGCCTGTGATCCAACCCAAACGGAATTACGCCTCCAAGGAATGCGGCGCCAAAGTAATTCATGCAAATGAAGAAGCGGAACATGTGAAAGCAGTGTTGAATGATCGAGAAAGAGACGAATACGCAAGGAATCCCTGCGAAAAGGCCAAAAACAAGTTCATTATCATCGAACTCTGCGAGACTATTCAGGTGGGAAAGAGTGACTTTAATTTTTACGAGATTTTTGTAATTTTTTTGATTATTTTTGATGAATGTTTAGATTTTTTTGATGATTTGTGTCTTGAAATTTGGCTTATGGTGTTTAAAAACTGGGGATTCAGTGATTTTTTTTTTGAATTTGGATTACTGTAATTTTGTGGTTTCCCAGTTTCTTACGTTTTCGGGCTGAAGATGTACAGTGGGGAACCTGTTCAATTCAATTTATTCACTAATCACATGTATAAAAGCATGGAGTGAATCAGTTTGGTTTCCATTGTCTGGTCAGTATAAGATCCCTCCATCGTGGGCCATGGTGTTTTCGAAACTCGTCGGTCCATCTCGTCCGTGGGCGGCCAAGTTGTCTTGTGTATGGGGGTGCCCATTCCAGCAGTCTCTGGTACCATCTTCGTTCGTCTTTCCTAAGCTCCATCTTTGTCATGTAGTTCCATTTTCGCTTCTTTGCTTCCATACATACATCCTTCAATCCAGTTCGAGCTCGGATATCTTCGTGGTTTATATGGTCCCTCAAAGATATACCCAGCATCCTTCGTTCCATTGAGCGTTGGCAACGCATTAACTTTTCCTGTGCATTTTTGGTCAGTGCCCATGTCTCGCAGCCATATAATAATACCGGAAGAATGCACATGTGAAAGTATTTTCGCTTTATGCTAATGTCGGTTAGCCGGTGAGTCAAAAGGCTGCTTACTTGACGGTAGGAATTCCAAGCGGAAGAAATCCTCCTTGAAATTTCCGTGATGTGTTGTCGTCTTAATGTTATCTCATGCCCAAGGTATACAAATTTGTCTACCTTTTCAATTGGTGTATTTTGAAATGACATGTCAAAAGGGGTTGAACACGTTCCCATCCACTTTGTCTTTGAGGCATTGATTTTCAATCCAATTTCTGTCGCTGCTGTTGCCAGTTTTTCAACCATCCTTTTAAGCTGGGTTTGTGTGCTAGATACGAGGACAACGTCATCAGCATATGCTAGGTATTTCATGCGATTATCGCCGACAATAATACCATCATTTCCCCAATCTATCCGATCTAGACAGTACTGCAGTGTCATAATAAACAACAGCGGCGAGAGGGAGTCACCTTGTCGGACGCCTCTGTTTACGTCAAAGTCTGCTTCGCAATCACCAAGAATCACAGACGCAGTTCCACTTAGGTACAGTTGTTGTACCATTCTTTTTGTACCTGGATCGATCTGGTAGTAATCTAATGCCTGCCAAATTGCCGAGAATTCAATGCTATCAAACGCTTTTTGAAAGTCAACAAAAAGCATTTGAAGAGGCCGACTCCATTCCGCAGTTTTTTCTATTAGAAGATTCACTGCGTGAACGTGATCTACCGTGCTGTATGCCTTTCTAAACCCAGCCTGCTCGCATGGGATCCGACAAGTTGCTATTAGGTTGTATAATATGTTATGACCATTTTCTTGCAAACGTTTGAAGTCGATTATTTCCTAGCTCAGATCCCTACTTAGTTCAACATACTTATAGACTAATAGAGGGCTTATCGAAGTTTCATCTAGTGCATATTGCAAAGTCTTACGGCATAGCCGCGATTTTCTATTGCTAAAAACTCGGAAGTGCCCCGATTTTGGCGGGGTACGAAACAACTCAAGTCACGTCTCTCTGCCAACCGCTGCTGGTCTCAGATTGGTGTTATTATAATCTTCAAGGGTCGGAAAAGACGCTGACACAGCATCGTTGCAAGGTAGCAGTGACAACTCATTTTATGAGCTGTTTTTCCGGAAGGTTACCGAAGCCGTCGCCTGAAAAAGCGTCTAAAAAGTTTAGCGCCCGGGGTTTCTATTGTCTATTGTTATAACTCGTAGTAATACGAGATCACATGCCTGTTGTCACACCAGACAAATTTTGGAGCATGCAATAATTGGAATCTCCAGAAAAATCTAAGAATTAGCAGAATTTTGGATCATCCAATTAAATTTCAATTTTTTAGAACTTAACAGCCGCAAACTCAAAGAACATATACTGTCGTTTTCGCCGAGGTATGTAGTGTATATAACCGCCAAAGACAGTTCCTCAAAAGATGGCGCTAGCGCGTACTCAATAAAAGTTTTGAACTCTAGTCCAGCGGCCCTCAAAATGTAACGATTTTAAGGAAGTTCCTTATTGTCACCTGATACAAGCAGTTTCTGATTTGAGTAGGTTATCAAAAAGCAACTCATAAGTGACTCTTTACAGCTGAACCACGTTATTTGAGGTGGGATTAATTCGAAACGAATCAGGGTGCATAACAATGAAGGTATACCTCAATTTATATTTTGAATAGTAAAGCTCAGGTAGGGGAGGTAGAGTTGATCCAGCACAGCGTATGTAAAAGGGACGCCTCGAATGTCCTACAGAAGCATTGCCATTACTAGCCTCTCAGAATTCTCAGATTTAAGGCGTATTTTTGTTTTAGCTCCTTGGGATGCCCTCATTTCTTAATTTCTTTTCTCCGATGTTTTAGCCGGAGGCCGATGTGCTACTGGTTCCTGTAATCTACTGTCTCCACCCTACCCAGCGGTATGCTATTCAACTCTGAAAAAAGCATCATTAAAGTTTTAGGAATTTTAGAAAATTATGGTCATAACTTATTATACAACCTAATATTTCTGCTATCCTTGCGGCGATGACTCTTGTGACAACCTTATAGATCGTTGATAACAGAGAGATTGGCCTGTAATTTCCAAGATCACATGGATCACCTTTTTTGAATAGCAAGATTTTTTTGAATAGCAAGCCATGCCTTCCGACGGTAAACCTGTCGGCGGGGTTTTGGGTTCCAACCGTGGCATTCCAATCCCCAAGGACAATATCCCAAGTTACGGGGTCATGCCTGGTCAGACAATGTTCAAGGGAATCCAGGAACAAGTCATACTCCGAATCATCATATCCGGTGTGAGGCGCATACACCTGTGTGAGGCGTAAAATGCGGCCTTTCAGCTTCAAATGAAGCTGGATGATTCTGGAGGATACATAGGTCACACCAGAAACCATCTTGGGAACCTGATCCAGTGGCAAAAAACGTACCATTTTGCATCCAGGAAGCATCAAAATTGTGGCAAAATAACTCCTTCTCCGAGCGAAAAAACTCAGATTTCAAAAGCGCGCCCGTTCTTTTTGTGAGGAAAAAGGCGCGCCCTTCAAGACGAAGTTTTTTCACTTGGAAAGGGAAGCATTTTGCCACATTTTTCATACTTCCCGGAAGCAAAATGGCACGTTTTTTGCCACTGGATCAGGCCCCTCACTGTAATTTTGTTTCAATTTTTTGTTTTTTTTTTATTTTGATAAGAAGGAGTAGGGCTTACCACATACCCCGTATGGTCTGACAATGATAATGGCTTGGTGTATTTTCAGCCAACGCTCTTGGAAATTGCAAATTTCGAACTTTTTTCATCCGGCCCCCGGGAAATCCAATTGTCGATCGCCGAACGCTACCCGACCATGGAATGGCATTCCGTTGGCATCTTTGTGGCCGAAGATACACGAGAAATGCAATCGTTCAACTTTGAGTCACCTGGGATTTACGCAAAATTCGTCAAGGTAAGAAGAAATGTCTGTGCAATATCAATATTAAAAAATGTAAATTAATGTTGACGTTTTTCAGCTAGACCTCCTTTCTCATTATGGCCGTGAACACTATTGCACGCTGTCGACAATACGATTGTCCGGCATCTCGATGGTCGACGAATATGAAGCCGAAGCCATCTCGGAGCAAGTGCAGACGGAAACTCCGGAGAGAGAAGAAAACCTGGATGAAAGTGCGGTGAAATCAGCGCCGGAAGAGCCAGAAAAGAAGGAGGACGTTGTCGAAGAAAAGGAAAAGACAGTCGAAGTTCCGGTAATTGGAAAAGTGGTGGAAACTCTGGGAAAATTGGGATCGGTCATCATCGGACGACAGGAATTGAAGGATGCTGATCTTTGGGACGAAAAAGAGAAACGAATGTGAGTTATTGTACGCCAATATATGTGTTGAGGCCTGATATGGATTTACAATAAGACTTGAGAATTTTGAACCTTGAAGATTACTGTAATTTTTTAAATTTTTCTTGATGTTGACAATTTCCTTTCAGAATTCGAAATCGTCCCTGTTTTGATCAGTCCAACATCCGTAAATCAATGGAAAACACTACGAATTACATGTGTTTCCTGTTCGGCGTTCGATCAAAACCTCATTCATCCAATTCGACGGGGAAATCGCCACGAAAACCTGTGAAAAAGCCAAAAATGACGAAGACTTGCCCAAATCCCGCCCAACGGGCCCTTCTTCGAGCCATATTGAGCAGCAAAATATGCCCAACGGCTATGAACAAGCCTCCAGAGGCCGTCAAAGAACTTTACATTGTGGTTGATGAGAAAAACGAACCTGAAGTCGCGATTCCGGAGCCGGAATATCAAAAGAAAGAGGAAAAAGTGGAGGAAGTTCAAGCAACGCCGACAAGTACCACCGTGGCGCCGCCACACGCAAGTCCGGCTGCTCCGCCGCCTCATCAGACCCAGCAGAATCTAGCCAATCAGCAGGCTCAGCAGCAGTTTGCTAAAAGTAGGATTTTTTGAGACTTTTTTTGTTTTTTGAGAGCTTCGATGTAGTGTTATATAGAGAAGTGTTAATTTTGAAAAAATTTGGGTTTCTGAATGGCTAAAAATGAGCTATGTGGCGTTATAGATGATTTTTGAACAGTTTTTACAGTGGGTGACCTGATCCAGTGGCAAAATACGTACCATTTTGCATCCGGGAAGCATCAGAAATGTGGCAAAATGCTTCCCTCTCCAAGTGAAAAAACTCGGATTTCAAAGGCGCGCCCGCTCTTTTTGTGAGGGCTCTTTAAAACGAAGTTTCTTTTCAGTTGGAGAGGGAAGCATTTTGCCACATTTTTGACACTTGCCGGATGCAAAATGGCACGTTTCTCCCACTGTACTTCAAAAATAATTTTTTTGAACCGTTGTGAACTAGTATAACTTATTGTTTCAGATCTGAATTCCCTTCCCGGAACCGCCTCCACTCACAAAGAATCGGTCTTCATGAAGCTAAATAAGCGCCTCTCAGCCCTGGAGTTGAACATCTCATTGTCAACAGAGTACCTTAACGAGTTATCGCGCCGTTACGTCGCCCATCAAGAGGAATACAACAAACAGCGAGAGAGAGATCAAGAATTCCTAAAAGAGCTCGTCCAACAAGCCAGCCAACACATGAAAATGGCGTATGAGACGCAAATTTCGGATATCAAACGCGACCTCGATGAGATTACCCGAAAAATGAGGACAATCAGCCGGGAGTATCGGCAGTTCGATAGCTTCTGCCAAAAGGCGTATTCGAATTTTGCGAACTTCGGACCGTTCGAGAGAAGCCTCAGTGTCCCCGAACAGAGTTGTGTGAAGCGAGAGGAAGAGAAGAACAATTTGAGGATGCTTACGGAGACAAAAGAGGACGAAAATGGAATCGACATCAATAGCAAGGTGATGGAAATCGAAACGGAATTTGTCGATGGGGATGGGTGAGTTAATGAGCGTTTTGGCGGTTTTTGGCAAGAGTGTGGGATGAGGTTTGAGGTGAGAGAAAAGAAATTTGGCAAGGGAGACGTGTTTTCCCGAAATTAGTGATTTTTTATATTGTACTTGAGGTTCAAGTCAAGTTTTGGCAAAAAGTTTGTTTTTATAAACATTTTTCCCTGTGCAAAAGATATTATGAGCTTTTTTGAGACTCTTGATGTCTTCTGAGAGTGTTTGAGTCTAGTCATAGTTTTTTTTGTAGTACTTAACTACACAAATTTTTACTTGAAAATGTCGTGTTTTTAGCACCTGGTCGAATATGGAAGTGATCGCCTTTGTGTTCCTAATTCAGTCCCTAACCGTCGGCGTGGCGATTTTGCTGGTCGTCGTATACACTCGTGCCTACGTAAAGGAACCCTTCCTCCCATCGAAAGAGCCTACGCCTGCACCAATGGAAAGGGCAACGTCTCCATCGATCGATGAAATTCGACGATTAGTTAGGGAGGAGTTGCGGAGAACGCCGGTGACGGTACCTAGATTGGAGGAAAACAACAGAAGGAAACTGAAGAGGCCCAGTAGATTCAGTGAATGCGATGCAATCGAGGCAGCGGGTGTTCGAGAAGGTATTTTTTTTTTTTTTTTTGATTTTTGGGAAATTTTTTCCATGAAAATTTGAATTTTTTTGATTTTTTTGTGGGTTTTAGGATTTTTTGGGTTTGAAAATGGCTTTCTTAGATCTAATCATGATTTTCAAACCCCAAAACTTACTTGGTGTTACGAATTTTGACGACGTTTTGATAATTTTTTCCATTTTCAGCACTCCCCTCAGAACCGTCGAATTTGACCCCGCTCCGCCGACGACGCTCCACCATCCAACCGGCGGAAGTGGGCTCGGAGGAAGAGCTCATGGAAATGCGCGGCTCCACCCCGTCAATAGTCGACTCTTCGTTGGCTGGCACATCGATCAGTTCGAGAAGATCCTCGACCGACTCGATGATGGAAAAGAATTCAAGTCCGGAACAACAAAAAGTCACCTCCCCGCCATGGTTAACCGTTCGGAATCCAAAATTCAGACCGAAGAAGAGGAGCAACAAGAAGGATGTATAGGAATTTTAAAATACGTTATACATGATCAATTTTGTGATTTTTATGGTCTCCTCGATTTTACGGGGAGCTGGTTCGTAAATTGGATTATTTATAGTGCTCTAGTCAGCATTTGGGTGTGTCGTGACCATTCGTAGCGAACGTTTAGGGTGGTTTTTGAACATAGTTTTTTGAAGCATGGGCGCGAGCTGCCAAATGAAGTGGTTTTTTCGGTATTTTTTAGTGGCTTGTGGTCACGATGAGCTCAAAATGCCCCCTGTTGGATTGTTTCCGTAGAATTTGGCGTTTCAAAACGTTCTTTCCGGGTATTCCTTCGGTTAGTTGTATGTTGTAAGTGTAATAATCATGTTTAGAACAAGTCTTTTTTTTGTCTTTCCTTTGGTACTCTTTCCCTCCAATTTGGTTTATTATTTGTACTATAAAACCGGTGATTCATTGTGTCGAACCCAGTTCATGCTCAGCTCTTTCCACTTACATTACATACTATATTTTTTAATCTATTTCTGTACAAACTTGACTTATGAAGAATGAATTAATGTGAAAATTGTTGGTATATGTTGAAGAAAGTGACAGTAAAGACGTTTTGAGACATAACAAATGGTTTGCGATTCTTAAAACAATTTGCCAGGCTTTTGGATCGTGCTTGGCAGAAGTGGCCAAGATTTTTTGCATTTTTTGATCAAAAGTCCCCAAAAGATGTTGTGTACCAAGACGAAGCCTACGATTACTGTATTGGCATTCCGTTTCATTCGAGTCTTGGAAGGAAATAGAATTTCCGTTGTTCGAAATACCCTTACAAGGAACTGAATTTGGAGCAAAATGCGAAAACTCCCAGAACCCTTTGGGCAATAATTGCATGTGCAAAAATGTTCTGGAAAGGGGTCGCACGAAGAAAGCGAGATTCACACTGCAGGCACTATACATAAAATACTAATAGTAGTAGAAAAAACTTCTTTTTTGTATCATCAAAATTTACAGTTCTCCGACTTTTCTGGCCTAAGATTGATTGTGGCAGAGTGCGTATGTGGGTTCCATGTTGAACAGTTTCGTGTTTCGTGAGTTGAACTGTAATTTTTGTAGCCGTTATTTGAACAGGAGCTTTAATTTTTCAAAAAGACAATTAATTATAAAAAATTTGTCAAAAGTTAACATGATATATTTACAAAGTTGAAAGCAATGTAGTCTTACGATTTTCATAAATGTTTGGACAGTTGCGGGTTCGTAAGATCATTTTTGTACATGTTAATACAAGGTGATCGTATTTAAGAGCTCCACGTAAGAGGGTTCAACATAATTCAGGATGCGTTCCGTTATTGTACTCGTGTTGCTGGTGCTCGCTGTTGTAGTGAATGGCGAGAAGTCTCATATCAATTTGAAGCGAGTTGCAAGTCAGGGATGTGAGTACTGCACTCTCCTGATGCTGTGATTTTACAGAACACCATTTTAGCCGGTCTTTACAACAACTTAAAAGCCAGCTACGTTGCCAAGGCCGTTGGAACTCCACCCCAGAAACGTGATGCCGCCTTTAACACCGCTTCAAACGAAGGTCGTGAAGGCACTGGGGCTACAACTACTGACGGCGAAGACAACGACGATCTCGAAACCGACTGTCATGGGGACCTTTAAATCAAAAACATTTGGGGGCTAACATAGGGTAGTACCGGAGTTGGACGATTGGGGAAAAAGACGATTGGGGAAAGGGACGATTGGGGAAAAAGACGATTGGGGAAAAGTACGATTGGGGAAACCGAAAAGTATTATTTTTCTTCCATGCAAATGTCGAAGTTAGGATGATCGAGGGTGCTCATTTCGAAAATGACATTCATTTTTTTGATTCTTACTTTTTTCCTTAAGTAGTACTGTAAAGTAGTAATTTTTGATTTTTTTTTCACAAATACTCGATTTAGGGGTTTTCGAGGGTGCTGATTTCGAAAATCATGTAAATTTTTCCTCTAGTACTACATAGTACTATTCTGATACTATATAGTACGAAGTGAAAATATGGCTTTTGACGTTAATGGTGTTGTTTTGATGCTTAGTAGTCTTCAAAAACACGTTTTAAAGACTTGGTGCTATATAGGACTGTCTGATACTATGTAGTACGAAGTAAAAATAGGCGTACTAAGCACCAGAACAACACCACGAACGCCTAAAGGCCAACTTTACACCTCGTACTACATAGTATCAGGTAGTACTATATAGCACCAAGTCTTTAAAACGTGTTTTTGAAGAGTACTAAGCATCAAAACAACACCATTAACGTCAAAAGCCATATTTTGACCTCGTACTATATAGTATCAGAATAGTACTATATAGTACTAGAGGAAAAATGAACATGATTTTCGAAACCAGCACCTTCGAAATCCCCTAAATCCAGTATTTTTCGAAAATTTTAAAAAAATTGGTACTGAGCAGTACTACTTAAGGAACACTAGTAATGTTCAGAAAAAATAAACCCGATATTCGAAATCAGCACCCTCGAAAACCCCTAAATCGAGTATTTATGAAAAAAAATCAAAAATTACTACTTTACAGTACTACTTAAGAAAAAAAGTAAGAATCAAAAAAAAAGAATGTCATTTTCGAAATGAGCACCCTCGATTATCCTAACTTCGACATTTGCATGGAAGAAAAATAATACTTTTCGGTTTCCCCAATCGTACTTTTCCCCAATCGTCTTTTTCCCCACTACGTTTGTCCCCAACATTTGAGACATTACGATAAGGCCATTGCCGAAGTGAGAAGCTGAAACGTTTTTTAATAAATCAACTCTCTTCCAAGCTGGTTTATTTGTACTAGAGCCGGCTCTGGAGCCGTGGCAATCTCTAGTTGGCATGAAATGTGTTATGTCTATTTCCACAGCTCACAAATTTTATAAAAGTCTCGGCTCTCAGTTTTTCGGCTATTGCGTTCGTAAATCCACAAGCGCAAGAAACGTACGTCGGGTTCAACAACAGGATGCTAATAACTTCCTCGACTGTGTAATTTGTTGCGCAGTCCATCTCGGTTTGTTTTCCGATCGCAGCAGCCCCTATAAATTGGGATATTCCCGTTCACGCGAGGAACTATTTGACCAGGAATAGGGATGCGGATCCGTGGGCGAACGGGAGTTGCTGGCGAGGCTTTTTCAGTGCGGGGAATTTTGTAAACTAGGTACTGTATTCTTCATAAATAGCGTGTGTTCACCTCCATGCGAAGACTGGAAACCATTCGTTGCTTATTGTTAGTTACATACGGTTGATCTTTCTTTGACATCCCTTTTTGGGACATACGTATACTCGCTTGGTACCGAATTTTTTGTGATTAAAGTCATCAAACTCCCGATTCCCACTCACATTCCCCGGCTTATGCATTGTAAAATTGAGTAACTGCAACAGCTCTAGACATGCTCTTTATCATTTTCAGCCCTCATTCTCCATTTTCATGTGGTAATGTCAACATTAAGATGCCAGTCGAGACACATTGGTTGTAATCTCTTCTCCACCACCTTTCTCCTAATACTCCCGAATATTTGCACCGCCTGGCTCAACGGCTACAACAATCCATACAACAATTTCGCGCCCCGCTTCCGAAGTGGAGGAGGCTATGGTGGCGGGTCTTACGGTAACACGCCGTACGGAAACGGAGACGAAGAGAATCGAGAGATCATAGATGAAAGATATGGGGCGCCCTGTAATCCGAATGCATTCTCTGTGCCCACAAATTGCTTGGGAAACAACATGGTGAAAGCGTTGAAGAATCTAGCGCATGTTCCGCCCGGTTCTAACAGTAAGTTGCCGCTCAATCAGTTTGGCTTTCACAACCACTAAACGTAGTCGAATTTCTTTGCTTTAGCGACGTTTATTCCACTTGGACAAGTCCTTATTCCAACCGGCAAAGAGATGACTTTCTGCCGACCAAACAACAACAACTGCGGCTCCTTCCAAGGCCCCTCGAATGGAATGCAGCCGGGCCCCGACTGTTGTCCCGACTACTGCCCCAATGACGGATGCGGCCCCGACTTTGACGGCCAACAATGCTGCGGCCCCTGCTGCTATCGCCGCAGGTATTTCGCGCTCCATCGGCGTCGGCGCTCACTTCACATGCAACGGAGATTTTTCAAACTTGAGAATTCGTTGAAAGGCTTAAAGAAGCCCAAAACTTTGTCACGCCGAAGGCTTGTATAAGGTGTTGTGAGTGGTTATTGCCATTGTAATATTTTAATAATTCATTTTTAATAACGATTAATAAAAATAAGCGAACAGAATTACAGAGAGGTCATTCTTACAAAATTATGAACTGAGAAGCCAAAACAGCCATCTTTAAGTTGTAGTGTCCGCATCCGTATATGTGGCCGTGCCCAAAAGAAATCGTGAATCACTGATAATGGAAATACCTTCGTGAAAAAATTCCCCAATTACCGATCATATTTAAACCCCGAGGCAAGTCTGCCAAATAACACTGGCGACTTAAGCATGAGCGGGCATGAAACACCATCAAATAAGCGTTGATCGGATGAAATTTTGAACTATTTCACGTGCTTGACATTCTAAGCCACAGAATTTATTCTTCAATAAAAATTATGAATCAAAACAAGGTTTATTTCGAACCCCTGCTTGGTCTTTGGTTCGCTGGCAAAGTCGGACGGCTCTGGCCTCCGGAACCGGAATCAGCGGGAATTAAAACGGAATTGATTCCAACTCCATCCCCGCCATTGTTTCCAGTTCCCGGTTGTTGGTCGTAAAAGTAGGGACGACACCATGGCTCGACGTCTTCGGTCGCATCGTTGTAGATGTCCCACAGGACCGGAGAGTTGTAAATGGTGTCATAGGGGGAGAAGAAGACGTTGGCGAGGTCGGTACCGGCGGTTCCGCAAGCGCGGTTCAGACTGGAGGTCAGACAGTCCATAAAGCAGTTGTTGGCGCTGAAATTGACTTTGTTTGATACGATACATGTTCATATTTTACCACAAAATACCTGATCAATCAAGGGCTAGAAGACAGTAACAAAATATCATATTCAATCATTCCGACTTCACCTATATAACTTACAAACAATAGCGATCTTGATTCTGATCGTCCCAGAGGCTGACTCCGTTCCCCAAAGAGCACTTATTGTCGCAACTGCTCTGAGCTCTCTGGAGATTTCGCCTATAGCAAGGTTGATTTTGGTTGATCGCAGTGTTCAACAAAGCGTTGCAATTGTCAATCAAATCGCGCCCAACTTGCCACCAAGCCCGACTGCTGGGATTACAGCTGTTGATACACTCAGCGGTTTCTTCATAGGTTCTGAAATGATTTCATAGGAATACTATATCGCGAATGTTCAGAGGATAACTGACAAGTTTTTCTATATTTTTTTCCAGCCCGAATCATCGTGCCCTTTGATCTGTAAAATCCAGCAAATTTATGGCTCTAAACGCACCTGCAGATGCTAGTGAATTGATTCGATTGAACCTGCTGAGAGTCGCTGACTGCTAAATCCATACAATCACTGAGGCATGAAGCCAAGTCGTCGCCGTCGCTGCTGTCGTCGTCTTGCGCAGCGACTGCCGCGGCAAGAAATACCAATCCAACCACAAACTTCATGGTCGAGAGCATATAGAAAATTTGGGCCTGGTCTCATTTATATAGCAATTCTTTGACCTTTAGTTTCGCCGGCTTTCCTGGACTCGACCTCTTAGTCAAGCATCTACGTGTGATTTTCAACTAATGTGAGTTGGCTTCAACACTCACCAAATTATTAATCTTTGAAAATGAATTGTAGCCTCTCGTGCTGATTAACTTGATTGCGGATTTGGAAGTCAAATTTTGGACACGCGAAAATTTGAAACTTGATAAATACAAGCGCCGCAAAAGCAATTAGAATTTGAGACCAAGAAAGCCGAAGATATCAGTCTGTCGGGGAAATAATGTGGATTCCCGCAGAAAATCGCAAAACGTGGCAAAGCGATCGAGGCGCGACGAATCCACAATATTTTCCAGACGAACTGATAGTAAGCTCTTCAAACGACTATGTCATCAGAGGCCTTGTTACGCCCTTAACAATAATCGCCATATATGGCAAAACAAAATTCAAATTTATTTTTCATTTTATCTGGCCAAACAAACAAGATAGAGAGAGCAAAAAAATGGAAGGAGGTTGTTTTGGTCACAAGAAGAGAACGGCCGAGCACGTTTTGCGTCTTTTTCGAGGACAAAAAACAACTATTTTTCTGTTTTCCCAAGGTTTTTTTGCTCCTAAAATCATGAGGTTTTGGGAGCAAGTTTTCGCAGTTTCGGTTGATTTTCAAAAGTCGACAGCACCCTTGCCTTCAGGTAACGTTGAACTTTTCCTATACCTTTGCTCTTCGCCAATGATTTTTGAGTATTCTGGGCCAAGTGTTTCATTTGTTTTGAGGCCGAAAAATAGGAGGAAGATGGAGCGAAAACACGTGGTGTTCCGTTTGGCTGGGGGAATTGGTCAGAGCGTCACTTTGGAGGGGTCGGAAAGCAATGTTTTGCAGATTAAATCAGTGAGAATTGTTGTTGATTGGAGTTGAGGATCCGTAATTTTAAATTGGGATCAAAAAAGTTGCCGCTTGCCTTAGGGAACTTGGGTCAAAATTAGGAAATTGGCCCAAAATTTCATCAAAATTTTAGCGTTGAACATTGAGCATTTTCCTCCTCAAAATTCACAATTTTTTTGTTCAAATTGAGTCTTTATAAGACGACTTCTCACTATAACAAATGCAGATCCGAATTTTTTAACTCATTTTTTTATTATTTCTGCAGTTTTTTCCCCCCAAAAGTACTATTTTTTTTACAGCCAAACACACCGAAAACTCACTGAACTCGCCCTGATAAGGTTGCCCTTTGCTTATTTTTTCTCCCAGTCACATGGAAAACCCCAACATTTTCTCTCTGTCCACTCGTTTCCCCTCGATCCCAACTGTTTGTTGTTTGATAGCTGGCAAAGAAGGGAGAACTTTGATCTTTTTCTTGTTTATTACTCCCCGAAAATGGCGAAAATAACGAAGCGGCGGTTATTTTTTGGGCGAAAAAAGATTAGAAAGGTTATTTGAAGGGATTTTGCGAACGCGTTTTTGATGAAAGATTTGTGGGTTTCGATCAAAAATTATTATCGTTTAGATGATTTTTTTGACGCTTGGATTTTGATGAAACTTGAGAAAAATTGAGATTTTTCGAAGATTAGCTCGCGCTTTGCCAAAATCATCGTGTTTTTCAAGTCGATAATTGACAAAGGTGCGATTTGTTTAGCATAGAAAAGAATGTTTCCTATGCTAAATTTTCGTTTTGTGTTGTGTGCAGAATTCTCAGCACGCGCTTTATAGAAATTTCCGAGACTTTTCTATATCAAAACTCGACAAAAATCGAAAAATTTTTGCATTTTGCAGAGCCAAAAAAAAGGTGCATTGTGGCCTGCAATATGTTCACAAAACCTATTTTTCCACAAAGATACGGCCACAAAACGTTTCGCTCTCTGACCGCTCTCCTTCTTTGTGGTACTCTCTCGCCGACAAAGGTCCTTTAGTACCTTCGGCTGCGCTGCAGAATGCGAGCTTGAATTTTTGGAAATTTTACGCGTGACTTACAAGGGAAGTACCCCAATTGCGACGCTCATATTTTGATGAAACTTGCCACAAATTTAGAATAATTTTTTGAAAAATCTATGCGAGTATCCTAGTTCGCGCTTTGCAGAAACAACCGAGATTTTTGGATTGAAAAATGGCGAAAATTTGACACTTTTTGGAAAATTTCGGCACAAAAAGTCTCATGCCTATTTCTACTACCATAGAGGGTAATGTTTCCACAAAAAAAAAATCAATTTTTTTCCGTGCGAGGCTAGCAAGGTTATGATCAAAAAGTGTTTTTCTATCCTCATCAGATAGCTCCCCGCGTTTAGTGTACTCTCTCGGCGGCAAAGATCGTTCAATACATCGGCGGCGCTTGAAAAGCGCAAGCTAAAACTTTCACGACTTGATGCTTAGTGCATGACCGACGTGTGTGCAACATTTAAAGAAAATCTGAGCGTCGTACTTGGGGTACTTCACTTGTTAGCTATAACTTATAAGGCAAAATTGTTACAAAATCTGAGCACCTTCAGAAATTTGGTTAAAAGTTCTAAAAGGTTTCTCAACCTTCTAAATTTACATATCTTTATCAGCTTTTATTGGTACTTGAAAAAAAGACAAAAGTTTCATGCTTTGTGGTTTCGGAGCGATTTGCTTTGAGTTTGTGTGTTTTGCTTCTAAACAAAGCAGTCAATGTTCAATGGTTTTGTTATTTACTCACATTTTTGCATGTTTCTTTTCCCATCCTGCGAATATTTCTGCGCTTTTTCAAAATTCCTGTTTGTTCTGCGGACTGCTAATTCTAAATTCATCAATTCTCAGCCTTATGTTGCCACGGAAGCTCAAACTCCAACACTACCGAAATGTTTATTACGTACTTGCAAATCGCCAGTTTGCTTCAGCGAATCAAGTGCCCTACAAGAACTTGGTGGTTGGAGTTGCCAAAGAGGTTGTCGAAGGTAATCTTAATGGCGTTGTATGGCCTTCTAACGGAGTAGCAAAGGCGATGAAGTGATTTTTGCGACATGCATTGTGAAAAGACAAAAGTTCCCTTTGCACTGTGCAATTTTCGGCTTTGGCTTTTTTGGGCTGTCGCTTGCAACCTGACGGTCTTTTTGCACGGTGTGTGTCGCCAAAATCACTACAGCGACTTTGTAAACGCACTATCAGTTTGTCGGGAAAATAATGAGGCCTCTGTCCGCTGAGAAAATGAATTCTGTAGCAGCAAAATTAAATTGCTTTTCGCTTCAGCGACGCGATCGGCAGAGCGTCAGAGTGCTCATTATTTTTCCGACAGGCTGAAGGAAACAATATTATTTCTGTTTTTCAGGAGAAACCCGAGTAGCGATCACCCCCAGTTCCGTGGCAACACTAACACAAAAGGGCTTTCAAGTGGTCGTCGAAGAGAATTCCGGCGCGAAAGCCTCGTTTTACAACGAAGAATATGACAAGGCGGGGGCGAAGGTCACCAATGTCAACGATGTTTTCAAATCCGACATTCTTTTGAAGGTAAGTTGAGAACTTTTTGTATGCCTATTTTGATGAAACTTGCAGAAAAATTTTATTGAGATTTTAAGGCATCTTCGGATAAAAAATTGAAAAATTATTAGAAATTTTAATTTAGGGGACATTTTATACGATAAAAAAAGTTTGGAGATATCTTATATCAGTCTGTCGGGAAAATAATGAGCACATTTTTGGTGTGACGACCCCGTGGATGAAGTGAAAAGCATTTTGATTTTACCGCGCCACAATTAATTTCCTAAGCGGTGATGCGATTTTCGTTGCAACAGAGTGCTTATTATTTCCCCGACAGACTTATAATGCTTATAATGCCTTTTTAAGACCCATGTAAAATCTTACGAAATTTTTTTAAGCTTTATGTCTCGAGCATTACATCTAATTACGTTTTTAGCTTATTGAAGGAATATTTCACCCAGACATTTGCTTTTTTTACTTTCGGTTTTAGGTCAGGGCCCCAATTATCAAAGAGACTGGGCAGTTTCGTCAGGAGGGAACGTTGATTTCATTCTTCAATCCTGTGGCGAATAAGGATGTTTTGGAGGAATTGAAAAAGAAAAATGCCACTGTTTTTGGAATGGAACTTATTCCGAGAATTTCGAGGGCGCAGGTATGGTTTTTAAAATTTTTTGATCTATAATTTTTTGGTTATTTAAATTTTTTTATTCATTTTTTTCTCAATTGTTTATATTTTTTTTTAATTTTTTGATTTTTTATATTTTTTGGATCTAATTTTTTTATTTTTTTTATTTTTTTATTTTTTAATATGTTTTTTTTCATTTTTTATATTTTTCAGACCTAAAAATATTTTTTCCAGATATTCGACGCCCTCTCTTCCATGGCCAATATTGCTGGCTACAAAGCCGTAATCGAGGCCGGCAATCATTTCGGTCGCTTTTTCGGCGGCCAAATCACCGCTGCCGGCCGGATTCCTCCAGCTAAGGTGCTGGTGATTGGTGCCGGAGTGGCTGGACTTAGTGCAATTGGAACGGCCAAGAATTTGGGAGCTATTGTGCGAGCGTTCGATACAAGACCAGCGACAAAAGAGCAGATTGTCTCGCTGGGAGGGGAGTATTTGGAGGTGAGAGAAAGTTGATTGAGCACAAAAAATTTTAAAAATAAAAAAAAAAATTTTTTAGTTTTAGAAAAAAATTAACAAATTTTGCCTCATAAAAGTTTTTTTTCTATATTTTTTTTATTTTAATTTGATTTAAAAAAAATTGGAAAAAATCGGAAAATAAAAATAAAAAAAATTTTTTTTTGAAATTTTCAGGAAAAAAATTAACAAATTTCGCCTCATAAAGGTTTATTTTCTATATTTTTTAACTTTAATTTGCTTTTTTTCAGCTAAAAGGCCTCGAATTGGACGAGGGCCAAGGTGGATATGCCAAGGAAATGAGCCCTGAATTTTTGAAGGCCGAGAAAGAATTGTTCGAAAAACAATGCCAAGATGTCGATATTATCATCACCACTGCCTTGATTCCCAACAAAAAAGCTCCATTACTGATTACAAAGGTAAAAACGAGACTTTTTGATATTTTTTCAGGTTTTTTCGAAAATAATCGGCCATTGTTTTTAAAAATTTGGTGGTAATATCTTTTTGAAGTCTTTTGCACTCTTACACATTCATTTTTAGTATTTTCCCTCAGGCAAAATAGGAGAAAACTCTCTTTTTCCAAAAAAGAATGCATAAAAACCCTCTCTCTTTCCGAAAAAAAACGGAGGAACACCGCAGTGGAAAGGGCTGTGGTCACGTGTCTGTATAGCCGAGTGGTTAGCGCGTCGGTCTTGAAAACCGGCAAGTTGCTGAGCGGCGCGGGTACGAATATTTTGCCCTTGAAATGGATGGAAATAGTATTTTTTGTTGGAAAAGTATTACTTTTTGAAATATTTGCTTATTATATCATGTTTTTAAATGTAATTTATCTTATTTTATGCCTTTTTTTCACATTTATTTGAGTTTTTTTTTCAATTTTTTTCATTTCTATTAATTTTCTTGCAGGACATGGTGAATATGATGAAACCTGGAAGTGTAATCGTCGATTTGGCCGCTGAAAATGGTGGCAATGTGGAAACAACCAAGCCCGGAATAGTATACACTTCCGAAAACGGGGTTACTCATATCGGATATACCAATTTGGCGGCTAAACTTCCAACCCAAAGCTCAACTTTATACTCAAATAATATCACAAAATTTTTGCTCAGTCTAGGTAGGCAGCTTTAGAGATTTATCGGATTTTTTCGAAGCATTTTTGGGAAATTTTCAAAATTTTTTGGATTTTTTTCGATTTTCTTCGATTTTCAGGCGACGGAAAGGAGAATTTTTACGTGAATTTGGACGACGAAGTCACCAGAGGCTCTATTGTTCTTCACAAAGGCGAATTATTATGGCCAGCACCTCCAATTCAGGTTAAGAAAGTCGATAAAAAGTCGGAGCCTGAAGTGAAAAAAGCTGAAGTTGTCCCGAATCCGTACAGAGACACGCTGCGAAAGGCGTTTTATTACACTGGAGGACTGACTGGAGTCACATCTTTAGGTGCAATAAGTCCAAATGCCGCGTTTAGTCATACTGCTACCGTTTTTGGACTTTCTACGATTGTTGGTGGGTTTTGGAATTTAAAAAATTTATTTTTGTGTGTAAAAAAACTTTGTTCGTCGTATAACATGTCGCCTGAGATTTTGTTCAATAAGATGTGTGAGATTTTTTATCGTATAAGATGTCCCCCAAGACGTTTTTGTCGCATAAAATGTCACCAAATTTTTTTCTTATAAAATGTCGCCATGTATTTGTCTCATCGTATAAACTGTCTCAAAATTCTTGGGCTTATAAAATGTCATCAAAAATAATCTGTCGTATAAAATGTCTACAAAAATTTCTTCGTCGTATGAAACGTCTCCTACAATAACTTTTCGATAGAGACAGTGAAATTTTTTATTGTATAAAATGTCCTGAAAAGACATTTTTTATAGTATAAAATGTCACCAAAGTTTTTTCGTATAAAATGTCACCACATGTACCTTTTATCGTATAAAACGTCCTCCAAAAGTTATTATCGTATAAAATGACCACTAAAATATTTCCATCGTATAAAACGTCCCCAAAAGAATAGCACCGTATAAAATGTCACCCTCAACTTTCAGGCTACCACACTGTCTGGGACGTGAAGCCGGCTCTGCATTCGCCACTCATGTCCGTTACCAACGCCATTTCCGGTCTCACCGCTGCCGGCGGGATTTGCTTGATGGGCGGAGGGCTTCTTCCATCCACAACGGCTCAATCCCTCGCATTGGGGGCCACATTCTTATCCGCAGTCAATATTGGCGGAGGATTTGTGATCACAAAGAGAATGTTGGACATGTTCAAGAGACCGAGTAAGATTTCTTTGATTTTTTTGGTTTTTTGATTTGTAATTTTGTGAAAACTTTTTTCCAGCCGATCCTCCCGAGTTCAACTACCTCTACGGACTGCCGGCAGCCACATTCTTGGCCACTTATTCCCTGGCCGCTAGTCAGGGATTCCCAGAAGTTCATCAGTTCGCTGGCCTCGCGGCTTCTCTCTGCTGCGTTGGCGCGCTCGCCGGCCTCTCAAATCAGTCCACAGCGCGTTTGGGAAACGCGTTGGGAATGATTGGAGTTGCTGGAGGGATTGGCTGCACTATCGGAGCATTGGCTCCCGGAGCGGAGCAGTTGGCGCAGATTGGGGCCGCCCTTGGATTGGGAGGGCTGATTGGGGTTGGTAAGGAATTTTCATGGTGTTTTTAGGGTTTGTGAAGATTTTGGAGACATAGGGGGTTAATTTTGGGACGATTTTTTCACGAAAAAGATGAGAGATTTTGATACTTTTTGCAGTTTTTTTTTCAAAAAATTGTTTTTTTTTTTGCTTTTTCTTAATTTTGATATGTTTTGAGACTTTTTTTTGTGGAAAAATAGTCTGTAGAAGGTGATAAAAATAATTATTTTTATTTTTATAATATTAAATTCTATTTTTGATTTAAACTTTTTATTTTTTTTATTTTTTTTTTCAAGTTTAATATTTTTTTTCTTATTTTTTGGCCTTTTAAGGTATTGCCCGAAAAATAAATGTGACCGAGCTCCCACAACTGGTCGCTCTCTTCCATTCGTTCGTCGGAGTGGCCGCTGCAACGACCTGTATCTCCGAATTTTTGGCGCATTCCTCCGATTTCTCGGATCCGGCGGGAACAGCGGTGAGAACGGCGCTGTTCTTGGGCACTTTTATCGGTGGAATTACCTTTACTGGAAGTCTGATGGCTTTTGGAAAACTTCAGGGTGAGTTTTTAATTGATTTGAAAACGACATTTTTTTGATGAGATTGGAAAAAAATTTTTGGTCGATTTTTTCTCGACATTGAAAACAAAATTTTTTTTTAATTTTTTTTTAATTTTACAATTTTTTTATTTCAAAATGTGTTTATAAGCGCAAAAAGTCCTCGGTTAAAAAACACTGTTTATCGTATAAAATGACCCCTAAAAGTGCGTATAAAATGTCCCCTTCGAAAAAATCGTTGTACAAAACTTCTCTATTTTCTGTCGTATAAAATGTCCACTGAGAGCCTTTTCGTCCTACTAGTTTGTCGGGAAAATAATGAGCACTTTGTCGTATCGAAAGTCGCATCGCTGCCGAGCAAATGAATTGTGTCGCGGCAAAATCGAATTGCTTTTCACTCCAAAGACGTGATGCGACTATGTGCTCATTATTTTTCCGACAGACTGATGGAATGAAAGTAGGCTTCAGTGGTCATTTTATACGACAAAAAAGATTTGAGAAATTTTTTACAATGATTTTTTTTCGAAGGGGACATTTTATACGTACTTTCGGGGGACATTTTATACGATAAATACTATTTTTTAATCGAGTAATTTTTGCGCTTATAAAAAATAAGATTTCTCCAAAAATTTTTCATCGTATAAAATGTCCTTTAAAAATAAATTTTCTAATGATTTTTCAGTTTTTTATTTATTTTTTTCAACCTTTTTTATGTTCAATTTCCGATTCTTCCAGGAATTCTCTCCTCTTCCCCCACCCTTCTGCCCGGCCGCCATTACATAAACGGCGGCATTGGCCTCGCCAATCTCGCTGCGTTGGCCACCTATTGCACGACCGCGGATCCGTCGACCGGTCTGGCCATGCTGTTGGCGACGGCCGGCCTTTCCTCCACCATGGGCACCACGCTGACCATGGGAATCGGGGGAGCGGATCAGCCGGTTGTGATCACCGTTTTGAACAGCTATTCCGGATGGGCGCTGTGCGCCGAGGGCTTCATGCTGAACAATGATTTGTTGACCATTGTGGGCGCGCTGATTGGCAGCAGTGGGGCGATTTTGTCGTATATCATGTGCAGAGTGAGTTTTTGGAAAAAATTTTTTTTTGATTTTTTTTTTCAAAGAGGTCTGAAATTTATGGCTTGTAACTCCGACGCTTAGATTTTGATAAATCCGTCGCGAATTTTGATTAATTTGTCCTTTACAGTTAGAAGTAAACTTATTAGGTCGAAAAATCCCAAGAAATCTGCATTTTTGTCCTTTCCTCGGCTGTATTTGGGGTAAAAGTTAACAAAAGATAGCAGAAATTACTTACCACGCTCTATACATCATTTATTTCTACATCTACACTTATATTTTTTTTATTTTAGGGGATGAACCGCAGTTTGGGCAATGTGATCCTTGGTGGACTTCAAGGCGGTCCAAGTAAGATGAAAGCGCAAGAAGGCGAGGCCACATTTACAGCTGTCGAGCAAGTAAGTGGTTTTCATTCTATTCTGAACAATCTCCACCGATTTTTTGAGCGAAATCTTGAGAGTTGAAATTTTCCAATAATTTTGTGACATTTCGTCCAAAACCCGATAATGAAATATCAATTTGCAGATACCATTTTCTAACATTCAAAACCTGATTTTCTAAGTATTTTAAAACGCGTTTCACTACACTTTGGAGCTTAGCCTAACGGAGGCCGGACATTGTTAAAATCGATGTCTCAGAATTAAACCAAAATTGGTCAACTTAATCACCCCGGGGCATAGAATATTCGCTTTCTTTGTTTTTGCCCAAAGTTACCATATGACGGATTACTGTAACTTTCTTCCTCAAAAAAGATATGCCCTAATCGTGAAAACGAAGCTGTATTTTAGTGCAAATTGAGTTTAGGTGTATGTTTTCGAGCATGTAGAACATTTTTGTAATTATCACCAAATACTAAAAATTACATCTAAGCGATGTTTTATCTGCGGTAACATACCATTTCGGACGTAAAATGGGCCATTGTAACCAGTAGCACTTTTAGATACGCTAAAAAGAAACTTCAACTTTTATCCAATCAACCATGGAAATTTCAAAAAAATCAAATATATAAGTTTTGAGATACAGGGAGTTCAATATCTCATGTACAAGGTCATCAGGGTCCCAAAAAAAGCTGGCATTCTTGGGGTTTCGACGTGTAGCACTTTTTCAATGGTTTTTGTACATTCTTAACCTTTGAAATGACGATACAGCGAGTTTCAGGAGAAAAAAATGTATAAGTTTTGAGAAAATCGCCAAAATACCTTATTTTAGGTCATCAGAACCCCCAAAAAAGCTGGCATTCTTGGGGTTTCGACGTGTAGCACTTTTTCAATGGTTTTTATACATTCTTAACCTTTGAAATGACGATACAGCAAGTTTCAGGAGAAAAATATGTATAAGTTTTGAGAAAATCTTTTTTTGGGGTTCTGATGACCTAAAATAAGGTATTTTGCCCATTTTCTCAAAACTTATACATTTTTTTCTCCTGAAACTCGCTGTATCGTCATTTCAAAGGTTAAGAATGTACAAAAACCATTGAAAAAGTGCTACACGTCGAAACCCCAAGAATGCCAGCTTTTTTTGGGACCCTGATGACCTTGTACATGAGATATTGAATTCCCTGTATCTCAAAACTTATATATTTGATTTTTTTGAAATTTCCATGGTTGATTGGATAAAAGTTGAAGTTTCTTTTTAGCGTATCTAAAAGTGCTACTGGTTACAACGGCCCATTTTATGTCCGAAATGGTATGTTACCGCAGATAAAACATCGCTTAGATGTAATTTTTAGTTTTTAGTTATAACTACAAAAATGTTCTACGTGGTCGAAAACATATGGTGGTTGATCGATCCGACTAAAATACGGCTTTATTTTTGCATAAAATGCAATGCTTTTCTCAGAAAGAAAGCTACAGTAATCCTCCATATAACGACTTTGGGCAAAAAAAATTCAAGTGATTGTTTCATACCGATTGGTGGTTCGGTTGACCAAATTTGGTTTGATTCTGAGACATCGACTCAACAATGTCCGGGCCAATCTACGATTTGTAGTGAAACGCGTTTTAATTGAAATTTATGCAAAAAATTTTCCAATAATTTTTTTGACATTTCGTCAAAAACCCGATAACGAAATGTCAATTTTTAAAAAATCTCAGAAAAGAGTAAATTACATTAAAGGTAGTGCTGAGAGCTTGTTTTAGCTGCATTTTTCAGGTAGTCAACCTCATGGACTCCGCCAAAGACATAATTATTGTCCCAGGCTATGGGTTGGCCACGGCTAAAGCCCAGTATCCAGTGGCGGAGTTGGTCAAAGTTTTAACCGAAAAAGGCTGCCGGGTCCGCTTTGCCATTCATCCAGTTGCCGGCAGAATGCCGGGCCAACTGAATGTTCTGTTGGCCGAAGCTGGAGTACCTTATGACATTGTGGAAGAAATGGAAGAGATCAATGATGACTTCCGTAAGTTTTAGAGCCCTTTCTTGGCCGGGGACGTGCTCAAAGTGCGAAGCTCGAATTTTGATAAAAGTTATCGCAAATTTAAATTATTTTTTTTCTAACACATAGAACAATTTTCTAACCGGCGCTTTGCAGAGATGACCAAGAATTTGTAGGTCGAAATTTTGAAAAAGTATTACAACGTTACGCAAATTTTGACATGGAAAATTTGATAGCTATTTCTACTGTAGAGAAGGTAATTTTTTCACAAAAAAATCATTTTTTCGCCCGAAACTGGCAAACATTTGGCGAAAATGCTTTTCTCTGGCCGCCCTCCACTTTTCACATACTCTCTCGACCGCAAAGATCGTTGAATATCTCGGCAACGCCTGAAAAGCACAAGCCAAATTTTTGTGGAATTAATATGCGGCCTATACCAGACATGTGTAAAAAATTTAAAGGACCAGAAAAGGTATTTTTTGAACCGATTTTTTTATCGGCGTAATCAGGCAATTTCGTGGCGGGACCATCAAGGTATGTATGTGTTCTCGATTTTTAGAATGGAGAATAAACTTCTCCTGTGGATTTTAAATGGCCGATTGGCCCAAAACTATTGCTTCACATGTTGAATGAGCTGGGTTATTCCAGGAACTCGATGAAAAACATCAAAACCGTTCATGTAAGTTGTTTTTTTTCCTTCAGTTACTTTTTTAGGTATCTCTCCGAACAAGAAGGGTTGGACGATTAGAAGCGGTTTGAATCCGGACTCGTGGATGGGAATGGTCGAGGGAAACATGTGGACGGGTGAGAATTTGACTTCTTTTGTGTTTATTTTTTAGACAGACCGAGATCATGAATAATGTTTTTATCAGTGAAATTAGTTCTCTAGCTTTAGTTAATCACTGCATGAAGTAGTCCAGGGGTTGACATACGTTTTACAGAACAAAGAATGTTATTAATACTCCGTTTTTATCAGAACTATGCACTTTTGCCATGGATAATATCAAAATTTGGGCTAAAACTTGATTTTTGGGTAATAAGCTTGAACTTTTGGGCAATAATTTCTTTGTAAATGTTCATTTTGTTTCAGATTCCTGTTACGTCGGGAAAAAAGTACGATGCAGACCTTGGAGACTAGAACAATGCCATCAACACGGAAAATTATCTTCATGAACGTTGAATCCCTTTTGCTCTATTTCAATCTAAATATATTTTCTCTGTTTCAGTCTAATATTAGCAATAAACCTTTTCTTAAGATCTGTGAGTTGTTTTTGAATTCGTCAAGGAACTTGACGCCATGTTCAGAGTTGCATCAATGGAAAGAGATACCTAAAATTCAAAAAAAAACGGATAAAACGGAAATAATTGAACTAAAAACGGAACATGAATAGTAAATGCTAAACTTTTGCCATCTTTCTGAGCTTAGGAGATCAAATAGAACCTGAAAGACGAACACAATCAGTAATTTTCCAATTTTTCATGAAGTACAACATAATTTTTGAACTTATATGACGATTTTCGATGGAATTCCTGAAATTTCACATCTTATTCGGCACGAATACCAATCTTTCTGAGCCAATCGGCCATTTAAAATTCACAGGAGAAGTTTATTCTCCATTCTAAAAATCGAGAACACATACATACCTTGATGGTCCCGCCACGAAATTGCCTGATTACGCCGATAAAAAAATCGGTTCAAAAAATACCTTTTCTGGTCCTTTAAGGAAGATCTGAGTGTTACACTTGGACTATCCAAAACTGAAATTTTAAAGATCAAAGCTTCGAAAGAACTGAAAATTTCCCGTCTTTCAGCCCAAGCCGATCTCGCCCTCGTGATCGGCGCGAACGACACCGTCAACAAGTCGGCTGAAGACGACGCTGACTCTCCGATCGCCGGCATGCCCGTTCTGCAGGTGTGGAAGGCCAAGAATGTGGTCGTGATGAAGCGCACCATGGGCCACGGGTACTCGGCGGTCGACAATCCGCTCTTCTTCATGCCCAACACTCAAATGCTGCTCGGCGATGCGAAGTCGACGTGTGACGCGCTTCTGGAGGGCGTGAAAAAGTTGTAACGCCCTGTTTGGTTGCCTTAGGATTGTAAAAATGGGATTGTACAGAAAATAAATAAATACTTACTGAATTTTTTTTATTTTGAAATTGTAAAAATAGTTGATTTTTTGCGAATAAAATGATTTTGGATTTCTTCGATTTTTTCGATTTTTCGACCGGTCGGGAAATTTGTTTGTAAGGCTAGAGAAAGATGTAGATTAGATAGAAAATCTGTGACACATTGATGACATTTTTAGCTAGCAATTTGAAAAAAAACATGTTGATTTTGCGACCGAAAATTGAACTTCTTCCAAACTGTGGAATTTCCCAATTTTTTCGATCCATTTTGAATTTTTTCATACAGCATTTTACAAATCATGCCCTTCTTGCCAAACCGTCTTCCAGGAACTTCATTTCTCCTCCAGAAAATCCTTGACCGGCTCATTTTTCGTTTTCCCGAAGAGGCCGCCAAAGAGTAAAATAATTGGTCAAATATGGAGAAAAAGGGATCGTCAAATCCTTCAAGGCCGTTGTAATTAATCCTCTCGGCAATACAGTATCTAAACCGAAAAAATATTTTCATTTTTTATGAAGAAAAATTGGGAAACCTCAAAAAAAATTTTTTTTCGTATTTTAGGATTTTTCAATTTAAATTTTTTATATGTAAATATTTAAAAAACATTTTGTCGACTAAGATTTTTATTTTTTTCAATCACGCCCTCAGGCTATTAAGATTTCTTTGGAAATTAAAATCCATTCAAAAAATCTCGTTCTCTCGCCCGTCTCCAATATTTCCCCGCTATTTCGGCGACCCTCAATTTTTTATTCCGTAAATTTTCCGTGAATCCGTAATCAGGCGGCTTTTGTTCGCGGGAAATACCTAATGAACTTTCGGCGACCAACCGCAATCCTAATGAGCTCATCGTCATGGTTTGGAGGACCCGAAAACATCAAAATATTCGAGTTGAAGACGAACATGTACTGTAGAATCAGAAGGGATCCGTTTTGAGGGAATTGCGGAAAAAATCCCGTCAATACGAGCAAAAATTTTTGCTAATTACGAGCTTTTTAAAGGACTTTTTTATTTTAAAAAAAGTTAGTTTGTAAGTACCGCACTGTAGCACTTAAATTTAAAAGATTTACCGTACCCTAACCCCGAGAAATTTGCATATTTCTCTCGCCGACCCGGATTAAAGGGGCCACCAAAGGGGAAGGCGTCGCGCCGAGACAATAGAAGTCGATTATAAGCAAGTGGTCGGAAGGAGCGAATTATAAACGGACATGAATAATAATAGGCGGCAAATTGGCTTTGCCGCAGAAATTACAAGATGGGAAATCCGCAGGTGGTTCCGGGGCATCTGCTTCGAGGATGACACAACAAACTTTTGGGTGGTTTTTGAACAATCTAAAGCCAGATGAGGCTTCGAAAAGGAGTCTGAAACTCTTCCCTCCTGATAGCTCGATTTACAGTGCAAAAATTTCAAATTGCCGCACTGTGCGGACTTTTCGAAACCAGCGCACTGTGCGGTTTTTATGAAAATTTTGCACAGTGCAGGCGGGCCAAAAAGTCCTGACATGTTTTCGCACCGTGCGGGCGGATGAATTCGGTGATGCGACAAGATGTCGCGCGATAAAAATTTGGCGGGGTGCGAATTAAGAGCGCACTGTGCGTTGTTTACCCTTTTCAAAACAATCGTTTTGCACTGTGCGGGGTCGCAGCGCACCGTGAATCTTGCTCGTTGCCGCGCGACAAATTTTTTGCACAACGGCGCACTGTGCAGACATCTCAAGACTTTTGTTTTAATTTTTGTAGAAAAGAAAGTTGTGTTAGACCCAAATAATCACAAATGTTTCGAAAAAAATTTAAATATCATTTATTCCACATAATTTTCATCATATAATATATCAAAGTGAACGAAAAATTTTGAGAAAAAAAAACAAAAAAAAGGGACACTGTAGTTTACAAGGTATATATGTATATAACAAACGTACACCCTAAAAATCGAAAAGCGATAGTACGCAATTACAGTACTACTTGCACTAAAAGTGAATGGGACCGATGGGGGGAACATTGTTTTTTTGGGGGATTTAAAGCTCTGACGGCGCCATCGCACCGTGCGGTTCTTACAATATTAAGAAGCGGAGAACTCGCTGTATAACAAAGTAAAATTTGGGACAAAAAATTTCGGGAAAAATAAAATGTCAGGGCTGATTTTATGAGCGAAAATTTTTTTTTTTGTCAAAAAATTTTTTCGACAAAAATGTAAAAAATTGGTATACAGTGAGTTCTCCGCAATAACCACAAGACATTGAGAAAGATACATGGCCAAGTTGGTTATTAAAAAACAGTATTTTATATGGGTAATTTCAAGTTTCTTTCCGAGTTTTGAGGCAGATTCCAAAAAATGCGTCAGCGTGACTGTCTTACTATCGAATTCGGAGAGGTCTAAAATACGAATTTTGGATCGGGAATTTGTCAAAAACCTTTGAAAAATGCGAAAATTCAAAAAAAAAAATACTTTTTTGAATTTAAATTTTTTTCGTATTTTAGAAAAAAATCGCCATTTTCGACACCTCCACATCACGCCAACGCAATTTCACAACATTCTCAGGGTTTGGGATGCAAAAAAAATTAAAAGTTTTCACAAGAAAAAAATCCGGCGCCTACGGCCATATTACTGTAATTGTTGATGGTGCAGCTGTTGTTGGAGTCCGTTCATGCCATCGAAGCAATTCAGGCCGGTGTAGCCCATCATGGCAGCGTAGTTGGGGGCGAAGAAGTCGGGCGCGTCGAAGAGGCCGGCCGGCAGCGCGGGCTGTGTGGGCGCGTTCTGCGGCTGCACCGTGTTCGAGGACGAGTTGGAGGAGGCGGATGGGGGCGCGGTGGAGTCGTCGGTGTTGCCTGAAATTGGAGGAAGTTAGTCAAAAATTACGTTTTGATGTTTTTAGGGGCTTTTTTGAAAGATTCATAAATTTTGACGTTTTTCATCCGTAATTATGGATCAAAACGTAAATGTAAAAAATACAGTAAGCATTTGCATATTGATTTTGAAGTTGATGCCATTCAAAAGGAGTAGTATAAAAACTCAATATTTATCATTTTTGCTCAACGTTTTTTAATTTTTTTAGAAAAATTTTTAGGAAAACATGTAAAAAAATCCTAAAAATTTTCCCCTCAAAAAATCGCCCCTCTTACCCGGTGATTTCAGCGACAATGCTGTTGTGAATCCATTCTGATTCATCTCCAACTGGGCCATCTGATTCTGCTGATGTGCATTCTGGTTCTGCTGTTGTTGTTGTTGATGGAAGTACCCATTCACGGGGCTGCCCGCCTGAGGGTAATGGTTCGCGAGGTTATAATACATTCCGAAATCGTAGTTGGCCGCTGTCGTTGGGGTTTGGAGGTTGTTCCAGGCGTTCGGGTAGGCGGAGAACTGAAAATTTTGATGATCAATATGCTTTAGTCATCAAAAAAGTACTTCAATTTCACTCCAATTTTTTCGTGTAAAATTGTAGCAGAGTTTGAAAAATTTGGTCCCTGTGGGCTCCGTCTTCAATCTACAGTATATTTTGTGCCGAAAAAAATCCGAATTTCCGAGCGAATTTCGAGTTTTTTCGACTTTTGTCGGCCCAATTTCCTTAATTACCCAGCCGAATCGAAAAGTAATGCCATATGTGCGTAATCTAACTAATTTCCAAAACTTTTTCGGACCAAAAACTTTTTTAAATGGATTAAAGAGAGAGGCCGCCATGGGAGGCCAAGAATTGGACTCGAAAAAATTGGTTCCCGATTACGGTAGAAAACAAATTAAAAAAGTTTGGGGAAAAACTTTTTGGGTGGTTTTTTCGGTAAAAGCGGGTGTAAAATCATATAAAAAAAGTTACCACACCAATCTATTATCTCTAAATTTTTAGGTAAATCTCTTTTCAAGGCTCCAGAAATCGAAGAAAAACAAGAATTTTCCAATACTCACATTTTGATGTTTCAGCGCGTCAAATTGCAAATGCTGGGCTGCGTGCGCGTTCGCAGTCATCACTTTCTTCTGCACATTGCCCTGGGTCTTGCTCTTTCTCCGTGGGCGATATTTGTAGTCGGGATGGTCCTTCATGTGGATGGCCCTGAGGCGTTTCGCCTCGTCGATGAAGGGCCGCTTGTCGGCCTCGCTAAGCTCCTTCCACTCCTGCCCGAGGCGTTTGCTGATCTCGGAGTTGTGCATTTTCGGGTTCTCGGTGGCCATCTTCCGCCGCTGCCCCCGGCTCCACACCATGAACGCGTTCATTGGCCGCTTCACGCGCGAGTCCTCCAGCTGCTGCTTTTTGGCGGCCGCCGATTGGCCCATCTGATGATCCTGCAGCTGGGTTTGCAGCAGGTTCGGCGAGTGTTTCAGGTGGTTCAGCACCGCCAACCCGTCGCGTTGCCCGTGCAGCGAGTTGTTGGTGGAGGTGGAGCCGGGCGAGTCGGGCTCCTGCACCTCGTTGTGCAGGTTGAACTGGGGATGGAGCGACTGGAGTGGCGGGTTGAAGTTCTGAAAGCCGGGGAAGGGCGTCGAGAAGGACGGGTCGAAGAAGACACCCGACTTGGAGACTTCCATCATCTGCTCCATCTTCATGGCGTCCGTGTCCATCATGGTTGGACGCTGGAATATGCAAATTTTGAATGTTTGAAAATGTCAATTTTAAAAAATTTAAGTTGGAAAATCGCGTACAACTCGAAAAAACATAATTTCACAAAAATTTCAAAATTTGAATATGCAAATATTACAAAAAAATCAAGTATAAAAAATGATAAAAATGGTAAATTTATCAAGATTATGCAAATTTTCGAAAATTTCCATATGCATGATTATCAAAAAATCAATCATAAATAACATCTCTAAAGGCTAAATATGCATAAAATATCCTTTTTTCGGAGAAAAACATCCCACAAAAATCCCAAAATAGCAAACATATTCAAGTACAACAAACATTCAAATTAATCAAATCCCCTATAAACTTTTGGAAATCCCAAAACCACTCTTCCGAAGGCCTAGTTTGAAGAAAAACATTTCCCGAGGATTAGGTTTATTCCAACGGCTTTCCCAAAAAGCCGAGAGAAATTGAGATTTCCGAGAAGGTTTAGCCAAAAATTCAAGGTATAAAGGCAAAAAAGAATTTACAAGGTGAGGGTTGAGGGGCCACCTGTGACCAAAAGGGAACATGGGATTTTTTAACGGGACAAATGAAGAAGGATTTTTGGAGAAAAAGGGGAAAATTGAGATTAAAAAATCTTGGATTTTTTCAAATTTATCTTAAAAATATTTGTTTTTAGTTTCGAAAACGTCAGCCTGATAGTCACAAAATCAAAGAAAAATTCAAAAAAATTGAGGAAATTGCATAAAACTGGTAAAAATGGGTAATAAAGAAGATGTCACAGAAAGATTTTAGTGAATCTTTGAACACTTCTGGTGGCACGTTTATTTAGAGGAGTTATTCAGCCTTATTTCTTCAAAATTTGCAAAGCTTAGGTGAAAAAACGCATGGGACATCGGTATTTCAAGAATTATTGATCTGATCTCAAGTGTAAGGTAAAAACGGCTGTTTTAGTAAACATCTCGTTTATATTCTTAATTTATGCTATTTCTAGTGCTATGAGCGATCACTCAAGATTAATTTTAGCCCGTGCTTTTCCTCCATTGCACGTCAAAACCATAATTTTATACTGTTTAGGCAAAAATGATGACAATTCGGAGAAGACTCGAAAAAACAGGGAAGATACGATCCTCACCTACTTATTTGAATCTCTAAAATGGTTGGGATTTTCTCTCACTGCCACCCTTGAACTCTTCCCAATGCTTGGCCCACGAAAGGCAGGAAAAAAAGGAGAGAAAGTAAGCCGACTTGGAAATACCGAAATTTCGCACAAAAAATCCGAAAAAGTGGACCCAAAAAAATTTTGTGGGCTTGGGAATGGAAATGCGCGGGTGTCGCCATTCCTTCCAGCTTCCAGCCAAGTTTTTTGGCGCGCTGATTTCGAAAAAAATTGGCATAATTAGGCCAAAAATTGGGATTATGCTAATCAAGGGCCTCTGAATTTTGATTCTAGACGGGGAAAATTTTCCGAATCAACGCATTCGCGATGAAATGGGCTTAAATTTGCTCGAAAGTATTTGAAACTCACAACGAAAAAGGGGAAAGCAAAAATAATAAAGAAAATTGTGGGATCCCTTGTTTATAAACTCTTCTTGCACCGCTAATTCTACCGTATGCCGCTGCGAGCAAGCGGCTTATTGAAAAAATTCGCTGAAACTCCCGCATCTCGACGCCGATTGCCCTATGAGGCCGGGGCGGAAGACGTTGTAAACATACAGTTCGTAAAATGCAAATTAGTAGAGTACCGGGAGCGCCGAATAAGCCGCATCCGCAAAACATGTTGACGAAAGAGTTGGGGCTTTGGGGAGATAAGGATTTTTGTAGAGCGTTAGAACGAATGGCACGGGAGCAATGTTTTCTTCAGATTTTGGTGGGAAGTGCTCTGGAGTTTCATCGATTCTATCGGCGCAAAATTTCGTTGAATAAGTAGGCGTTGAACTTACAAAGCAAAACCCAAAATTTAGTAGAATTAACCGCCTTACAAACTGATGATCACAAGCCCCTAAAACTTGTTGCGTACAGTATGTTTTGACAAAATTTCTTTGTGTTTTTTAGAGAACAACCGTAAAATGTAGCCGGTAAAGGAAGATTTTGTATCCGACTACGGTAAATTTCCTTTTGTTTGTGACGAAGGAAGGATTAGATCTACAATACTGCGAAAGTTTAGAGGGTTCGAAAGTTGGGATTGCAAAAATAATATTTTGAAAAGCATAGGCAAAATACGACATTTCGCTTGACATTTTGGAAATTGTGTCTATTTTTTGTAGGGTGTACAGTACTCTATGTTTTTTTTCATGAACTAAATAGAGAAATATGGGCAAAAAACTGGTTTCTTTCGGACGCATATCCGAAAAACTCCTACCCAAAGATCGTTGAGTATCTAGGGTATCCCTGCAAAGCGAGTGCTAAGACCTTCTGGAATTACAAAACGAACTTCGCAGAAGAGGGTTGCAAAATTTGAGAAAAGTAGAGAAGGTCCCCTTGGATAAAACCCAAATTTTTTTGTTATAAGCCAAGTTCCAAAAAAAGGATTCTCTTCCTCATAAATTCTTCACCCTACTGTAATATGCACCCAGTCCTTCGTCACAGTCGATTAGTACCAGTAATTGTCTACAAAAGTCCTCAAATTCCGCAAGGCTTCGGGCCTTTGTGTGTTGCATCATTTGCACCGTGCAGTCGAACTTCAAAGCCACCTTCGCCCGCTCTGCTTACGCCATTCCATTGTGCGCGGTTTCAAAACACGATTATCTGCGAAGCCGCCCAACGCCCAAGGGTCGGCTGCCCAAAAGGGCTGTTGAGTTACTATTTGCGATACTACAAATAAAGTTGTAAGGTTTCTGAAGAGTCTTTAAATGTTTTCGGGAAATTAATTGAAATTGGGGCTGTAAATAACAGCTATTTGGATTAGACAAGTGTTTTACGTGTGCGGGATTAGTGGGCAAAGCGTATTCTTAATTGCTGGGTTACTGTAAGGCGAAATTAAAAAAGTTTCTAATTTTGATTTTGGTCTCGACACGAAAACTTCTCTTCTAGTAAAAAATGGCCGTGCAGTAAAGCATTCAATATAAGGAGTCCCTGAGCAAAATCACGCAAAATTTGACTATGTAAATCGGGGTTTTTCAAAGGCAGTTGGGTCCCGCCACGAAAACTTGGAATTACGAGATAACTCCTGAGAACTTTTCGGATATGACTAAAACCCATTTGGGCAACGTGTTGATGCAAACCACCCTTATCTTTGTCTCGATTTCGTTTGGGTCGTACCAGGAAAACTTGGCAACAGTAGACTGACCTCCGTATTGTCCAAAAAGGCATTTGAGACGTTTCTAAATCCATTACAACAACAATCATTGTCTCACAACAATCTATTACCAACTACAAACATCTTCAAATAACAAAACCAAAAAAATTGTGGTCCCGGCGCGAAATCTTGGCATTTCGTCTAAGCTTCAAAAACAGCACCACAACAATCGGCACAAAGCGCCCTGACTATTTGTATCGAACAAGAAGCGTACAAACTACATTCGCAAGTCGAAATTGTAACACCCTTACATAGAGAGAGAAGAATTAAATTCAACTATAAGCTGGACACTAATCCGAAGGCCAAGCACTTGGTCCAAATGCCCAAGCGCTTCGACAAAGGCACGGAGCCAGAGGGCATTTGAAACGGCAAGCATTAGAGATTACCAGAATTTACATAGATCATCCTACAGTAAGCCGGTACGTGATTATTGAGCAACCAAACTTGTTTACATTCCGGTGTAAACCTTATAGGCATAATCGGATTTAAATGTATCCCCCCTCCCCGAGCTAGCGGAGATTGAGAGGGCACGGATATCAAAACTAATTTGCATAGAGAATGTCACAGGTTGAAGGCGTTGGGAGTCGGCGGAAAATGATTAGAAGGGAAAGAGAAAATTTGGGGAAAATTTGGTACTATTAGTCTGTCCTGAAAGTAATGAGGACAATTTTGCTAACACCGATCAGTCGCTGAAGTAAAAAAATGATTTTGCCGCGACATAATTCATTTCTCGGCGGTGATGCGATTTTATATGCGACAGGTGCTCATTATTTTCCCGACAGACTGATAGTTGAGCCAAACATTTGATATGTCCACAAAGTTCACCTAAAAAGTTTATCACAATTTTTCAAAAAAGCGACCAGTAAAATCCAAGCCGAAACTTTACTATGCCCAGCCAGAATGTCACCTCTAGCGACAGTAACAAATCAGAGATGACAATTTCTGCCTGCTCTACCTATAAGCTCATAAGAATATTCTCAGAACTCCTCAGACTACCTATTTTTACTCTCCACTTTTTTCCGCCAAATACGAATTTCTCATCATCTACCGTACTCACTCCATTTCCAATTCATTTACGTCGCAGAGAGAAAAAATCTCAAACGAAAAGAAATACAAATGCGCACCATACAAATACTCAACATATCGCACACAATTTTGGTAGCATTCCGACCACATGTCATGTTGTGGATGGCGGAAGTTCAAGGAAGTTTAACCGGCTATCCATTGACAAACTACAAGATACGGTTGGAGTATAGAGTGCAGGACGGAACAAAGTTGTGAAGAAGCCATAAAGCCTAGATGATGAGGGCTTGAAATTGAAAAGTGCGGGAAAAAAGTCGACAGAAAGCTTTGGTAAGCTTGGAAAAAATGGTCGAAAAATAACAACAAAGAAGATTAAATTAAAATAATTGTTGTTCAGGGCTAATTTTATGGAATTAACAATATAAAAACCAAAAAGTTTTGTCGATAGTATCTACAGTCTTACTGTAAAAATTAATTTACGAAAACCCCTAAAATTTTGAAAATATTGATTTTTTTTGAAAAATTGCAAAGTTTATCGTGTAAATTTCGATTCAAAAATATAAAACTGCCGTTAATGTAAAAAAGAAACCCCATGACATCAGCCACAACAAAAACAAACCTTACAAGGGAAGTACTCGAAGTGCGACGCTCAGATTTTGATGAATCTTGGCAAAAATT